ATGTCGAAGCTCTCTAAGAGATTGGAAGCAGCCCTTAAGAGCAGCAAATGTGTGTTTCACCTGCACATGGACCTATATATATAAATAGATGAGGAAAAATAAAGTAATATACATACTTTAGAAAGGGTGGTGTTAAAATACTTCTGGTCACTGGTCAAGGCCCCATTAGGAGGTTTCTTGAAAGGGGGAATACACCATGGTTCCAGGGAATAAGCAATATCTGCCCAAATCTACTGGTTATTTCCAAGAAGTGTTACATGATTTTGGAAAACATGAGTGAATTGAAATGCAAATACATCATGTGCACTGCCAGTATGGCCAATAGAATAATCTGCAATAATAAGATTATGAAGCATGATGCTCGCTGAAATTTTTACTTAGAAAAATAGGTGTCAAATAAATAAATAAAAATACCTAGTAGTTGAGGGAGTATTGTGACTTCCTATTATAAAATGACTCTACATAGTGACCTGGCTTTTGGCAAAGATTGATCAATGATCCATCAACTGCCAGAATACCATTCTGTTACTCTGTGCCAGACTTGGACTGAGCATAGTGATGGGCACATGCAGCATGATTAGAGTTGAGGGCAGGGAATGTAATAAAAGCATCATGATGTGCAAGCAAGGTAGTCATAACATGATTAGTGCAGTTTGTGACAGATCCAACACTAAGATCAAAGATATCATCAAAAATGTGTCAGGGCGATGGATAGCAAATTGGTCAAGAAGCTGGATCCGTGGTGCCCACATAGGATGCTTATTAGGAATATGAAGGACACGTGCTGCCTGCACCTCATCTTGGAGAGCAGTAGGAGAGCCAATAATATGAGCATATTCTTTATGAATTAAAATTGAGTCATCTGATGTGCCAGATCCATCAGAAGTCTCAGACACAGGAGAGGGTAGTGATAGGGTCCTGGTAACACCATGATCGTCTGAGATAGAGGAGGCTGAGGAGCTGAGATCCCTTCCCTGCTCACTTATCAGGCAGAACAATGTGACCATTGGCACATCATCTAAAAATCTGTGGTGTCCTTGTGACCTGTCAGTCATCAATGACAATGTACTGAAATGAACCAGAGAGAGAGTTTATTGGCAGGGACAACCAGAGTGACTATGGTCAGTATTTTTCAAAATCAAAGTAACATACAATCTAACAGAATTATTCTTTTCTTGCCTTACACTCTTGCATCATGTTACATGCTGCACTGCTTCAAAACACAGGCTTTATGCCACATGCTCTTAACAGCTCCAAAGCCTACATACCAAAAGCTTCTAAATGGCCAAAATTTGCTCCCATCACCATCAACATCATCCTTCACATCTGTTTGTATCTCAACATTTCTTTACTGCTTGATACTGCTGTTTTTGCTTGTTTGACAAGCTCCTGAAAACAATAGATTCCCCTTTTACATGATCAAAGTGACTGAGGGCTATAACAAAACACCAACCTCAGACAAGGTTTGCAGCATCCTTGTAGGAGTAGGTGGTGGTGCCTAGACCCACATTAGAAGTGCAAGTAGGCATTTTACTACTTGGCTACAGTCTCTTTCTGATCTTGGCATTTTGTATGGAGCCTGTCTAAGTAGTTCTGAGAGATTCTGTGAATCTCAGGAGACAATAATTAGAAAGTAGCTGGGAACCTATTAGCATCTATCAGTAAAATCCAAAATTGAGCATTGGACTCACCTGCTATTCTCTATCATAGGAAACTCCTGTCATTGAGGTATAGTAGAGGTCCCTTTAAAAAACCTTCCCTTTGGAAAGCCCTATGATAAGAGCATAGCAGGCCTTAAAGGTAATTAAATTGAAAGGTTACTTCCTCTACAACATTGCTATGGATTTTTCAAATGAAGGATGTATAGAGAGTACTGAGAACAGTTCCAAGGCTATTTTCACCAGACATAACATTTACTCTGTCATATCTTTTTGTTATATGTTTCCCTGGGGTTACAGGATGTTTATATTTTCAATAAGTTAGGAACATACCCTTTGAATGAATTTAAACTGTAATTATGTTATGTTTATTCTTTTGTTGTTGAGATTAAGCTAACACATTTTTGTCTGTGAATGCAAGCAAGATAGTATTTTAATTCTGATCACATTCTAGGCAGTTTGTAATTTATATCATTATGTGTCCTTCCTATGGCTATACTTTTGTTCCTCTGATTTGTAGTAACAAACACAATGTTGTCCAGCAGGAAAAAACAAAATGTACAGATAATATATACTTTGCACTGTAAACAAAATTGTTAACTATCTTTTGCAACTGCTTCTTTAATGCCCAGATTAATGAGAATTTCTGTAAGGCTGATTGTATATAATTTAAGGTGTCACCATTATATATAGGTTATTGAGCCAGATAGATGAAATATAGGAGTGCACAATAAGTCAGAATTATGCTTATTAACACCCTGTCAACTAAACAGGCTACTAGCACCCTGGTCTATCAATGGAACCGCCTTAAGCAATGGTGATGAACTTGCTGCCAATTGCATACCAGTTCATAAAAGTTCAGTAAACAATGTTAGCTATTGTAGGTCATGTTTTGAGTTCATTCTTATGTACCTGTTTTAAGGTCCATCCAGTTCTGAGGCACACACTGTGAGAGACACCGATTTAGTAACAATGAAGTAAAGAAAGTGAGAGACATGCCTTTAACACTTGCAGACTAGCATTATGCATGCTGTTTCTATATCTGGCAGCAACAAATGTCAATAATTTATCTCCATATGTGAGTAATCAGCAATATTCCACAACTAGTTAAGCAACTTGTGGACTAATGACAAACAGCATGTGAATGCTAGTTCAGCAATATTTGTACCAACTTGTTTATTACAGTGGCTCAAAAAGGTGTTGTAATGTTTATGCATTTTCAAGTAATTACAGCCAGTACCTGGTTCAGGTTGCATCATATTATCATCACAGGCACTCTGTGCTGCATAGTCAGAGAGTGATCAATGGCAAGGATCAGTAGAAGGGATCAGTAGGATTAACTTTATCTGACTCGGACTCAGACATTCAACAACTTCAAATGTCCTCGATAGGCAAATCTGTATTGTTACAGGAGGGGCAAAATAATCTGAAATGAGACAGTGCAATGAGGTACAGGTGCTATTCAATGAATGTATGAGCTCGTGACACAATGAATTGTTACTGATTGGGAGATAAACAGAATTAATAGAAGCACCTACTGGATATCATACCACTCCACCGGTATCAAATCTGTTGCCAACATTGGACCATGGCTAAGTGTCTGTAACAGTTTCCCTTAACATCTCGAGTTCCACATCAACCTGTGTAAGGGATTTCTTTTCATCTTCATGGAGCGCATTGAGGTGTTGTACATTTTGTACTTCTTTGATCACTGCAACAGACATCTATGAGTGAAGATTCTGTTTGATTCAGATAAATTTACCATGACTACAACATTTCTTGGAGGTGAGACAGACCTTGCCTGGTTATATCATACACTCATACTGTATGCTGGTGCAATAGTCACACCCTGGGTCCATGTGTCTATCAGCCATTATCGCCATATGATAGTTTGGCTGATGCTCTGAGTATTGAGGTATATTGGCCAATTTTTAGCATAGATATGATTTAACCCTAGCCAGCAGATCATCACTGTCACCAAAAATGGTGATGATTGCTTTACCTGCCATTGCTTCCATACTAGTTGTCCAAAGCCAGGCTATTGAGCTTCCCATCCATAGAGAAGCTGAGGGTGTACTTAAAAGTGTTAAATCCTGCTGGATTGGCATGAGCAAGGTAGGAGCATCATAGTAACATGAGAAGCAATGGACCATTACACCATACAGGGCAATACTCTGCCACTGTCATATGAAGATGAATTATTTGTGGAAGTTGTTACAAAAATTCCACTCATATACATCATTAGTGCTAGGTTTTTGTCTCCACAACCTCACCCACCCATATTATAACTCCCAGTTAATATCCTACAGGGCTCAAGCCTGGCTAGTGGAATTTAACTATATAGTGGGTATAAAAGGCAGGACTTCATATGCAGATGACCCTCATGCAAGTGGGAGTGACAATGAGCATTGCAGTGCTGAGGGCATGTAGAGATGGCAGGGCATTAAGGGAGGTGAGCCTAGTGTCTTTAGATGCACTGACATCTGGTCGGTGGTTTGCAAGTTGATGGCTTCCTCAAATGAATTTTTAGACTATAGTACCATGGTGGTGGTATTCACAAGTACAGTACACAAATGACATGCTATCTACTGCAGTTAGAGTATGAAAAACATACCCAGATCATACACCTTGGGATATGAGTTCAAGTCTTATCCTATCCCAGGCTATCAGCTTGTGCCAGTTGACATATACATGTATAATCATAGTGTCAAAGTTCACTTTAGGTGTGTCTACTCAATGCCTGTGATCATTTCACTATAAAGAAAGATGTTTGCTTTGCAGAAAGTGTTACCTGACCATGCTGGCATTCTCTAAGATTATTGTAACCTTTCTGTATAGAGATGATACAGTCCAATCCAGTCCACATAGCAGTAAGAAACCTCCTTTGCATATATGAGTAGAATTAACTGGGTTAAAACATCTGATCTGCCCATAATGACATGTTCTGATATTCAAACAATATCAGAACATGTCATCACCATCAGGTATTAGTTTCTGCCCAGTTGACGCCCTTCACATGAAAGGGAGGATTTCCCTACAAATTTAACCTCCTGGTAAGAAATGATTTCCTCCATCCCCTTTATTTTACCCTCCATGGCCTGGAAAGACCATTCTGACTAGTGGATCCATTTAGCAATGTAAAATTGCTAATCCTGGATAGCAGATGATCCTTTATCATCAAGCTGTAATAATGCTAGATTGCAAAACATTCTTAGAGCTAGTTCAGAAACTCACCGCTGGCCAACATTTGCTTGCTAGTATTTACATGAAAGTACATCCATCGGCATCGTTCCGAGATGTCGGAGCTTGAACCTTGCCTTCGTCCTACTGTACATATTATCGATGGATAACTATCCTCATCTAACTCTAGAGCGGCGCAAGAGGCTTTTCACTGGTGCTGTTGCAATTGCTGCCATCTGTGCACAATACACTACCCTTCTCATGGCCCAGCCCGAAGTCAACAATCCCCCTCAGACTAGGGCTTCCAATGCCCAGTGGAATGATCAAGAAGTTACTACCCTCATCAACTTTCTATATGATCATTGCTCAGAGGGCACTGGGGGTCACTTCAAGCCAAAGGTTTTTGGATCTGCTGCACAATTCATTAACGATGATGAAGAGCTTGCCCTCAATCAACTGGGTCCACCAAAGACATCAAAATCAGTTCGAAACAAGTGGATATTGGTATGTCATATATGGGACCTTTTTGTCTGATTGTGAGCTGATCAGGGATCTTTAGCTCAAGAATGTATATTATGCTATCGAGAAGTACTGTAACCAGACAGGAGTACACTGGGACAATGAGGTTGGAGCAGGGATCCAAGATCCTGCGGCGGCAGGTGTTTGGACAACATATGGTCAGGTACGCACACCCCCACAACACCTTACAGGGCTTCATGCTCACACACTACCAGAACAACAATTTGATAAGTCCATTCCACAACAAGGGATGGGAGTAATATGAGAAGATGCAGGCCATCAGTCCATTGGGTGGCGCTAGAGGGCGCCATGCTTTTCGTCTGGGTGGCGCTGCTCCCCTATCACCAATACTGACAATGATCTTCGGGGGACAATATCTGTGGTCATTGCCCCTCAAGCTGCTGTCCCAGCTGGCGCTATAGTTGGCCCATCGGCCACTACCACCACCACTCGTTCTACTGCTGCTAGCTCTAATGCTGGTAAACGCCCATATTCAGAAACTGCGACAGAGATGGAGACGGAGTCATTTGGCTCCACTCACATCTCATCACTGCAACCTCCCTCCACCACCTTGGTTGATCTTGACACTGACATGATGGTCTGAGCCACTCGATAGTCGCTTGCTTGAACAAATGTACCATGTCTTTCAATCATGTACTGCTCTGTACTACCATATAACATGTTTTCATTCGTTTATATCACATTTGATTCACTTTGACGCTAGAAATAGAATATAGCTTCGTCATACAGGCATCAATTCCTCAGCAGCAGTGCCATCCTCATCCTTGTCATCCTTGTCATCATCATCTGCGAGATCAAGCCCTTCTAAACCCTGTTCAATGACAACATGTTGATACTGATCCCACATTGCCACTGCAATGCAATCATGCATTTCACCAGCTTGGCGATGCTCATTTTCATCTCTTCTTCAATAACTGCCGCTTCGTCATCAGCGACCACATCATGGCCAATATCATCCTCCAAAAATCTTTCTTTGTCTCCATCATTGGCAGGGGGATCACCTTCGGTGGGGTCGTGTACACAAATGAAGTTGTGCATAGCACATAATGCAGCCAGTATCTGAGCTTGTATCTCCATAGCATACCCAGGTGAAAGAAGGAAGATACGAAAATGTTGCTTGAGAACGCTGAAGATGCACTCAATGACATTTTGTGCTGATGCATGTCGCATATTAAATAGTTCTTCTTTATTTACCAGCCTATAAAACTTAGGATGAGGTCTGCAAAATGAGTAAGAACCTACCTGACATTTGTGCAACCCCACTCAGCAAGCTGATAATGGATGTTTCAGTAGGGAACAAGTAACCCAGGACATAGATAGAGGATATCCTGCATCTGCAAGAAATATCTCCCAGGGGGAGTTCGAAAGTCGAAAGAGCAGGCATCCTCGTAGACACATGCATCTGTTGCTGATCCTTCCCAGCCCGTGAGTGTGTATGTGAAGTTTAGGTCGAAGTCACATGCAAAGAGGCAGTTCTGTGATACAAAGCCCTTCTGATTATGATAAATGGGACGATCGACAGCCCTAGGCATTACGTGGATATGACTACCGTCGAGCGCCCCAATAGCACCCCTGAAAAATGGCCACCATTTGGTATTCTTCCGGATTTTCGGGGGATTGAGTGATCTGAAAATTGTACATATTTTGGATAGAATGGTTCAGTCATGAAAACAATGAACATCTTGCGAAAATACCTGTGTACTATCAAATCAAATACTGCCCCCCCAAAAGAAAAGAAAACTCACCGTGAAATTGTTTCATTTGAGCGTTGGAACCTCTCTGCGACATGCCTGATTGACAGGCCAGTGACAGATGTGTAGAGAAAAATCACAAGCTGTTCCTCGAGGGAGACAAACTTGGAGTCAGAATGACCCATGGTACAAAGCTCTGAGATGAGCTCTATGAAAGCACTAGCGTGCATGCCAAGGTCACACCTGATGCGTTCAGGGTGACCAGTAAGCAACTCAATGACCCAGTCTTGCCCAGATAGAGCCGATGTCTGATATGGTTCCGGATCTTTAGGATATATGGACTGCAGTACACTATGGGTTGCAGCAATAACAATACTAATTACTAGTACCATACATTTCAGTAGTCGGTCTTGGACCTCTGGTCGAGGATTCATTATGAGCGCAGCTAGGCGCTGATGATCTAGTAGTGGAATCTGATCCATGAAAAGGAAATATACTATCATACCTCCCTAGTCACTGATATGATACCGATAAGTGGGTGCTGAATTCAAGCTCCGCCCATTCTAACCGACACAAGTTTGCAAATGTTGGCAAATGATAGCCAGCAGCAAGTTGCCGAACTAGCTCTTATATGAACATATACCAGTGATCTGGGTAATCTACTCATACTGGGTAGGTCATTTAGTTGATCAGCAAGTAACATATGCAGCACTGCATATTGAAATTATGCCTCACAGTAGGATGGATCTTTTCACCTAGTGGACCCCTATCATAAGGAAGAAATTTCATAAACTAGATTTCAGCACTCCCTACCTCATGTCCCACTGTTGCCAACGGTTGATATGCTGGCGCAGTCACTACAGCTTTTTTAACTGATACTTGACTGAAACTAACAAATTCATACTATGTGTGTAGTATAATTTAGCAAATCATGAGCTATACCTATGCTATACAAGTCAGTATGGCAGTATGTGTCATATACTACATTCTGAACCCCAGTGAGAACCTGCAAGTGGAGAATCTACGAAAATAGTGATGACAAGATCCAACAAGATCCTCAGAGAAATTCCAGTCACTTTGTAGATTGTAAATTGGAATAATCTAGAGAAATCGAGCCATTCGATGATGGCTCGATTCCCCAATATCCTCATAGTTTTGGCCACATTTACTCAATCTACAGGAATATAGTGCAATCTTGTGGTATTATGATTGACACAATCTAACACTGTACAGTATGAGGTATGGGACAGGCAAACAAGCACAAGGACATAGAAAACAACAAAGCAGTGGTGCACATATACATGTGGTTGGTTGTGCGGCCATCGCCACAAGTGGTGCAGCTGTGGAGAGTGATGCAGTAGCATTTGCTTTCACCTAATAAAGTTCGTAGTGTGTAGCAGTTGCAATCCAAGAGAACAACTGACAGCCTTGACGAGTTTGGAGCGATCATCATAACCCTGCAAAGATTCAGTCTGACACCAGACAAGGACAAGCCATATACGCTTGTAGCAACAACATCAAGATTATCTCAGTATGAGGCAAACTGTCCAACCGTGCCTTTGTGATAGACTTTGCACCAGTCGATAGCACAAAGGTTACTATAGAAGCACAATTAGCAATATCATTCAGGCTGACTACAATAATGAAAAGGATTCTCACCGAGCTCTTGTCGAGTGTGCATTAGTACGCATAATCAAGTTTGAGTCTGCCGCCACTCATTTCTTCTTCATAATCCCATCAAGCCCATGGTTGCTGAAATAACTGGTGTTGAGCTACTAGCTGCCAACTCCTTCTGTTAATCAAATGATGCCGGAAGCTTTTCGAATGGTCATCAGAGCTCGCCTTCTCGAGAAGTGCTGTAAGGGCAAGCTCTGAGTCATTGTCCATGGCAGTATTAGTGAGGGTGGTAGGTACTGAAGAGGACATGTTTATGTGGTTTTTTGATAAAGGTGCAGTGTCGGAGAGATGATCATTAAACATGGTAGTTGTCAGAGACTCGGAGGTTGGCTTACCTGGTCAAAAATTTGCTTGCGGTAATTCTGGTCTTCTTTGTTGAGTATGAGGGCATCATGCATACTAATACTACTGGACATAGCAGGTTCATCAATCATGACCGCTGGACTTGGAGTGGTGATAGAGCAGACATCAATGCTCGCATTGTCTGCCATTGTCATAGCAATGGTATGCAATTTTTTCTTCTTGGTATGTGGAGGAGTGGGCATTGCAAGCGTCAATGAAAGAGGTCGTTTGGAAGACTTAAAGCTTGTTCAATGCGAATTGCATGAAGATGTGTGGCTGATTGGCTCTGTCTCAATGCCAGCAAGAAGTTTCGAGCTTGCCGTTTATGTCTTTACAATGGTGACAGCTTCACGAGGTCAATCCTTCCATCGAGATGTCACTAAGGGATGCTGAGTGATGCAGACTGCCAGAGGTATTGTTGAATGGGGACTTAAAGTGAGAGACATGAGCAGGGCCTGGCAGATGCCAGCCATTTGGTTCATTGCAATTAATACAGTTACTAGTCAATGTCGACAGTGATGAGAAGATGCATGTATGTGATGAGGTAATTTTAATGTCCAATCACAATCATGCTCACAGTAACTCAAAATATTCTAAGTCCACCGTAACTACTACAATTGACAACACTACCATGCTCCCAAAAGCCACTCGAGATTTTCTAGACATGTCACCTGAACCAAATCTTGATGGCTATGAGGCAGACACAAGGTAAACACCATTTCTATGAACTAATATTTCTAACATGGTGGTATCTTGTAGCATATCTGTATCAGATGCAGACAGTTGCTCTGACGTGCCTTTGATGACCTTATCAGACGATATTTTCCTTGACTTTTTGTGCCAGCTTGCGGCTCCAAAGCAAGTAACTCGTGACATGTGAGTTTATTGTTTTGATCTTTGATCTTACTTCAAATACAGTCTTGCAACTTAGATGTCCTACAAAGGACCCTGGCAGTACCACGGAGCCCAAGAGTGATGAGCTGCAAATGACAGTCCTTCCTGCACCCACATCCACCTCTCAGTATGACCCTGGCAGTACCACAGGGCCCAAGAGTGACGAGCCAGAGCCGACAGTCCTTCCTACACCCACATCTACCTCTACCTCTCTTTCAGCCCCAAAGTACAACTCTTGCAGTACCAATGACTCCAACAGCTTAGCATGGTATGACCAGTGAGGAACAGATAATAGGTTTTGTGCTGTTCGTCAGATGAAAGAGGAACTTCAGCAGCTTTGTGATCGTAGCAGGTATTCAATTGAGTGTACAATAATGACTCATTTCAACTCAATTGCTCTTCTTCCTCATTCTCGTCAACAAGAAAACCTCCTCTATATGCAACATCCATTCCCACACAGAGGGAATCATCCCCACAGTATTGGCATGAATAACGACCCTTACTGGAGAGTCGAAGAAGGTTTCTGTTGGGAGGCGAGATAAGAGTCAGAGGTACTCGTTGATGTGAGCCTTCAATTAGCTGAATTTCGAAGAAGAAATGTGCAGCTCCAAACTGTATCTTGCCATCAAGGAGAAGCTAAAAATATATTGTTGAACAATCAAGTAATGAGACCGACTTTTCACACACCTTAACATTACAGGGCTCATCTTGCATTTGGATGTCGCTTTCTTGTTGCAAACATTCAGTGGTTTGATTGAAGGTTTGGATGTTGGAGGCAAGCCCAGCAACGAAGCCGGAAAATACCTGTAGCATCATAATAGTTGAACTTCAGGGATCGTGGATAGTGATGCTGGAGATAGTCACAGAAAATGCTTGAACATTTCTGTATTGTAGTTGTTGGTGGTACCAAAAGCTCAAATGGCTTGAGTATAATGTACCATAGAGTGAAACTTGGGAATATTGAGGTGATCACATATTCCAAGATCCACAAGTACGTCCTTGTTGGTGAGGTATAGATGCTTTGATCCAAAGCATCTTCAAGGTATTGCAGAGTATGGTTGTCGTGACTGGGATATTAAGTGAGATATATGAAGTTCAATAGGACTCTGAAACACATTATGACCTTTGTCGGTGCCCTTCTGATAATACAGCCCAGAAGGATTCTGGCCATGTCCTTTCTCTCCCCACCAGATACCTGGGCCAACTTTGACCAGCCTTTCTTGAAATGCCTGACACCAAAATTGGGTGGAAGTGCCTTGATTCTTTCATCCAGCTCCTGTCCTTCCATAAGGCTAGTACACCATATAATAAGATATTTGATGACACCTTAATAGAGTTGGTGGAGAACATCAGGGGTAATTTAAAAATGAATGGCACAGAGATGGAACCCATTCCAGAAGGGGCAAGTCATGGCTCCTTAAATGCCTTGAAGTCTGCATTGCTGCAGCTTCTTTGATGGTATGTAGGGTATCTCTCTGGGTTCTCCAATCTCCTCCTTCTCATTGCCCAATCTCTTCATCCTTCTGGCCACAATGGAGTCGTAGAATATCAGCTTAAACTCTAGTATATTTTTGCTTTTTTGTTAACTCCTTTCCAACACATTTACCAACTGAAAGATAAGCAATAAGCACACATGCTGTTACAGTCATACATATGCCCTTATTAATTTTCCTTTACTTGCATGTTCCTTCATTTGTATTACATCACGTGCCACATCCTGCTACCACTAGATTTCCTCTTCATTCACTTCCTTTGTACATTATGTCACATACCACATCCCACTGCTGCTAGACATACCATTCTAGTTCTTTCCAAACCCATTGTACTTATATCACTTACATGTCCTTGGTCCATGTATCCAATCCTACCTATTTAAACACACAGTTAACACTGTGTTCTGTACTTTAATCTCACTGCGTTTTACCTGGAATCTCCTTCATAGGTTGTCTAAAGACCTGATTCAAGTTGAACTGACCTCTTGTATTCACATGAGTACCTGATTGACCTTAGCTGTAGGCTCTCTTTTGAGTCACTAAAACATCATCCCAGTTCATAACAAAAGATTAAGGTCTTCACCAGTGTCATTATCCCATGTTACACCCTGAATCCAGAATGCTAAACCCTAGTCATCAAGACAGATAGAGCTAGGTTCCCATAAGCCTGAACTTCCAATTGAAGCAGACAAGCCAGACACCCTGACATCATTAACACCATTATTTGGCACACTGAATCTAGGTATTCTTCCACCTATACCACCTCTGAATTCACCAATGTCTACTATAGTAACTCCAGCCAAACCAACCAAGATCAAGATTGGGACCCCACCCATCTTTGATGGAGATAGAGACAAATCTGAAGGCTTTTGCTAGCATGCAATGCCTACTTAGATATCAACAACAAAATCTATGTTGAAGAAAAACAGAAGATTATTTTTGTGACCCCCTTCATGAATGAAGGGAACACCCAGCTGTGGAAGGAAGACTTCCTCCACACTGCTCAAGATCCTAACCATAAAAGCACCACTGATCATACAATTGAATATGGAATGTGGAAAGATTTCCTTGCTGACTTCCATAAAATATTCAAACCACTTGATCCCTCTGGAACAGTGTTAGCCAAGTTAAGAAATTTAAAACAAGGCAATGACCTTCAGATATACATCACTGAGTTCCAAACTCTCACACACCAAGCCAAGATCCATTACAATGTTCCCAAGAAGCAATCTTCCTTGATGGTCTACACCTAGGATTACTCACCCACCTTTCTAACACATGAGATGTTTTCAATGACTTTGACATTGTCATTACCACCTGTATCAACCTTGACAACTCACGTATCCACCTGAATGCCATCAGGAACTGTAATCAACCCCAGAAGAAGAAGAACTTTGGATCTCACAACTATGTTTCCTCCAGAGACCCTAACACCATGGAAGTAGACCAGCTCACCAAAGAAGAATGAAGCAAACACGTCTGAACAGGAAGGTGTTTCACCTGTCACCAGATGTGGCATTTAGCAAAAGCATGTCCTCAGAAGAAGAAGAATAATGGGAAGGCCCCCATTCATCATAAAGAAGTAGAGGAAAGCAAGGATGAAGATGACGAGGCAGAAACCTGTCACCTCAATGATGATTTTTGATGTGGAAGACTGGATCAACATCAATATCTTCTGATGTACCCATAAGACTTGTATGAGCTTATTGGAAACACAAAGAACTTTGTATCCCCATTACTCTCATCTCGAAAACTCATCAAAATTACTGCAGTAGTTGACTCCAGAGCAGCTGTAACATTCATCTCTGAGGAGTTTGTCAAACTCCACAAAATCTGCACACACATTCAGTAAACCCTTCAAAGTTGCCACTGCCAATGGAGTTACTCCAAGAGTGGAGCAATTCGCTGATACTGTATCCTCACTATCAAAATTGATGATCAAACAATGATTGGAAAAATTAACATCACGAGACTCAGTAAATGTGACGTAATTTTGCTAAGAATTCCTTGACTTTGTGTCATGAATGAAGTCATTCATTGAACCACCAAATCTCTCATCCTCTCTTGCATGAAGAAAAGCAATCAAGTTGAAGAAACAGTTGACAAAGAAAGGAAGAAGAATCAACTCCCACTCCTGTTTCAACTAAAAACAGCTACTGATCATACCTGGAAGAACTCCACATGACTCTCACAACACATCCCCTTTCATTCTCATGATGGGATACGCACCCCAAGCTGTCCCTCACACTCTACCTGACACCACCATCTTCTGTCATAACATTGTAATGCAACTGATGACCAAATCATGGCACAGAAAGAAGTATCAACCATGGAAAGTTAGCAATAAAGTTTGGTTATTAGGAAAGAATCTTATCATGCATGGACCCTTCACCGTGACAGCCATATGTTATCCCTCTCCACATTCCATGCTTCTGAACTATTGTTCTATTATGAAACTGAGATTCATTGCCTGAACTTCCACAATCCCCCCTGATGTCATTGATAATCAAGAAGAATATGAAGTTGGTACAATTCTATCGCATAAGGGAATGGGTAAACAAAGATGCTATCTAGTGTCCTGGAAAGGATACTCATCAGCAAGCAATGAATGGATTCCTGATGGAAACCTTGACTACGCTATAGAATTTTTTACTGTCTATAAAAAAAGACATGGTCTCTAATTGAAAATCCCATCCTCCTTCAAAGTCTTAGTCTCATCAAATGTCTCAAACTACCACATCCACCAACATTGGTGAAGCTGCTGATCATTTTGCTATCACGACCTCTATCACTGCTGCAGCACCACCCACTGATGTCAGCAAAGCTGCCAATTACTATTTCCATCTCATCAGCCAAACTGAAGACCAAGCCCTCATTGAATCTAACTCTCCTTTGTCCTTAGGATGCCCTTGAAATTGAGAAAATTCTCCTATTACATGACTCTCTCACAACCACACTTGTCATCAACATCATACATACTGCATCTCTCATCAAATGAAGCACCCTCACCATTAATAACCCCTACCAAAGCAACTCTTCCTTCACCTTCAGAGGTGCACCTTATTCCTGATAGCATCAAAGAAGAAATAGCATCAAAGAAGAAATCACTCATCAATGGATCCCAACAGTGCTTAATTATGAGATGTGTCTGGTCCAATCTGTGCTTCACTGCAAAGACATGGGCGCCTTTGCCATACAGACCTAACCGCAGGTGTCAAGAGACTATAAGATTTGAATACAAATAACATGTACCTATTAATGAATAAATGTTTCCAAATAGGCAAGATTCTTCGCCTTCCATTTTTTCTTCATCTTCATCCTCCAACCAATAAGGCTTGCCATCCTAGGTCTGGAGTGTGGGATGATGGAATATGTAAGTGTTGTATCCCAACCATGTGACCTTGGAGAACATCTTGGGGCCTGAACTAACATCAAGAAGTAGAGAGTAAATGCTTCCACCACAGATGAAAACAGACATGCGAAGGGCTGTTCTACACAAGCTGAGAGAAGGGAACCAATAACATTAAGGTTGGTGATAGAAGATGAAGGCTGTCTTATCACCCAGTTGATCAAGCACACTCCAAAAAAGCTCAGAAGAATCTTTCACATGCACTGGTTCCCAACAATAGCAGCATTCCTCATCACAGAGCTTTTGAACTTGCAGGATAGCTCCTTGACCTAAGAATCAAAATTAAAGGTAAGATTCTAAGTAGTAGCAGGTGTTGCTCACCTCATTAAAGAAATTGAAAAGAAGAGTCTCATTTGACAGCTAAAATGGTGTGCCAGGCAGCTCCACCCAATGTTCATGTTGCAAAGGAATCAGCACTTTTAAAGGCTGTCCCCATTGATATGGTCCAGAGGGCATAAAGTGATTGTTAGTTATATGATTATTCACCTCTACAGTACGCTTTCCTATGTGTTTTATCTCTATATACTTACGGTATCATTCCTCACATTTCTCTGTCTATTTACATGACTTCCTGACCTCCCTAGGACATCCCTAGGTCGAGTTATTCCTTACCTTTGGATTGTGGCTTGTCTGTTTACATTTGTTTACCAAACATTGCCCATATCCTAGACTTCAGTACTCCCTGCCTCTTTGGCAACTTACTCTAGACTCTAGGTACTGTATACTCTTACTATACTCCAGTATATATCTTGGTGGATGTGGATGGGCTGGGCATATGGCATAGGGTTATGGCCTTGATGGAAATGGATGGGCTGAGTTGGGTATGATAGCAATATAGCATAGGATAGTAATATCGGTAGACATGGATGGGCCCAGATGGATCCCATGTGGATTGGGATCTTGGTAGATGTGGGTGGGCCTGGTTTGAATGCCAAGGTATATCAGTACATGGAATGTGTTTGCACATCAGTAGCCATGCATGGGCCTGGTTGGCATCAATGCATAGCATGGCATTGGGATCTTGGTAGATACAGATGGGCCCAGTTGGAATGCCAAGGTATGCTGGTAGTATGACATTGCACTCCCAGTAGATGCAGATTGGCCTGGTTATATGCAATGCATGAGGTAGATAAAGGCGGGTGTGGGTTGATAAAGCAATCACCATAGGATCACGATATCGGTGGTTATTGATGGGCTGAAGTGGATGCACCAAACACTACAGGATAGGAACACGGGAGCATAAGGTGCCTGATTTTCTTGGTGATGAGATTGAGTTCTTGGTTGGTGTGTTGGGCAGAAGACATTGTAAAAAAAAGCAGTAATTGAAAAGTAGTGTGAAACATGGGTGTAGATTTGGGAATTGAGAGGGAAAAAGTTGGGGCCAAACTTGGGATATATATAGGGAACAACTATTTCGGCCACATTACAGGTGGAATTTCCCAGGGCCGTGTGTCCATTGTGCCTTGACCACAATCGACTATATAATAATAGAAGTCTGCCCATTTCTGTGGCACACATGGAACCGCCATTGTTGACCAGGGCCAATGGGTCATCAATCCACTCCATCCACAAGTCCAACTGCTGGACCATTTTGCTGCTCCCTATTTAATCCATCCGTCAACCGGCACACCCTTCTCAAGCACCCGCAACATGACCACCCGATGAGTTCATTTTTCAACACTGTTGGAAACTCGTGAGCTTCATGCTCCATCAGCCGGTGAGTCTCTCAATGGTGCTGATAGAAAATGATCCCTTGTAGAATGGATGAGTGATTTTATCCCCATAGACCAGTGGACACCCCCCAGGGTGACACACAAATTTAAAGATTTGAAATTTCGAAGTAAGTCCATCCTTCTTTGGTAAAAATTGACCAAATCAATTGCAGGATACAACATCGGTCTGGAACATCGGATTGAGATGCTGGAAAGTCATCTGGGCAATTCAGATCCCAATGCTTATGACAGGGCCTATGCCGGCATCGATGAGTACATCAAAGAGCTTGCTGGTATGTGATCATTGTGTGGATTCTTCTCCCACAAAGAACTTACCCCAAATTCCCAGCAATGTGCAGCCAGGATTGGATCTGGGACCAACACCCGGCGTCCACAGAGTCTCTGATGACAGAGTGTCTTCATGAGGAGGAAGAAATAGGAGAGCTCATGGATGAAGACACTCCCTTGTATGATCTTGGGTGGACCCAAGACGAGATGTCTGCTTTGGGAGAGAGTTTGATCTCAGATAAGTTGATCCAGCGTGATGGGGCAATCAGTGACTTACTGTCTGATTAGATGAACACGATGATGGACCTGTATACAATCTCAGGTGGGGACCAACACCATTAAATCAGGTCGACAAAGATGGCGCCCCATTGTGCAATCTTGGATGGGGAGGAGAAACATTGGGTGGTGAGCTTGAACATCCAGGCATCAAAGTGCTTTTGGATGGTGATGACTCACCAGGTTACAATCTTGGGTGGGGATCTGCGTCTGCATCGTCGGGTGATGCACCAATGGAACAAGATGACACCATATCCAAGGATGGAGATGGACCTGGATATGATCTTGGGTGGAGAAACCAAAGTAAGTCTATTAGCTTCCGCCACGAGCAATCATTTACAGTTTAACTCAGGTGGAAGGGATGTCACCTTCACCTACTCTAGGAACTTCCCGCCCATGCAACTGGATGTGATAGACCTGACGGATGAATGGGCTGACGCCCGAGCAGAGAAAGGTATGTCTTAATATTTCCAGTAGAAGACATTAATTGACCTTGCTATCAGACATAATCGACCTCACCAATGAAGATGAGCCAGTTTATGATCTTGGGTGGGGAGTCCAAGGAAATGAGGAGGGCAATGGTAAGTCCCTGCATTTCCATCACAGCAAAGTATTGACAGCCACTCAGCCCCTCGCCATCCTCTCCCAGACAAATGGACTTGGACGAGGACTTGGATCATGGCTCGTCATTGGAAGGTGGGTTTTTGCAACATGTGGAATGACGCAAGACTAATGGGTGCCACAGTGGGTGATATCGACCATCAAGCCGAACAGCAGAGGTTCCATACCAATCGCTGGCTTAAATCAATTGGCAATGATGTATTTAGTAAGCCAACCCTTTGCTCACACAGGAAGATAGCTGATCATGTCAGCCGACAAACATATGCATGCCCTCATCCAGAACACCATGCATGGATTGGATGAAACCTGGGTCCCGGAGCTTATCCTATGTCAAAACCAGCACTTGTTATATTCGTTTGTGGATGCACACAATTGACATGATCAAGTCTCTGGAGAATGAGGATGGGATGCAGTAGATAGAATATGGGATTTGGTAGTTGACATTAGTTTACCTACATCACTACCATACCCAGTTGTAATATATTGATTGCCATGGTTTGTACAACATCTGAATATTCATGACTTGACGAAGTTGCCTGCATATGAGATGTTGGGTTTCTTGGACCTTTTCAGAAGGATGTCTGCTGTCTTGCTTCTTGTGCATTTGGCAGGAGATCCTTCTGACAGATCCTCAGCATGACATTTCTTCCCACTTTTTTCCACCCAAGTCCTTTTTTGCGGGCGACTGATCCAACGTGCTATCCAAACAACACTTTGTTACAAGACCCAACTCCTTAACAGGCTTGTGAGAGGCCAGTTGTTCGACCAAATTGGAGTTACTGCAAACCATACCGCCAGGACGGGATGCAGGCCCGACCCTCCTGGGTTATAATTAGTATCCATGTGGCTGCAAATAAGTGATTGCACTGGGTCTTGACTGACAAGACTAGTGTTGTCTGGGTGCAATTTCATTAGGAATCATTCAGCATTTGGCTGGTAATATATTGCATACACTCTGAAGTGCTTAAAGCACATAAAGTTTCTCTGCGCCATGCTAACAATCCTATTAGTGTAGGCTAATGTGTCTTGATCGTTATTTGTTTGTCTTCATATAGTTGTGCTAGGTCATTGCATTCATCTTCCTAATCACTCCATAGCTATGTAATTCATTATGATATACTATTTCATTGATAATGATGAAAACCTCATGTGTTGCTGTTGAAATTCCAGCATTAAAACAATAATAGCCGCTTTAGCGATGGTCCTATTAAATGCAATAATGCATCAACTCTTGACCTCCATCATCTCACACCTCAGAATAGTCAAATCAAAGCCAAAGGAAATCACACCTCATGGAACCGTTCACCTGGTGAAATGGGAGTGGAAAAAAAACCACTCGAGGGGTGAAAGGTCAGTGGGTGCCAGACAAACCCATGGAAATCAGTGCAGTCTTCACCATCAAAGTCACCTACCAAGCAGCCTTCAGAAGATTTGATGCATAGGTTCTCTCAAGAATTTGATGGAGGTTATGAAGAACTAGGCAGCATCAATCCCATGCAACTTCTGAAGGCCCGAGAGAAGAAAAACAGGATGACCATGGCAAGTCAAATACTCCTAACCTTCGATGTCTGACTGCTCTGATGTTGAATCAAGAGTCCAAATGAATATCTTCAGCAGTGGAAGTTTAGAACCCTAGATTATCTGAACATCCTCCTCAAAAGGGAAGCACCACCAGCCGATAGGGTGTGCTGTTTGTGTGATGGTGATGGAGCACAGAGATGCCACAACTGTGTCTCCGAGGCGATATTCTGTACCAAATGCTGCTGGACACGACATGCACTGCTCCCATTCCACTGGATCAGAATAAGGGGCAAGACTTGGGAAAGGGGCACAGCACACGAGCTGAGGCCAAAGCCCTTCGGATCCGATACTACTTGAGTACGGTCTTAACAAGGACACAGATGATGAGGGCTGGTGTCTTCTTACTTGAGGGTCTTATATGTTGATCAGAATACAATGACTATCACAATTGTACTCTTTAAGACTAAGGTGCCAGCTCCTCAAGTTCACGGTCAATGGATTTTCTACTTCTTGATTGATAATGTGGTGTTTGTGGGTGGCCAAAGGGTAATAAATTACTTCTTTGCTAGATCACTTCTTCATAGTAAAGGAGTAGAATATATTTTGTCAGGTTAACTTAAACCTAGTAGGTAATATGGACCTCTCTGTACTGAATGTGACTCAAATACGTAAGACAATAGTTTAAACGATAGATTATTGTATAGGTGATTCCTGTAAGAAGTCTGGAGAAGGGAAGTAAACTAGCATGTGAATCTTGCATCCTTTTATCTAACTACATGAATGTCCAGAATTGTATAGGCAATAGCAGTAGCAAAATGCAGTGTGTTTGGTTCAGTATGTAAGATAGACCTCACTCATACACCAGTTCATCACGTGACCTAGCATGATATTTCAACAAAATTGCATATAAGTCATTGTACACAAAACACGAGCAAAATCTGTTTCAAGATTATGTGCAGATAGTGTGTAGCAAGCTGGGCATGTAATTGTTATAATCTAATGTAGGTATCTGAGAGACGAGTAGGTATTATGTTGTCGAGCAACTAGCATGAGTCATGAATGAGTCACAAGGGTGAATTTGTTACAAAAATGGCTACTCCTCCTTCAGTTGGCCAACAATAAGGATTCTGAGTAGACCATTTTGACATTATAGTACATATCCACAAGATCCTGGAACAGATTTAGCTCATTTGAATTTGCAACAGAGTAACGAGCCAATTTCATGTATTCTGTCCTCAAATCATGTGATGAACCGGTGTATGAGTGAGGTCTATCTTAATAAGGCTTGTGGGTGCTGCAGCCATGGGAATACATGTAATAATGCCTGCTGCACATTCAGTAACAGCAAAGAAAAGCTACTAATGCACTAAGGGAGATAGGTGAACATGGGCAGGATATGGGAGGACTCAGCACCTGTGGGACAGGATGGTTGGCTGAAGTATGTAACAGCTAAGACAACAAGTGAGGGATGAGGTATCATGGCCCTGGCAAATATGAATAGCTGAGACATTGAACACAGGATATGCTTAGCAGCTGTGTCAGACATGGACGGCCATAATAACAGACAGACCAGATGAATCAGGGCTTTGCAGGGAAGTGATGGACATATGGAATATAGCTCCTGTGTGGTCTGAGGTCTGTATGGAAATGGGGTTCTGTGAGGCTTGCCTGAATTTGAACAACACAACATGGTGGACAACATGTCAGCACTGCAGTCATTCATGCTCATAATGTTTTATTATATTTCTCAAAATTACAATCGAACAAGTCACAATAGTAGACAGACATTCAAGCAATTACTGATGTAAGTCACCTTACTTCCTTCAATCTTTGCTGTAGGAGAAATGCCTGAAGAAGAAAATTAGTTTCACATTGAGACAAGCTTGATGAGAACATTGGCAGGTAGACTTGGCCAGAAATCCAAGCACACCAATATCAATGATACTAAGATCTGTCATCCTGCAGGTGGTATGTGTGCCAGCAACAATCCTAGAGTCTCTATGTGATCCTGATATTCCTGTGACCCACATTCTGCTCACAAGTCACACATTTCAAAATACCAGTGTCAATGAAAACTTCAGTGCCAATCTTGACAACATCTACTTGCACTTCAGAATCATTGGTATTTTTCTACCACTTTTCCTGGGCTCTGAGTGTGTTTAAGTGTCTAGGATATGTCATGATTTAGAATGAAATATTAGAATTGCTAAGCCACCAACATTAGTTCACCAGCTTCATGGCTTGTAACTGGCTATGACGTCATTAGGCGAAGATGTCCATTTAAGGTTGATCCTGCTAAAAAGGGATCAACAGGCTGCTCCTGATAAAGGAAGTAGAATTACATACTGGGGCATCTGGATTGGACTCAAACAACTGAATCAGGGGTTGTGGCCAGTATTATTATATGGTGCTTACTATGGAAGAACCTTTGAGAATATTAATATGCTGCTGAATCTGCACAAATAGCGCCCATTCAGTCACTTTTTTAACATTTCCCCCATGTTAAACAGACACCCAAAGTTGGGTTCTTCCATGGGAAACGGGTCATCCGAGATGGGCCCAGGTGGGTGTGTATACTGATAGGGACGGGTGGGCTCATGATATTTGTGATGCCTGGATATTAACGGCAGGGCCCAAGTGTGTTGACTGACAATTTGATGATCAGATGGTTGGGCCCAAGGGGTATATGATGAGGAAATGATGCTGATGGTTAGGCCAGAAGGTGCAAGCAAGTCAGATAGAGACATAATATGATGGGACGTCATACCAAGCAATGCCATCATGAACACTATATTTCAGCATGTGCATTCAGATCATGACACAATGCTGTTAATCTGAGACGTAATAGTACAATGATGCAAATATGATTGATTTTACAAGTCACTGGGTATCATCAACGCCACAATTGACCAAGATTATATTGCTTATAAGTTTTGTACAACTCCGGCAGCATTCTGTGTAACATGAATATCTACTGAAATATTGCACCCGGCTATTACTCTTCATCCTCCCTTCCTCTAGCATCCAAGAGTCTTTGAGAGGCGGCCATGGCATTGTGAAGGTCATCTACCAGACCCTCCATCTGGGCCATCACCTCCAAAGCCCCTCTACCCTCATCAACCTTGACAGAAAGCCAGCTATCAAGCTGCATCCCTAATTGCTGAAGATCATCTTTGATGACCCAGAGATTGGTGAGCAAAGGATCCATGCCCCCTTTGTATCTCTTCATGTCCAGTATGAGTAAATATCCTGCCGCTGATTGATGTCAATATCAGCTATGATGGGAGCACCGGGTGTATACCTCAGTAGGGGGACCTACCATCTGGTCCATGTGGGCCATGCATAATTTTTTAACTTTCTCCAGTGAGATGTGGTTGGGCATCTCAAATGGGATGAGGTCGAACCAGTCCTTCCACTAACTATACAGAAAGATTGATACCATCCGGTAGCAGGCCATGATGTCTCCTGGGATATTCATGTTGTGGGTCCAGAACCGGCAGAACAGGTCATCATTGTCTAAAATTCCCACCTGCCATTCTGTAAGCATCTTCACGATGTCGCGAGATACTTGGGCAGGGCTGGGGCTATGTTGCTGAGGGTGCAAATATTGATGAAGGGGAATACAAATCTCTGGGAAGCAGATTAGTTGGCCGAAACACAGATCTGGGACATCTAAATACTCACATCAGCCTCCAAAACGAGGTGCTGGATGAAGAGTTTTCAGAACATAATGGTCCAAGATACTTCACTTTTATCCAGGGCCAAGTGGATGAAGGTAAAGCGACAGGCAGCATATTCAAAGATCTTTGCCAAATCCCACATGGAGATGATGATGCATGGCGATTGATTTGCATATGCGGGGTGTGTGGTTGATGACATAACTTTGCCGGCAGCAGCAGTGTTGTGAGGAAATTGATGCATGCAGTTAGGAATACTGTGATTGCATGGTTTGTATAAATAGTCTTGAGTTTAAACCCAGTTGGACCAATCTGTGGCCAAGGCTGTCATGGGTCCACTGGGTGATCAATGCAGCTGAAATGAAAGATTGAACCTTATCATGCATGTTGTGGCATAAATCAAATATCAATATTACTGGTTCTGACTGAATGCATCAACCACTTTGAATATATTGCAACACAATAGTCATGAGTTGTGGCCAAATGTGGAATTGACCTCCGCAAAGCAGACGCAAGCATCCTCGGCCAATAGTCTATACATCTGTACCTGCCTGATTGCATAGCATCTGTGCCCATCCTGGTTGGGCTCACCATTCTGGTGGGTTTGGCTGAGCCATGTCTGGGCTTTGTGAACCAGAAAATTGATTGTTCAATGCACCTCATGTCCCACAAGAAGATGCTCTTCAGCCCATCGGTCATGCAAGGTGTTGGTGCAAAGCCAATGCACTTGGTAAACTCAGGTCCCAACACTCATCAGCTGGACACAACATCTGAAACCAAATGACTCACATTCATTCATCCAGTCATTGTTGACCAAATCGCCTTGAACATCTAAAGACCAAAACCATGAGAGAGTGGAATTCCTCTGACCTCAGGCATTTGGATCAGTGACAGCCGAGGTGGCCTTCAGGTCATTTTTCACCAACTCCCAGTACTTATCCAGCAGCTGAACTGCCCTGAGATTTGACAGCTGTGCCTGGCATTTCTTGTATATTGTGCTGTTGAGACTGATGACCCGTTCCACCAAATGGACCTGTGACCAAGCCCAGGTGGTGGCGACTTGTGACTTTGCCGGCCGGATGGTGGTTCTGAACAGAACGGCCTTGTCAGCTAGGTGGACTCTGATCGCGTGCAGCATATCATTGGCCTGTCCCTCCCTGAGGGTGATCTCTTGTCTGACCAGACCGCCTATGCCCAACTCCTGGCACCTCTCCAGACCCAAGTTGGATGGGAGAGGGACCATAGCTAGATTAGGTTGAAACAAAACCTGCGGGCAATGTCCTTCCAGTGCCAAATCATCTTCCAAATCATCCCAGCCAGAACCATGCCCATCATCCATGAAATCAATTTCCATGTCGGGGATGCAATCATCCTCATTGTATTCCTCCCCGAGATACCTGCTCCTGCGATGAACTCATCAATAGAGTACTGCAGCCTTAGCCAGTGATCGCTTATCTGCAGCATTTGAGTCTCGGTGGGATGTCTGCCCATCCTCTGTATCTCAATTGCCAGGGCTATCTGCATTTCCTCAATTGTAATCCCAGAGGCAAGCCATGTGGCTGCTCCTAGCTGAGGTCTTTCTCCCAGTGTCTTACTAGGATGTGAAAGGCAAGAAAACTCTCCAAATTTCACAATCCTCCACAGTCAATGGTTCAGACAATTACCAACGGATGATAATGTGGTCATTTGTGGGGGACGAGATGTGTTGAACTTTTCAAGCGAACACTAGTGATGTAAAAGGGGCAAAGAAATAATAAAAACTAATAGTAGCACAAGGTAGTGCTATAACCTTCAGAACAGTGTGTTGCAGCTGTATGCAATGAACTAGAACTATACTATATCCCTCTTGGATATTCCTAACTTATACTTCAGCAATGGAGAACAAATTCACTAGCAGGATCATCCCAATATGTGGCCTTGAAACCAACTCTCTGCTGCTCAGGATCTCACAATGAGTAATGACACAGTCCAGAATAGAGTACACCTTCTTGATGTAGTCTTAAGTGGCCAAGTTCTTAATATTTGTTGACAGATTGTAGGTCTTATTTGTGTCTACCCTAATTGACGAATAATACATTAAATTCTCCCAACAGAACTTTTCCTGTGTCTAAAAGAGAACTAGAATGATTGAAGACAATATAATCAAAGATGGCTCAAGAATGTGGCCTGAAGAATGTGCTTTAACAATGTGCTTTAAGAATAATGTGGATTGAAGATTATGTAATCAAATGTGGCTCAAGAATGTGGCCAGATACTTTTGAAGAATGTAAAGTATAATGTCAAAACAATGGAGCTAATAAGCTAATATTTCTCCTAATAGTCACTTGAATGTTCACTCAAATAATGGGGACTAAGAATCTAAGGGGTGAAAGAATGTTCCCCTATGTTCCCCTAAACTGTGCTTCACTCTGTTAATACTTGGGAATCAAATTGATTGCTTCACAAGAGGGGAAAATGAGCTCCTTATATACTACTAGACTAGTGGCTGTGCTACTGATTACTTAATGTACTATAGAATATTCCAGAATGTATCAGAATTATTGAGAAAGAATTATAGAATGTCATAGAATGAGTTAGTGAGAGAGATGACTCATTATGACTCATTGTGACTCATCTGATTGATTACCAATCCAAAGTTGTTTATTTGTATTGTCAACTTGTTTGGTACCACAGCCTTAGGTACACAAATACAAATGAAGTGGCATGGCATATGTTTGGCATAGGGGTGAATAAAATAAAGAATTATAGAAAAGATAAAGGATATATTAAGTATTTAGTTTGAACCCCTAAGTCATATCTTGGTGATACATGCTCAGAAATGTCCAAAGTAAATTTAAGTAATGTATAGAAAATTCAGGGGAAGTGCATAGGCTGTAGTAAGGAATTGTATGTATCATAAATTTGCCATGACCATGTACGAAACAGGTTTTGTGCATGTCACCGGGTGATGGAAGGACTTCTGCAATAAGTCCAGCTCTACATCCTTCTTAGATCATGCTGCAGGCATAGTTCATCAACACACCAGCCACGATTTTCCGAAACATCCAACACCCACCCTTTTGCATCCAGACATCATATATATCAAGGGCAGATGGGCCATCTATTTGGAGAGATTGGGCTTCTCTCTCTTGAGCCTGCCATCGGTTGACCATTTCAGGCTCTGCCGCATTGTTCAGTGCATCAAATGCCTGACTGCTTTTGGCCAGGCCTTGTTTGGCCTCTTTGTATTTCCGGCTCAAGAACAACCCTGTTGGAAATAAACATTGATTTAGCGGTGCGCATGCAAACATATCATTGATCAAATAACCCACCCATGTGAATCATCTTCATGAAATTGCAGTCATTCATCTGATAGTCAAGGCATTCCTGTTGGTGGGGAGTTGACATGCCCTGGGCTGATGGAGAGATTATGTTGAGATTTGCCCAGTCTCCATTATCTCCCCATCTATTTGGGCTGCACCCGGGATGAAGTTCGATGCATAATGCACAAAACACTTTTCCTGGTGACCATGAATGTGCCATAGCCCAATCCCCGGGGTGATGTCCATTCCTTTCGGAATGGTTAGATGGAGGCTCTTGTCAACCTGTCACTGCAGACACTTGTTATACTGGCAATTGATGTCATAGAATGTCAATGCCTGGCGCAGTCTATCCGTGTTGTGACACAGAGCGTTGCATAGCGTATAGTCCATGTTGATCTGTCTACTCCCGAAAATCAGTCAGCCCCGCCCACATATGCACATGGGGCTCCTATACCTTTCACCCTTTTGAAAATCCACCATTGAAAAGCACCCGTGCCTGGTGCATGCGCACCCCCCAATTCCTGTGGCTTCCAGCTTTCGCTGAGATGTGTTGGCCTGGTTGAACGCTCTATGGTTGTCGCATTCTGACCTCTGGGCTGAATCCTTGGCAAGAGCAAGATATGGGCCTGGTATCTCTCCCTGGCCACCATGAAGCATCGCCTGTCGGTAAGCCATACTTCATCATCCAGGTGTGCAGGATGCAGATGCTCAGCTTTGAAATTGCTGTCCATCACCAACAATCAGGTGTAAAGCCATCCGGGTCTCATGTCATCGGGTTTGGTTCGTATTGTTATGTTGATACCTGGTTGTGGACATGTGGGGCAGAAAAGCGCCAGATCCCCATCTTTTGGGTCCCTCCTGTCGTGACTGAATCCATTTCATTTCAGAAGTTTAAGCTGCCACCATTGTCTGGTCACTCTCATCAACTCCTGATATTAGTCCTACTGAGTTTCAGCTCATGGCTGGTAGGACTCGACTGATTCTTACCGATGTCTTCTTACTTGAGGGTCTTATATGTTGAACAGAATATAATGACTATCACAATTGTACTCTTTAAGACTAAGGTGCCAGCTCCTTAAGTTCACGGTCAATGGATTTTCTACTTCTTGGTTGATAATGTGGTGTTTGTGGGTGGCCAAAGGGTAATAAATTACTTCTTTGCTAGATCACTTCTTCATAGTAAAGGAGTAGAATATATTTTGTCACGCTAACTTAAACCTAGTAGGTAATATGGACCTCTCTGTACTGAATGTGACTCAAATACATAAGATGATAGATTAAACAATAGATTATTGTATACAATCAATCTAGACTAAAAGAATACGATTGTTTTCAAAGGCAACTCATAGGCCTTCACTTTCTTCTGGATCTCACAGTGTTGAGACAGAAAGTGGGAAAACTCCTGACTTCAAATTCCTACATTCCCACACAGTTTGGGAAAAGAATGGAAGGGGAAAAACTTAATGTATTATGTGAGAATGGAGTCCTTATATACATTTTAGAAACCATCCTTACTAGGCAATGAGTCATCACTGGATTGGTAAGATTATGCTTACTAACCAAGCCTTTTGGTGTGCTGAATCAGCTGCTTACTAAAGTACATGAGTAAAATATTACAAAACATGATGAGTCATGGAAAGTCCTTACAAATCAGAATATTACTAGTCACATGCATGCTTACAAACATATCTGAGTGGCTCACTGATGTAATCAAGTAGCTGAATAAACATGAACAAAGGGAAAGAGACAGAAACTACAAATACAACTAAATAAATAGAAACAAAGCTTACATAAGTGAGAAGTATATGCTTTGTACACTCCTCTACTCATCTCCTTTTTACACTGCTATTTGTATATATCATGGTATGAACTAGGGCATTGACAGAACTGGATCAACAAGGTGTGAACACCCGAAATGTCCACCACTGTTATGCTGGTCTTACCTGCAGGCAGCATATTTACCTTGGGCACGTCTTCAATAGTTTCAGCAGTGTCTGGCTCAGTAAATACATTGGTTGCTCCCATTTCATCAATGCCTTGTGGCACCCCTGCATAGGGTGCTGTGTATGACCCATCTCCAAATGCATCACTGGAGAGGGTTCCTGCCACAGACTGGTGTCATGCATGGTATGGAGTTCACACCATGATTATATGCTTTGTACACTCCTCTACTCATCTCCTTTTTACACTGCTATTTGTATATATCATGGTATGAACTCCATACCATGCATGACACCAGTCTGTGGCAGGAACCCTCTCCAGTGATGCATTTGGAGATGGGTCATACACAGCACCCTATGCAGGGGTGCCACAAGGCATTGATGAAATGGGAGCAACCAATGTATTTACTGAGCCAGACACTGCTGAAACTATTGAAGACGTGCCCAAGGTAAATATGCTGCCTGCAGGTAAGACCAGCATAACAGTGGTGGACATTTCGGGTGTTCACACCTTGTTGATCCAGTTCTGTCAATGCCCTAGTTCATACCATGATATATACAAATAGCAGTGTAAAAAGGAGATGAGTAGAGGAGTGTACAAAGCATATACTTCTCACTTATGTAAGCTTTGTTTCTATTTATTTAGTTGTATTTGTAGTTTCTGTCTCTTTCCCTTTGTTCATGTTTATTCAGCTACTTGATTACATCAGTGAGCCACTCAGATATGTTTGTAAGCATGCATGTGACTAGTAATATTCTGATTTGTAAGGACTTTCCATGACTCATCATGTTTTGTAATATTTTACTCATGTACTTTAGTAAGCAGCTGATTCAGCACACCAAAAGGCTTGGTTAGTAAGCATAATCTTACCAATCCAGTGATGACTCATTGCCTAGTAAGGATGGTTTCTAAAATGTATATAAGGACTCCATTCTCACATAATATATTAAGTTTTTCCCCTTCCATTCTTTTCCCAAACTGTGTGGGAATGTAGGAATTTGAAGTCAGGAGTTTTCCCACTTTCTGTCTCAACACTGTGAGATCCAGAAGAAAGTGAAGACCTATGAGTTGCCTTTGAAAACAATCGTATTCTTTTAGTCTAGATTGATTGTATACTATACCTGCTACCATCTGTGGAGTCACCTTAGTTAGCCTTTGACTTGTGCAAATCTATCCCTTGCTCATTATCTTTGAATGCACTTTCAGCCACTCTAAGGGCACACTATCTAAGGTTCCTATATCTAGGCCTTCGTGAGATCTGGACTGCTACTGGTAGTCTTACCCTGGTGATCCATACCTAGCTTCATCTAGTTTTACCTTGTTATACCTAGACATACCTAGACTCTCCCTTATCATGGCCTAGCCTTACCTACTATCTCCATTGGCACTGGACTTCTTCACCTGTCTGGGCTATTGCATATTGGTGTTTTACTAGGATGTGAAAGGCAAGAAAATCACCAAATTTCACAATCCTCCACGGTCAATGGTTCAGACAATTACCAACAGTTGATAATGTGGTCATTCATGGGGGATAAGATATGTTGAACTTTTCAAGCGAACACTCATGATGTAAAAGGGGCAAAGAACAATAGAAAACAACAGTGGCACAAGATAGTGCTATGACCTTCAGAATAATATGTTGCAGCTGTATGCAATGAACTAGAACTATAATATATCCCTTTTGGATATTTCTTAGTTATACTGAGCAATGGAGAACAAATTCACTAGTGGTGACACACATGAAACCTGTTTCATACATGGTCATGGCAAATTTATGATTCATGCTATTCCTCACTGTAGTCTATGAACATCCCCTGAATTTTCTATACCTTACTTCAATTTACTTTGAACATTTTTAAGCATCTATCACCAAGATACAACTTGGTGCCTCAAATTAAATACTTAATGTACCCTTTATCCTTTCTATAATTCTTTATTTTATTTACCCCTATGCCAAACATATGTACATACACATTCTATGCACACTTTATTTACATCTATATACTCAAGACTGTGGTACTACACAAATTGACAATACAAATAAACAACTTTGGATTAGTAACCAAACAGATGAGCCACAATAAGTTACAATGAGTCATAATAAGTCATGTCTGCTATGATTCACACTGAGTCATCTTTCTTACTAATCGTTCTATGACATTCTACTGTTCTTTCTCAAACATTCTAGAATATTCTATAGTACATTAGTAATCAGTAGCACAGCCACTAGTTTAGTAGTATATAAGCAGCTCATTTTCCCTTCTTGTGAAGCAATCAATTTTATTTCCAAGTATTAATAGAGTGAGACACAGTTTAGGGGAACATAGGGGAACATTATTTCACCCCTTAGATTCTTAGCCCCTATTATTTTGAGTGAACATTCAAGTGACTATTAGGAGAAATATCAGCTTATTTGCTCCATTGTTTTGACATTATACTTTACATTCTTCAGAAGTATTTGGCCACACTCTTGAGCCATACTTGATTACATCATTTTCAATCATTCTAATTCTCTTTTAGACACAGGAAAAGTTCTGTGGGGAGAATTACACATATTATTCATCAATTAGGGTAGACACAAATAAGACCTACAATCTGTCAATGAATATTAAGAGCTTGGCTACTTAAGACTACATTAAGAAGGTGTACTCTATTCTGGACTGTATCATTACTCATTGTGAGATCCTGAGCAGCACAAACAACAAAATATGACATCAGGAAGAAGAAGAAGCAGCTCTAAGGGCTTGCCAGGATATATATGAAAGCTTTGTGAAGCCAGAGTTATCACTAGTATGTTTACTCATTTTTCATATTGCTATGATGGTCTCTGAGCTTTTGTTCAGGACATGGGCCCTGCATATTGCTTATCAGGTCTACCAAACTACTAATGTCACTTATCAAAAAGATTCCATGATGACTTACCACCTATCCCAGTGGTAGCATCCTCTTCAACTTTAAATAATGCAATGTGGAACCAGTAGGACAGTCCCCAATTATGAGTCAACCAGTTATCCTGAGCACCCCACAAAACCATTATAGCCTTTATTGTTAACATACATACTCTTTTCCATCATCCAGCTCTAATAAATTCATATCAGTAGCACATTTGTCTGACTCACCAACATTTATCAAGAATCTCAACAGCCTATGGACCCACCATGGTGGTCAGGATTCAGTATATTCATCTAATTACTTTGCACTGTTTTTCAATACAACAATGTTTTACCTTATATGTTGGTTTTACAGTGGCTCTGTCACAAAATCTTTGGCTGACTTGGATCATCTTGTAAATGAGGACATCCTTGCAAAGGACTTTGACAAGGGTGATCTCAAGGAGTTTTGGGCCTTGAAAGAAAGCAATCACCTTGATGACTATCAAGGTAATGCCCAAAACGTTCAATCACCATTTTCTGCATTAGACAGCTGGAAGGAAACTAGTATAAAGATCCATATCCCAGCTGATGGAGTCCAATATGCATCTGAGGATGTGGCTTTGCTGTTCAAGGTTCCTGGCCTATTTTATTAGCAGCCTCTCAAAGTCATCAAAGCTGCATTCTGTGAGTCAGCTGTGTATGGAGAAGTTTATAATTCACCTATGATACTTGATGAACATGAGAAAACCCATTCACAGTCCCAACAGGATGGCTGCACTCTTAAGACTGGTTGTGGTGATGATACTCTGGTTGGACTCAACCTATCTTACAAGCTTCAGAACTACATCTCTCTGGCCTATTTACATATTCCTAGGAAACCAGTCAAAATATGTGTGAGCTGAGCCAATATCATTTGTGATACACCATCTCACTTATATTCTCAAGGTATGGGTTTTATTGCTATAATTTTTCCACCCCTTGATATATTTCTGCCAGCTTACAGACACTTTTAAAGAGTTCTACTAATATACATTCAAAAAGGTCACAACAGCTAAAATCTTAAGTCATTGTCAGTGGGATTATCATTGAATGTCCTGATGGCATCTCCTGTAGAGTGTTATCTCATCTTTTTACATACTCAGTAGATTATTCTGAAAAGTAAGGATAATTCAATGATACAATTTCTACTGATTTATCTGACTTAATCACAACACTTTTAAATTGATTAAATTTCTTGCCAGTGTCCATGTTGACAGTGTATGATCCCTAAGATTAAGATTGGTAGTCTTGGAAGCAAGGTCAACAGATGCTAGTGCAAAAAAAGATGTGTAAAGACAGACATAGAATATAGACAATTATTAGACAAATTTGGGAGTGGTTGTATGTTAAAGGCACAAATATCACAAATACCTTAGTCAAGTGGATGCTTGCACCTGAGTCTCTTGTCCCAACTATGGTATGCTTTATATACTATATTATGTTTCACCTTACTGATTTGCTTGAAATGCATTTTCAATTCAGTTTGCATGCTTTGAGTTCAACTTCTACACCATTTTTGTCCCTGATCTACTCCATGAATTCAAGGTGGGAATTTGGAAGGCTACTTTTACATATCTCATCCACATCCTTCATGCATATGGTCATGAAATGATACAGTGGCTGAATAGATAGTATAGGTTCCTACTCAACTACCACTTGAATTTCTTATGTTGATATACTGTTAAGACCATACTCAAGTAGTATCGGATCTGAAGGGCTTTGGCCTCAGCTCGTGCGCTGTGCCCCTTTCCCAAGTCTCGCCCTTTATTTCAGAGTGCTAGAGTATCGCGTCTAGTGAGACGGATAAGTATCGTAATGGATCCGTTAAGGCTTCCAGATATCGAACGTATAGAGTAACGGCTAATCCGGATCAGATCCGAACTAGAAACTAATGGGTGAAGACTGTCCGAAGACAGAGACGGATATATAGACTATAGGAATCAATCCTAAGTCTCGGAGTAGACAAGAGTATTGTACTCGAGTCCAGACGGATAATGGAGGGACTTAGAGTCCTGACAGAATGAGTGCAATATAAGATGATATTCGAACTGATCTACTACAGTGCATGTACAAGGGTTTATATACTACGGATAACTAACGGAATGATCAATAAGCAAGGGCACGAGGCTATGTACGAAGTATAAGCAAAGTATGTGTACAGCATATCGGTAAGTCGGATGGATAACGAATCATAACCGGGAATGAAGTATAAGCTAAAGCGGATCAGTAAGTGTAGCAGATCAGTAAGCATAACGGAAGTAAAGGATAACTGGTATACCGGTGTACAGGAATGCTGAAAGGAGATGAACGATAGTTAGAGTTATATGAACAGGACATGAAATAAGAATCAGATCGGATCTGTGGACTGGAATACCTCCCTCATCTTTCATGGGCCACCACCCTGCTACCAATGTCAACACAGGCTTTCCCAACTCCCCAAAGGACTTGACACACCCACCAACACACCTATTCCCCTGATTCTTACTTGCCACCACCACCCCACTACCAACATACATAGATGCAGGCTTTGCTAACTCCCCAAAGGACTTCCTAACACAGGATTCATCAGAATCATCAGATGCCAAGCTATGTATGTACTCACAAAAACATCATGCAAATCTAATGATAGATGAATGCAAAGAGACTTGTGAAAGATTGGATATTGCAGTAGACACCTCTAATATCCTATCACCAGGGTGGAAGTCATGTGATGGGTGTCTGAGAGTCTGTGACCTTTTGAAATTGTCTATGATTGAGGTTTTAACAATTTAATGAAGACTAGGCACCCAGAGTATTACTTACAATCACCTTCGACTGTCTCACATGATGTTAAACAAGTGTTTGTAAAAACATGCAAATGTATCGCAAACATGTTGTGGAAAACACAACTTGGCTAGACACTTGTTAAAGCACCTAGCCAATATATGTCTAATGCTCTGCCTATGCTGCTATACTTGCAAACAGTGAAACAAGAATGTTCGACCTGAGGGAATAGCTACTAAGAACAACTTAAGATAGAAAGACCCAATGTGGTGTTCAAACTCGGGCTAGCCTCGCAGAACCCCTTTTTGCTATAGAGGTCAGACCTCCCTGAGGCCACATCATATCTTCCCATCACTTCCCTGCAGGGCCTCCCATCAGTACCGAGTCCTCCCATGTCCTGCCCATGTCCACCTATCTCCATTGGTGCGTTTTTAAGCTTATCTTACCATTACTGAATGAACAGCAGGTGTTATTACATGTATTCCCATGGCTGCAGCAACCACAAGCCTTATTACATACTAACCCGAATACCTCATGTCTCGCTACTACTCTCGCCTATACAATTCCAGACATTCATGTAGTTAGATAAATAGGACCCAAGTCTCGTACTATCACTTACTTACCTTCTCCGAACATACCTGCTACCGTTGTAGGAGTCACCTTAGTTAGTCTTTGATTGTGCAATTGATCTCTTTGCTTTTCATCACGGATGTGCCTTAACCGCTCTAAGTGTTAAGACCGTAGCTCAAGAGTTAACGGATCCAAAGGGCTTGGCCTCAGCTCGTATACTGTGCCCCTGACCCAAGTATGTGTCCTTAATTTCAGAATGAAGTCCAGATGGAATCCGACGAAGTCTGAAGGACTTCCAGAGGCTGGCTACTCTAGTAGAGTGCTAGAGGACTTCCAGATGAGCACGGGAAATTTCCAGAGGAGTACAGGAAACTCTGGAGGAGTTTCATCCACTGCATTGGGTCTAAAGATGAGACTTCCAAAGGTAAGCTCCCTAGATGGAAACATATAGAGAATAGACTGCAAGGGACAGAGTCCAAAGCAGGATAGGATAGGAGGAGTGGTCCAAAGGACAGGACGTCCGGAGGTCCAAAGGTTAAGACATCTGAAGGTTGCGACATCCAAAGATTACGACGTCCAAAGGTTATGTCATCCAAAGGTCTAAAGGTTTAGGAGGACTGGACAGGATTAGGACAGGAGGGGAAAGGCTACTATGGACAAGGTCCGGAATAGAAACAAACAGAGGTAGACTACACTTAAGTAGAGACGGAGTTGACAGGAAGTAGACAGAAGTCTTGGAAAGACAGGAAGTGCCAGAAAGGCAAAACTCCGGCTTAGGGAATCAATCCCTAAGCATAGATGTAGACAGAAGGATAAATCCAGTGTCCTGTATGATTTGTGAATCATGCATGGACATGACTACTAGGTATCCCCCTAAAAGACAAAGTCTGTTAGCTTAGTCCTCAGACTAGTCAACCCATACCTTAGTATCAAACCTTGGTCCAATAGTTTCAGTTTTCCCTCAGTGATTCATGAATCCACCATGTTTTGAAGAAAAGTCATATGTGAGATGGGAATCACATAATGACCTAGTTGATATGAGAAGCAAAATGAAGGTTAAGGTATTGCCTTTCCTTTGGCTTATTCACTTTGGCTAGAGAAACCCATAGAGAAAAGTTCAAAGCCTAACAAAAACCTATCTGAGAAGCCCACGTATTGTGTACTATTATTTGTTCCATTATTTCTGAGTTGTTTTCTCTAGTGTTTCTTTACTTTACTTTTCTATTAGGATGCTCTGACTAATCAGATGCTGCATAAAATTGTACCTACAGGATATGATGTCATAATGATGTCATTATCCCACCATGAATATTCTGGAATGTTCTTTTGCACCTGCTAGAACATTCTGCTCCAGTTTTTGGAATATTCTTCTCACATTCTGAAGTCATTACATCACCTTTTTACTTACATAATATTCCCACACAAAATGTATATAAGGAGAGCCCATTCTCCCCCCAAAAAAATAGATCTCCCACTTGAGCCAATTGAACTCTCACCTAAGAAGCTTCAGCCTGAACAGATTGCTGCTTACAAAGCACATTTCCTTTGTAAGTACTGTCCAGACAAGTGCAGGGAAAGTGTATCCCTTGAGATTACATAAGTTTCTCGCGATAGAAACCCAGGTTTGTGAGACCAGCGTTCTCACCAGGTATTTGCATATTGACCAACACAAGCTTTGGTCATTATAGTCACATTTGAGACCAGCTTCTCAACAGTTTATCATATATTCAGGAAACCAATTCAAGTGTCTAGATGGTATATCCTAGACAATCCCATAGTTTCAATCAGAGATAATAAAGCTCCGGCTAAGTTAATCTAACTGATTGGTATAGCGAGCCTCCCAAGAACTCACATGTTATCTACCACGAAAGAAGAAAAGTCGTAGACCGTGTTAATCGAGGACTGGCAAGAAGTCTTATCCAGTGTAATTGTGGTGTCATTACATTCTTACACGTATTTATATAAGACCCTCAGTTATTAAGACAGTGGTCCAAATCTTCGCATTTTTTGTCGGGCTGGTTGCGAAGATATTGAAGCGAGGGGCTGAAAGACCGCCCACGACCTTGAAATCAACATGTTCAACTCGGATAGATCTAATTAAGTCTCCTGTGGCTTTATAGATGTGCTCTTCTTTTCGAAGCTGCATGTGGCGAAGAGGTTGTTGATGTGGGGCCAGATTTCATGGTATGACCAGGCAGTGCCTACGGTCTCGTGGATGGTTTCCGTGTTGGAGGTAGTGAAGCTGGATAGGCAGAAGAGGAGGTCTGGGGGTTGGTCGCAGTTGAAAGGGAGCGCTTCGAAGGTCAGGTCCGTTGAGGACCAGATGCGCTGGTTAACTATGAGGTTGCTTGTTTCTTCTGACACGTTGTGGACTAGGAAGCCGGTTGGGAAGTCTTTGGATTCTCTACCTCCCAGCGGTGTCTTAATAACCAAGGGTCTTATATAAATACGTGTAAGAATGTAATGACACCACAATTACACTGGATAAGACTTCTTGCCAGTCCTCGATTAACACGGTCTACGACTTTTCTTCTTTCGTGTTAGATAACATGTGAGTTCTTGGGAGGCTCGCTATACCAATCAGTTAGATTAACTTAGCCGGAGCTTTATTATCTCTGATTGAAACTATGGGATTGTCTAGGATATACCGTCTAGACACTTGAACTGGTTTCCTGAATATACGGTTAACTGTTGAGAAGCTGGTCTCAAATGTGACTACGTGGACCAAAGCTCGTGTTGGTCAATATACAAATACCTGGTGAGAACGCTGGTCTCACAAATAACAACAATGACAAATAAAAAAAAACAATGACAAATAACAACAATGACCAAAGCTCGTGTTGGTCAGTATACAAATACCTGGTGAGAATGCTGGTCTCACAAATAACAACGTTGACCAAAGCTCGTGTTGGTCAGTAAACACTACGTGGTGAGAACACTGGTCTCACAAAACTGGGTTTCTATCACGAGAAACTTACGTAATCTCAAGGGAAACACTTTCCCTGCACTTGCCTGGACAGTTCTTACAAAGGAAATGGGCTTTGTAAGCAGCAATTTGTTCAGACTGAAGCTTCTTAGGTGAGAGTTCAATTTGCTCAAGTGGGAGTTCTTGAATGCAACAAGTGGGAGATCTATTTTTTTGGGGGAGAATGGGCTCTCCTTATATACATTTTGTGTGGGAATATTATGTAAGTAAAAAGGTGATGTAATGACTTCAGAATGTGAGAAGAATATTCCAAAAACTGGAGCAGAATGTTCTAGCAGGTGCAAAAGAACATTCCAGAATATTCATGGTGGGATAATGACATCATTCTGAGTCACTATGAGTCACTATGAGTCATTATGAGTCATTGGAATGTTCTAGCAAATTCCATGGAACATGACATCATTATGACATCACTATGATATCATATCTTTCAACCAAAATACCTGCAGGAGTGTAGGTGAAGTCCTATGACATCATTATGACATCATACCCTGTAGGTACAATTTTATGCAGCATCTGATTAGTCAGAGCATCCTAATAGAAAAGTAAAGTAAAGAAACACTAGAGAAAACAACTCAGAAATAATGGAACAAATAATAGTACACAATACGTGGGCTTCTCAGATAGGTTTTTGTTAGGCTTTGAACTTTTCTCTATGGGTTTCTCTAGCCAAAGTGAATAAGCCAAAGGAAAGGCAATACCTTAACCTTCATTTTGCTTCTCATATCAACTAGGTCATTATGTGATTCCCATCTCACATATGACTTTTCTTCAAAACATGGTGGATTCATGAATCACTGAGGGAAAACTGAAACTATTGGACCAAGGTTTGATACTAAGGTATGGGTTGACTAGTCTGAGGACTAAGCTAACAGACTTTGTCTTTTAGGGGGATACCTAGTAGTCATGTCCATGCATGATTCTCAAATCATGCAGGACAGCGGTTGTGGGGGGAGACTCTAATGGGGGGTGCTCCTTGGTGTACGAAGTTTGCAATTACGGCTATGTTAGTGCGTATGCGTTCAGCTATGACTGCTGATCTTTCATAGATGTCTTTTCCGGTGTGATCAAAGACCCTGACTATAAACTTCGGGTGTTTCACTTGGAACCACGCAAGTAAAACCCTATTCTCAAGGTGGTCGAAGACTTGAGCCGAGTGTGACATGTATATCTTGGGGAAACCCCCGCTTGGTGTGGGGGTGAACTGAGGGAGGGTGGTGATATGATTTGGGGTGTCATGTCTGTTCTGTTCCGCTAGAGCGATGTGCGCTAAGATGTTCTCTTCTTCCGCTGTTGATGCATGTGGGAGGTCAGGGTAAGGGGGAACGCTCATTTCCTGGTCTGCTGGTGAGTTCTGGGGGGGCATGGATGGAGTCCGCAAGGTCACTTTGTGCAGTTGGATTTGACTTCGTGCCAGGGAGGGTGTTGGCTTCCTTGGGGGTAACAGTCTCTGAGGACGGAAGTTGATCATGGATGGTCCATGGGGTAGGGGTTGGTGTGTCGGGTGGGGATATGGAGGTTGTTGGGGAGGGTATGTTGGTTGGGTGGTTAGGAGGGATTTCCATGTCATTGTTGTCGTTGAGGACGTTGGGAGGGAAGAATATTGGTCTGGTGCGGTGTGAAAGAGAAATAGCGACTAGGCTGGTTAGAAACTAGCGCTACTTATCCAAATAGGCGCAAGTGTAGTATTCAACCCAAGAGGACTGCTATTGAAACAACTCCCTTCTAATATGCAAGGGTAGCGATAGTGCGAAGGACTAATAACCTATAGTGACCTAAGACCAAAAACCGATGAGTAGCGCTATAGCAATCAGCGACTAGCGACAAGTGAGTTCCAACAGAGAAACATGCGTATAAGTGAGTAGCGCTGTGCAAGTTGTTTTATGTGATAGCGCTATGCGACGTCCGACTAGTGACAGCGAGAAGAAATCAAAGGAAGGGAAAGCGAGGAATAAGGTAAGACAGTGCAAGTGAAATGCCCGATAGCAACTAGATTATAGCTCGACTACCGATAGCGATCCCGATGTTGCGAAAGTCAAACTTATGAGGGAACTTTAGCGACGCACACTTAAAACAAGTCAAGCGACACACGATCAGAGAGATTGGCAAGAGCGGAATCAATTGCACCAAGACTAGGATATAGCGACTAAAGTGACTCCGACACCAGCAAAGGTCCGGGGAAGGGAAGTACTGTACTGTATGTAGGACGGGTCATTTTATCATACTGCATAGGGGTTCGGGATCGCATAGGCAAGTATAGTAGCGACACTGGCGAGGGCACGATGTAGTGACAGGTAATAAGACATGCAGTGCTGCGGAACACGAGGACACATGTAATAAGACCTGCGACTGATGAGTAGCGACATTTAAGGAACAATAATGCACCAGCGGAGGTAGGTGGACATAGGCAGGACATGGGAGGACGGAATACCTAGGCGTCGGACCGGGTAGTGCGCTATGGGAGAAAAGAGGTTCCAAAGCGGATAGCTTGGGAGCTGACTAGCGCTGGTGACTAGCGCCTTACTCTTTTCCTCTAGACAGGGCAATTTATGCCTATGACACTCATACGCGCCTAGCGCTGGTATGATTGTCACAGCGGGGTGTCTGGGATGAATGACGAGGGGTAGATAGGTAAGGGCGGGTGGTTTGGGAGAGGGTTTTGATCAAGGTGGGTTCCTTGTCTTTCATCTTCCAGTGGACAGGGGGGTTGTTTTTACCTTGCAGGTTTTTATATGTTGGATTCAGTCGCAGTTTACTGGGGAGTTTGTTTCTCTTACAATCGGGGAGTCTTCGTGGCTGAGGTGTGTGCTTTTAATGTGATGATCAGTGTGTACTTTAGTCTGACCATGAGTGGTAGTGAATTCTCAAGGTATTCTTATCAAGGAGGTTTTGTTAAGTGTTATTACCTGGGGGGGAGGTGCATTTTACGTTCGGCGTAGTTTTATGCCTGAAGTTGGGTGTTAGTTTGTGGCCTGTTCGTGTGTTATTCGGGTTATATGTCATCTTTACTCTTTTCTTTGATCCTGGTGAGTTCTAATGTTGGTTATGGGTTGTCCGGTGTTATGAGTGAGGAGTTGTGAGTTTGTGGGTTAGAGAGCGGTTTGGGTGTTGGGGGGCAGTTTTCTTAGTTTGTGATTGGCGTTTTGAGACGGTTTTTATTTAGAGGTTTTCTTTTGTTACTCTTGTTTGAGGATCTATGTTGTATGGGGGTTTATTCATTTGGGCTAGCTGTTGACTATGAGCTGGCGTAGCTTGACCTTATCCGTGCATGTGCATGGGAAAACATCGACCATGGTGGTGGTTCGAGTTCAAGGGCCCCCCAGGTCCAGATTTCTGGCCTAAGGAATCCATCCCTAGGCCTCATGGAAAGGACAGAACTTAGATGGACCAAAGTCCAGAAGAAGTATGATAAGAGAGAGCAAAGTCTAAGATGATATTCAAACTGAGGAAACTACAGGAGTTGTACAGGGTTTAATATACTGGAGGACATATCAGAGGATCAGTAAGCAGAGGACTGAGGCTGTGTGTGAGCATGTGAAAATATATTAGTAAGTGAGATGGAACATAAGTAAATGAACTTGGAGATGAAGTATGCACAAGTATCAATCAGTGATAGGCAACTGCATGGGTATGTGTAACCCGTACAGGTCGCGGGTAAGGGTACACCTGGGGTACGGGTGGGGGTTGCCTTTCACAGCACCCATACCCTTATCCATACCCGCACATGGGTTAGACCATCCAAACATGATATATTGCTATGTAATTGAGAACTCTGCTACATATGTACTAGTACCTATGCCAAAATCAAACCTTAAAGAAGCCACAACTGTCGAAAAATACCCCATCCTGTCATCCTAAGCATACCTGTCCTAGACTCCTACCTCACATCCAACCATGCAACCAAACATATTTACTCCAGCTGCAAGACAGGTCACAAAGCTCACAGACAAGACCAAAGTGGCACTTGAAGAGAGACTTGAAGCTACCGGCCTGTCAAAGAAGTACAAGATTGATGTGAAGGGCACAAGTGCAGTCTCCAACAACTCAAAGAAAGCAAAACAAAACCCTCCCACTGATATATCCAAAGATAGACCAGTCACTGGTACATCCAAAGATAGGCCAGTTGCTAAAGCCTCTTCACCTCCACCTGATGTGGGAACAGCAGCAAAGCCTTGTGAAATTTGCTGTGCCATTGTTCACACTGAGGAAGAGGAAGAAGTGTTGTATGACAATGCCATTGTTATTGATGACAAGAGCGAGAAAAGCAGAGGCGAGGCTGGTAACGAGGCTTCAAGTCCAGAGAGTGCTGAGGACAAGTGAAGTATGTTCCTGCTATACAAACATAGCGCCACTAATTAGCAACAGAGAGGCTCATGAAAGAATGGGTATCACCTGTTTATGCATTCTTTGACCCAACTCCCCACATTACTGAAGTTGGTGGTCGACATGCACACGAATTCAAGTGCTGTGCAAAAGGGTTGTAAGGCCACAATCCAATGGTTCTTGGACAAAAAGGATGCCCAATTGATGGGGAACATGCACAAACATGTCAAATCTTGTTGGAGGAAAGATATGCTCAATGCTGCTGATGACACCAAAGATGTGGATGAAGTGCGAACAAAAATTATCGGAGGTATCCTAAAGAACAGGTCAATCATGGCATCCTTCAAATGTAAGGGAAAGGAAAAAGTAATTTACTTGCACCATCAACACATGCACAGAGAAACAAGGTGAGGTCTTGATGTTGTTCTTGATGGCACCTAAGCCTAAATTGTCTTCTTCCAGGGCAGAAATAGTGTGTTGGGTATTGGAGAGTCTGCATCCATTCAAGATAGTCAAGGATTGAGGATTTCAGTCATTGATGAAGACCAGAAGGCCAGAGTATTACATACCTTTGCCATCCACAATTTCATGTGATGTTTGACTTGTGTTCGCTCAGACTTGTCAATGAGTTGCTAAAATGTCACAAGTTAGTTCAAATCATGCACTTTGAAATATTCAAATGTGTCATATACCATATATCCGGTTACAGATCCGATCCAGATCCGATGAACATATCCATCGTCCGGTCCACAGATCCGCTTTGATTCTTATTTCATTTCCTGTTCATATAACTCTAACTATCGTTCATCTCCTTCCGGTATTCCTGTACACCGGTATACCGGTTATCCTTTACTTCCACTTTGCTTACTGATCCGCTATGCTTACTGATCCGCTACACTTACGAATCCGCTTTTACTTGTACTTCATTCCCGGTTCATGATTCGTGATCCATCCAACTTACCAATACGCTCCACTTAGACTTTGCTTATACTTTCGTACATAGCCTCGCACCTTTGCTTATTGATCATTCCGTTAGCTATCCGTAGTATATAAACCTTTGTATATGCGCTGTAGTAGATCAGTTCGAATATCATCTTAGATTGCACTCATTCCGTCTGGACTCTGAGTCCCTCCGTTATCCATCCAGACTTGAGTACGCTACTCTTGTCAACTCCGAGACTTAGGATAGATTCCTATAGTCTACATATCCGCCTCTGTCTTCGGACAGTCCTCACCCGTTAGTTTCTAGTCCGGATCCGATCCGGATTGGCCGTTACTCTATATACGCGATACTTTAGCTCTCTGAAATAAGGGGCAAGACTCGGGAAAGGGGCACAGCGCACGAGCTGAGGCCGAAGCCCTTCAGATCCGATACTACTTGAGTACGGTCTTAACAAAATGAAAAAACCTCACCAGGAATATGATGGCAAGATAAATTTTACAACAGATACTTGGAGTTCACCAGACCATTGAGCGTTCATTGAATTCTCAGTGCACCTCAAGCACAATGGCATACTGCTGGGCCTACCATTAGATATCATTGAAGTAGCTACCTTGATAGATCCACAGCAGCTAATACTTTGTTAGTCGCACACAGGTGAAGAGCTGGCAAACGTGTTTGCAAAGATGCTAGAGGAATTTGGCATTTCAGACAAGGTAAATTTAAAAGAGACATGGAAACTTACAAATTGATATTATATAACCCAGATTTTGAGCATGATATGTGATAATGCCTCCAACAACAATGTCATGGTTGAGAACCTTGCAGCTGAGGTACCAGCATTTGAGGGGGCACAAGCCATATGCAGTGTTTTCTCCATATGGTAAACCTTGTAGTGAAATCGCTCATTCACAAGTTTGATGTAACCAAGAAAGAGGCCAACAAAGCCTTGGATGAGCCTGAGAATAGTGATGACAGAACAGAGCTCAAGGTATTGAGCAAGGGAATTGATGGGGAGGAAGCAGTGATGGTGGCTGAATATGATGTTGGGGATAATGATAGTAGTGACAATGATGACGGTTGGGTTGATGAAGTTGGAGAGCTCAACCCTGATAAATGACTCATGCTGGAAAAGAGTATTCTTCCTGTGAAGTTAGCCTTTGTGAAGGTAAGAACAAAATGAAACCAACACACACCTTCAAGTATAATCTCTCTTCTAGCTCCATAAACTGGCCTACAAAGTTATACATTTGATGACTATAGTCCTCCCAGTGTGGCATAAGATTCTTGAAGACTTGCAGGCACCCATTACTCTCATGCCACGCAATGTTCCAACCTGCTGGAACTCCACATTCAATATGTTGGATTATGCAATTGAGCATTGGGAGGCCATTGATACTGTGACCCAACAACGAGATCTCAGTCTGCAGATGTTTGAGCTGAATGATGAGGAGTGGGCAATTGCCAAACAGCCAAGGGATGTTCTCAAGGTAAGTACCAGACCTATCTGAACACCATATGAACTAATTTTGGTCTATGTAGATTCTAAAGGATGCAACACTATTTTTCTCCTGCTCAACACCTAATCTAGCCACCATTTTTGAAATTCCTGGAGTTGTATAATATTTCACAAAAACCACTCATCACGTGACCCTCACATGACATGTTCCCACAGGGACACATCTTTCTGATTGGTAAGCCTGGCCTGGGTGGACCTGATGAGATGTGGGAAATGGAAGATGTTCTTCCACCCTGTAAGAAGCAAGGCCCCTTATCTCTTTAATTAGGGTTAGGGTTCGGCCCTTGCGGGATAAAGAACTAGGCCACCTTCAGGACACCCTGATGGAGGTAGTAGGGTGATACCTATTATTGGCACCATCAGATTAGCCCTTTATTGGATGACATTTGATCAGCCCTTCCTTATCACCACCACAATACCTGGTTCATTTCCGTGTGGAAGTCTGAACCCCTTATCTTTCAGCGTGAGTCATCATGACTGATGCTTCTCTCTACCTTTAGGTTCAGATCTTCGGGTAAAAGAACCCAGATCTTTGTGACATGTGAAAACCTCTATTTTTGGAACAATAGATGTGTCCTTTTATGTATTAATTGGACAATAGGAAACTGGTCTCCCTTGGGATCCAGCAGTACGAATTGTGATCATATCCATGGTATGACAAGCGTGGGAATGCTTCTAGATAAGCACTGCCTTCGCTCCTCACCTTATATACCCTTCGAAATTTTGCTGATGAGCTACCATTGTGAAATTTGCCTCCTTCCACTAGCTTGGAAGGATAACTTCAAGTTTCAAAAATATTATCAGCAACCCACCCTCAAACCTTGTTAATGCAGTTGCCCCTCCCCCCTGAAGTGTGTGGTGAGGGGAGGGGCTCCCTGCAACACTATTTTTCTCCTGCTCAACATCTAATCTAGCCACCATGATTCTGGCCATGGATCTCATTGATGAAAAGCTCACTACATACTCCCGCAACAGACAGTATCACCCTTCAATCCACTCAGCTGTTCAGCTGGCAAAGGTAACACTTAACTGGTACTATCAACATACAGATCAATTCAAAGTCTATCACATTGCCATGGGTTTGTTCTTTTTTGTCTCTGTTCTGATGGCTCACATTCACACATATACTATAGTACTACACCTGCATCACACCTGCATCACAAGCTCATATACTTCATAAACACTCAATGGGAGGATGACTGGGTCACGACAGCTGAAATGCTTGTCTGTGACCAATTTGCTCTTTATTCGGCCTTGGAGGTTGACCTTCAAGACAATGACTTGGACATGGAGACTTTAGAGTTATCCACAGAGGGATTGCATAAGGTACATCTTTTTTTAACTGTAAATACTGACTACTGATTCTATTCTAGATGAAAAACATATTTGATGACATGCCTGCCCTTGCTCTGCCAAAATTGACCGATCTCTGTGATGAGCTTGAGCGCTATCTCACCTCTGACATTGAAAATGTTCCTGACACACTTGCATGGTGGCATGAATGTCATACCCCTACCCTCATCTATCACGGATGGTGTTAGACTACCTTACCATTCCTGGTGAGTTTATTTTAAATTGAACTTGCATATACTACAGCTAATAACATCAACAGCCACATCAGTCAATGTTGAATGACTATTTAGCCGAGGACAGCTCTTACTCTCACATGTTCACTCACGCTTATCTGCACAATCAATGCATGCACTGGTGTGCCTCAGTTTTTGGAGCAAACTCAACCTGGTCAAGACTGATGACATCGTCAGCATCAGTTCTTTGCCTAATGCCAAAGATGATGAAGAGGAGCTCAATGATGGGTGGGGTCAAATTATTGTTGAGTAGCTGTCGTACATTGTGTTGTAGATTTACCCTATAGTATCTGTAACCTGCAGGTACACCCTTAATGGGTTGTACCCCAGGTTCTTCCTTCACTATTCACTGTGTAACTCATACCCTTGCTATGAGTGTGGGTTTTCCTTGGGGTGCGGGTGTGGGTTGACCTGCTGACACCCAGGGGTTCACCTATGTAGATCCCTAATCAGTGAGGCAGATACAGAGATAACTGAAAGCCAGAAAGGTGGAGATATCTAAATGGGAATAGGTGCAGGATTTTGGATGGAAGGCAGGAATAGGTCCAGAGATAGTTACAGTTAATATCTGGAGGTCTGGAGATCTCAGAGCTGATGTGAAAGCAGGACTGGAATATATACTGAGGAGGTGGATGCAGTCTGGAATCTGAGAAGAGGTAAAGTCCAGATGTCTTGCTGGAGAGAAAGTACATATATGGACATAGGGTGGGAATCAGTATGAAGATAGGTACAGATGAGATCCAGAGGTCCAGGTTCCGGAGTTCCAGAGATCTAGGTGAAGGTGAAACAGGAACATTGTTAAGACCGTACTCAAGTAGTATCGGATCCGAAGGGCTTCGGCCTCAGCTCGTGCGCTGTGCCCCTTTCCTGAGTCTTGCCCCTTATTTCAGAGAGCTAAAGTATCGCGTCTAGTGAGACGGATAAGTCTCGTAACGGATAAGTCTTGTATTGCAACGGATAAGTATTGCAATGGATCCGTTAAGACTTCCGGATATCGAACGTATAGAGTAACGGCTAATCCGGATTGGATCCGGACTAGAAACTAACGGGTGAGGACTGTCCGAAGACAGAGGCGGATATGTAGACTATAGGAATCTATCCTAAGTCTCGGAGTAGACAAGAGTAGCGTACTCAAGTCCGGACGGATAACGGAGGGACTTAGAGTCCAGACGGAATGAGTGCAATCTAAGATGATATTCGAACTGATCTACTACAGCGCATATACAAAGGTTTATATACTACGGATAGCTAACGGAATGATCAATAAGCAAAGGTGCGAGGCTATGTACGAAAGTATAAGCAAAGTCTAAGTGGAGCGTATTGGTAAGTTGGATGGATCACGAATCATGAACCGGGAATGAAGTACAAGTAAAAGCAGATTCGTAAGTGTAGCGGATCAGTAAGCATAGCGGAAGTAAAGGATAACCGGTATACCGGTGTACAGGAATACCGAAAGGAGATGAACAATAGTTAGAGTTATATGAACAGGAAATGAAATAAGAATCAAAGCGGATCTGTGGACTGGACGACGGATATGTTCATCGGATCTGTAACCGGATATATGGTATATGACAGACATGATTGTAAGGTGAATATGGTCTGGAATCATGGATGAGATAAAGTCCATATATCTGACTGAATGAAATGTACTTAGAGTGGACAGGATAGGGGATGGATGGAGCAGGCTAGCTGCAGAGGTCTGGAGCACAGAGGTACATAGTAGGTCTGGAGGTCAGGGGTAGTTAGGTAGCAGGGCAGATCCTGGACAGCGCAATGGACAGGAAACTAGTGTGAAAAAGAAATAGGTACTAGGTGGTTAGCAACTAGCACTACTTATCCAAGGCACAAGTATAGTATTCGACCCAAGAGGACTGCTAATGAAGCAACTCCCTACTAATAAGCAAGGGGAGCGATAGCACAAAGGGCTTATGACCTATAGTGACCAAAACCAAGAACTAATGAGTAACACTAGCAATCAGCATCTAAGAGAATCTCAACAGAGAAACATGCATCTAATGAGAGTTGCACTATGCAAGATGTGTTATCTGATAGTGATATGTGAACGTGCAACTTAGTGATAGTGAGAAGAGTCAAGGATCAAGAATGGAGCTAAGGCTAGATAGTGCAAGTGAAAAGCCTGGTAGCAACTAGTTGTAGCACAAACTACCAATAGCAATTTGAGAGTTGCAAAAGTCAAACTATGAGAATCCTTAGTGACATGCACTTAGAGCAGTTAAGCAACACGTGATCAGAGAGAATGAGCAAGAGCAGAGTCAATTGCATAAAGACTAAGATATAGTGACTAAGGTGACCCCGACACACTGGCAAAGGTCCGGGGAAGGGAAGTAATCTATTGTAAGTACAATGAGCCATTTTATCATACTGCATGAATGTTCAGAATACATATTTGAGAGCAGTAGCAATGCAGGCAAGAGCACAATGTGTCTACAGGTAATAAGATATGCAGCCCAGTGAAACACGAGGATACATGTAATAAGACCTGCAACTGATTAGTAACAACAATTAAGGACTAATAATGCACCAGCAGAGGTAGGTGGACATAGGCAGGACATGGGAGGACAGGGTACCTAAGTGTCAAACTGGATAGCATGCTATGGGAGACAGTGTTCCCAAGGCGAATGAGTTGGGGATAAGGATATTGGTGACTGGTGTTTAGCTCCTTTTTCCTAGACAAGGCAAAATATGGCTGTAACACCCATACACACCTAGCACTGGTATGATTGTCACACCAGGAATAAGTCAGGATGAGAGCCAGAGATTTGGCAGTCAAGGTGTGAGAATCCTATGGAGCATAGGTCCAGAATACAGGATAGACAATGACTCACACCCTGACTCCTCTGAAGTGTATTGCATTGCTATGGGTGCATCTTTTATTTTTATTTTATTTTTAGTCTAAATCTAATCATGTTGTAGTCCTTCATCTTCAGCATAAGCTGTCATATTTTCAGTCTGCTGGCTGGCAGTAGGACTGGATTGACACAGCCAAAGAACTCATTGGCACAAAATTCAAGCATTATACAACTCACTCACCAGTCCCTCCTAACAACATGAATCCAGTGGTAACTGAGGTCAATGAGGTGCATGCTACTAACAGTCATTATTATCACTTTTTACTAACATAAGTCTCTAATCTTCAGGATGGAAATATCTTCAACTATTTGCCCACACTCTCCCATCCCAAGCCTACCACCTCTGCTGAGGAACTTAATAGCTACCTCAATGCAGACATCGAGGATGTCGCAGATCCAATAGCATGGTGTTATGGGCACTGAAAGATTTACCTGCAACTGTTACAAGAACATCTGGTTGTTCTAGCCCCTATTCATTTTCTCATTCTTTGTCTCACTTTGTACTTACTACGTCATTTCAACTTCAAATGCACAGCTCCTATTAGTTGCTGTGTATGTTATACTGTTACTGTTGACTCATTTCCCCTGACTCATAACCCTATGCCTTTACTGCCTGACTGGTACCTGTCTTATCTCTGACTCACTTCCCTTTTGCCCTTACTGTCCAACCGGTGCTATCTTGTTCTATGACTCATCTCTGACTCATCTCCCCTGTACTCTTACCACTAATTTGGCATCCCTGCCCTTAACCACCTCCTACCTATATATACCAGTAGGGTATCACTTGTATTCTCTAACTTGAATCTACTTGGTTCTACCTGCCTATCTGCTTGAAGCCCTAAGCAAGCTTCTCCTTCTCATCTCAAACTCTGTTAGACTCACCATCTAGCAGCCTTATACTTGAGAAGCACAATTAGAGAATGCCATCCTAATCATTGACAACCTCATTGTCAGACAGACAATGTCATTGCTGTGAACTCTTGCTATCTGAACACCTGCTGGTCTCAGCAGGCTGAGCAAGAGCCCCCATCCAAGTTTCAGTTGCAAACTAGCATTGTTCGTAACAGCAACTCTCTCAAATGGCCCTCAACTACCTTACTATTCCTGGTACATTTTTTTGTTATGTTTCTTAATGTTAGTTATTCTAGCAATGTCTGTCGATGTCAAGCACATTTTCAGCCATGGGCACTTACTTCTCTCCCATGTCCAAAGCTGTCTCTCTGCACAGACCACTTGTGCACTCCTTTGTGTTGGGCTATGGGGCCAACTAGGATTGGTGAAGGATTGTGACATACAGTCAATTGCAAGCTTACCTGATATCAAAGCCAAGGAGGAGTTGCAGGATGGGTGGGATAGTATTATACTAGAGTAGTTTACATGATGTGTTCTCACTGCATACAATTTAGTTCTGTGGGTACAGGTATACCCACCATACCCTTGACCCATGCTGTACCCCTCCAGTTACCCATACCCCTCAAGACCCATGAGTATAAGGGTACAGGTACAGGTTGGTGGCTGTGTACCTGCATGTTTACCCCTGCTGATCCCTAGCCATGCAGCTCACTGGTCAACCCTTCTCATTTCCCTCACTTCCACCTGGTTATGACATGCTACCATCAGGCCCTTATCCAACTCCTTTCTTGTCTAGCAAATGTGGCTTACTCTTTGCTAGCAGTTTAAAACAAAAATGATTTCATAATACTTCTCCATCTGCAGGCAAGCAGATCCCTTGTATTATATGTAGATAGATGTGTGCTACCACTGCATGTCATTTCCTTCTCCCTCCTCCATCTCAGTTAACAAAGGCCAAAATACATTTTGCTCACATCCTTGATTAGTCTCTTTTATCTCTCCATTAAGAGAAGATACTGCCTTTCTGAAGGTAGCCTCAGCAACTATTGCAGCTTCATCTACACCCTGTGTTGTATGTGGGCTTAATAAAGGCACAGCCAGAAGCCCTACCAATGAATCTGAGGTGCTGGCTGTACACGAGGCAAGTTCCTGCATATAGAATGTAGACCAAATCAATGTTTTCTGCTGCTGTTGCTCAGCTCGAAACAATAAGAGGACAGCTGTTAGGTAAGGGCGTAAAAGGACCTCGGCCGAATGAATGGAATTGGTGGGAAGAGGCATTGAAATGTAGAGGATGCCTAAAATGAATTGAGGTACTGATAAACATGAATTGAAAAAAAACAACCATACCTTTCCCGGAAGGGGCCGACATTGTACCTGGACCTGCCGCCATAACATGCACAGCAGAAATTGCCGATCCCCCGTTCAACGACCCCGGCGGAAAGACAAGAATTGAAGAATCCGACGCATCTGACGTTCCTGAATCCTTAGTGTCCAACGGCAAAGTAATTGGCCCATCAACGATTGCGATGCATCGCGCCATCGCAAATAGCCGCGGGGAGCCGCAGGATGATATACTCGGACGGATGACATCCGCTAGAGTGCGAAGGTGACCTGGTAGAAGAGTAGTCGACGATATCAGGCATCGACAGTGAAGACGGTCTGGAAAGTCGTCGACTTCAACAGCGAACCGGGGTAGATCTGATTTCAAAACGGGGTATTCTGGCCCGGCGGGATCGACAGGCGAGATTCTTGTAACGGATCGTCCCAGAATATAAACGCCTCCCCTCACAGCAGCTGCGCGGCAAAAGCCTTGCGCGATTTCGCCCGAGCCACCGTAGTAGCCAACGAGAAATGCGGACGGCCCATAGCGACCAGATGCCTTCAGGTAAGTGCGAATACGATGCAGAGTGGGAAGAGTCGTTTCTGAAATAAAACAGCAATATCCCAGGGCATATGTAATGGCGCGAGCGGTGGCCTCACTGAGCAAAAAAATCCTCTGCAAGAAATCGAGCAAGGGCAAATCTTCTTGGCCATGCAGCTCCTTGCTATTCTCGAATTCTCCAGCGGCAAACATAAGGAAACGCGTGACCCTCCTCTTCTCTAAGAGACTCATCGCCTTGCTCTGAAAGATGTCATCCTTGCTCTGAGGTACATCTTTCAATATGCCACTGTCATAAATGACAACGCGACCAAGGAGCTTGAAAGATCCGTAGCGAGAAACGCCTGAGGCGATGAGGGACGAAATGAAAGGGCCGATCGATGGAATGACCGAAGGAGCCAATGAGACTGAGTACTGTCTCGCATGAGGCGGGACTTCACCATAATGGGTGACAGAATGATTGTCCTCTTTGTGGTGATCAACCCACTGCATGAGTTCATCTAATGAGAGGGATGCTTCGTCTGCACCATAATATGGATTGGGGTCAATATGTGCGACTTTGAAGCCAGCTTTAGAGAGAGCACTGATAGGTTCCTACTGAGTACAAGAACATGGTGTGCACATATCAATTTTGCTCACGCAGCAGTTATAGACTCGGTCAGACCGGTGCCAAGCACAATAACGTCAAAATGATTGTCCATTGCTGCAGTGATGGAAGGAATTGATTCAGGCATCGCAGAGCATTTCAAGTCCTGAATCAACCTGCCCTTAATCAGAATGGCTCACGTGCTTATCGAGCCAAAATTTTGTACTTCTTACTTTGCAGATCTGTATCTCTCACTTGTACGCCATGGCAAAATCAGACAAGAAGGCAGCAGATAAGGCCAAGGCTACCAAGCCAGCCGCCGCCTCACCCGCAAAAGCAAAGTCGCTAGCGTCATCCAAGGAGATTTTGGCCAAGGCCGTATGTATTCTTGTCGTTAGTCGTCGGACCCTTTTTGCTCAACCCCCACAGAAAATACTCAAAGCATCAAATGGAAAGCCTTCCGTTAAACGTGCCAAAGATGAATCATCCGACGATTCGTCAGACTCCTCTTCGGAAGATGAACAATCCAAAAAAACAGTGCTCACGTCGGACTCTGACGACTCACCGGAAGAAAAAAAACCTGCTAGTGCCCCAGCCAGCAAAAAGGGAAAGGGCAAAGTGGAGAGTAGTGATTCTTCTGATTCGTCGTCGAGTGACGAGAGCTCATCAGATGAGGTCGGTGACAAGGATGTAGAGATGCAGGATGTTCAACCTGCCAATGGTAAGTGATTGATTGCACTAGTCTCCGCTCAACCTGATTTTTTTGTCGTGGCATTCAGGCAAAAAGACAGATAAGCCCAAGGCAGCAAAACCAACCGCCTCGCCGGCAAAAAAAGTCAAATTGCCAACATCATCCAAGGACATTTTGGCTAAGGCTGTATGTATTCATTTTTTCAGTCTTTTCGACCTTCATTCAATATCCATAGGGAGCACTCAAAGCATCGATTTCAAAAGCATCCGAATCAAGCGACGAGTCCTCAGACTCTTCTTCGGAGGATGGACAACCCAAAAAGCTTACCCCTACCTCCGACTCCGATGACTCATCGGATGATGAAAAACTCGCCAGTGTCCCGGCCGGCAAAAAGGGGAAGGGTAAAGAAAGTGGTGACTCCGATTCTTCGAGCCACGAGAGCTCGTCAGATCAGGATGGGGACAAGGGCGCCGAAGTACAAAATGTTCAGCCTGCCAAGGGTAAGCTATCGATCACAGTAGTCGTTCATCAACCTGAATGGTCTACAGGTACCAAGCGCAAAGCAGAAGCAGAGCCCTCCGTTCCCCCAAAAAAGGTAAAATTGGTCGATGACGACGCAGCTCCTAGCGTATCGACTGAGGAAACGAAAAGTATTTTCGTTGGTCGGCTATCATGGAATGTCGACAACGACTGGCTCGCACAGGAATTCGCCTCCTGCGGCGAAGTTGTCTCTGCTCAAGTACAAACGGATCGTGCAACTGGAAAGTCGCGCGGTTTTGGCTATGTCCACTTCACATCCGCAGATGCGGTTGAAAAGGCTCTCCAAATGAACGGCAAGGAAATTGATGGAAGGCCCGTCAATATTGACAAAAGCACTCCGCCGGATAAAAGCGCTGTTCGTGAAAACCGGGCAAAGTCTTTTGGCGACACGCAGAGCCCAGTGTCAAGCGTTCTCTTTGTTGGGAATCTTAGCTTTGGTGTCAACGAGGATCAACTTTGGGAAGTCTTTGGCGAGCACGGCGACGTTAAAAGCGTTCGTGTTCCAACAGATCGTGAGTCGGGAAGGCCAAAGGGTTTTGCCTATGTCGAGTTTAGTGCTGTGGAGGCCGCACAGGCAGCCCACGGACAGCTGCAGGGTTATGAGCTTGACGGCCGCAGCCTTCGGTTGGACTATTCCCAACCAAGAGACAACGCTGGGGGTGGACGCGGCGGCGGTCGTGGAGGATTCGGCGACCGAGGTCGTGGACGTGGTGGGTTCGGGGGCGGTGACCGTGGACGTGGACGTGGTGGGTTCGGTGGTGACCGTGGTGGGAGAGGACGCGGCCGAGGTGGTGACCGCGGTGGGAGGGGTGGCGGCAGAGGTCGAGGGGGCGCACGCACTGGAGCCGTCACTCAGTTTGAGGGGTCCAAGATCACTTTCGATTAGGCTACACAGCACTACCCCAAAAATGATGACTTCCCACTTTTAACGGGGCTCAAGTCGTTGCATATCTTTCGTATATACATATGCACACTGTTCTATCATTGTGGTTGACAACTTGATCTATCATACTTCATTAACTGTGGATTCAAGGTAAGGGAACAAAAACAAGGGATGGTATCAGTAAGTAAGCTACTCGCAAGTCCATGATAATTTGGTATCCACTGACTGACTGAGATCAGCCCATTTTACCCTCTTGAAACGCCTTGCGATAGGGATTCTGGCTCGGAGGTAGCGCACCAGTCTTCTCCAGTCGATCAAATAATACGAACAACTTCTCCGCCTCGTGTTCCTTCTCTTCATCAGTCATGTCGACGGTTTCCGAGGGGTGCTCAACGGTGCCAGTGATGGGGTTGATGGGTAAACCTGACGCAGTAGTTGGTGGCGCACCCGAGGCCGCACTGACAGGCGGTGCACTAACAACCCCTTTGTGATAAAGGAAACCAGCAACATTGCCGTATCCGAAATAACCAGCGAGAGATGAAGCTAAATTTCATTCGTAAATATAACCGACGGGAGGAGTATATGACATACCGTTTGAATCACACATTGCGTACAACATTTCTCCCATAGCATCTTTCAACCTGCTGTGGTAAACAGATGCAAGGAGTCTCAAACACCGACCTAAAAGGTCTGCTCTCTTCTCCAAAGGATGCGTCCTGTCCAGATTTTCAGGCACTAACCACTGTCTTATTCTCGTCTTGGCATCGTCGTCACCAAGACAGAATCGTGTGATAAGTAGAACAAGCGGGCACAGGATTTCATCCAGGGACGTATCCCCATCGATCTTGCACAGATCTCGCACTGCAGAATCATCTGGATCGATATCACCTGGAAGGAAATGAGTAAGGGTCATGTCCAGGAGTTCAAAAGCGCGTGAAGCGCAGTCAGCTGTCGAAGGCGAGTCCGAACGTGGAGAGCAGCAGAACGAACGGCGACCGGCTGAAATGACAGACGATATGGCGCGTTCGATATGCCTGGCCTTTGGCTCCTTAGGCGTTGACTGGTTATCGTGACCTGAACCAGTCGGGGAAGAGGTTGTGGACTCGGGGGGACTGGGCTGTGGGGGTAGTCGAATGTGAATGTGGACAAGTACCGAACCATACCGCTCGGGATGACGCGTTGACAGGGATAGTGATTAGCGAGTGGATGATGTGGGTCAATGGCGATGTAAGGGGATTTGGGGAGGAGAGCGGGATGGTCTGAAAGGCACGAACAAGTGGAGGTAGGATGCTGCAGCACCATGTGAGATGCCGTGATAAAAATTACCACAAGGCACTCACCCGTCAAGCCGCGAATTCCAGAAATCTCCCATTACCTTTTGGTCTACAGGAGAGCAGACTATGCCGGGAGATTGCAACTCAGAGGGGACCAGCTATAACGCGACTGAGAGTTCGTAATTGTGGTTAAAACAAGAAGTGACTGACCTTGGGATAGTGTACGAGGAGATTGAATGTGAGCTTCAGGAGATCTGTCATGGCATCGCGGGACATCTTTGTTCCAGCTTTCATGGATGCAATTAAATCATCCAACTTAAAGGCAATAACATCGAGTATTGTTCCATTTCCAGGAAAGTGGGTGCGTTTTGTCTCGATGATAGATTCAATGAAGGCAAAAGATTGATGGGAGGATGCAGTACAAAGGAAGAGGATCCTGGAGGAGAGAAATGTGCTCTCGGGTGTTGCAGATTTCTAAAAGAAATGGGTTGAATGCAAAACACGCAAGGTGATGGGCTCTGACCTGGAGCAGGTCGACACAAATATTTCCTCCATCAATTTCTTGACTCAGTAACCTGGTGCGGGCAGGTTCACTGAGGAGTAATGTGTTGGCAACGCACTTCAAAGCTTCGTTCGATGCATCAGGAGCAGTTTCGAGTTTTATGGCAAGCATCATAAGACACTTGAGGTTAGGAACTAATGCAAGAACTTGGGCACCGTGGGGAATTTTGCCAAGTCCCTTGACGGCAGAAAGAGCGGAAAATGCGTCTGCGATTGACATGGGATCAGTACGGAGTGTATAAATCTAATAGAGTGAGCAAACCGTCTCTGATTAAACGGCTGGGCGAGCCATCGATAATGACAGCCTGGAGATCATCAATTATGAGCTGAATGAGTGCTTTACAGGAAGGAGGATCAATAGGCGGAGCACCTAAAAAACCGGATTGAAGTAGTTGGGCATAAGATACGATTAAGACATACCAGCGATTAATTGAAGTGTGTGTGATATCGTAGCTCTTGGAGAACTCGATGACAGGGAAGAGTACGCCTGAAGAACCGACATATTGTTTCTAGGAAACAAAGAACCGTCAAAGTATGCCAGCAGTCGTATTACCTGAATTTATCTTTCAAGCGTCTACTAGTACTACCTCAAGTTGCCACTTGGCGTCACTTTAGTAGGCGGTCGGCGCGGTTGCTTCAGCCTTCCCGGTGGCCAAGTAAACATGTACAAATAATATATCCCACGAACAGCTTTGCCAGGCGGCCCGCTTCTCAGATCTCAGCCACCAGTTACCATGCACCCATCTGTTAAAGTGCTAGCACATAAACCTCTCATCAGCTTCATCGGAAAGCGTGTATGGCCAGCTAGTGCGTTCGGTGACTTATTGTCATGCACAACACCTAAATGTCACAATAGCTGCAGGTCCTTCTCACCCTCATCCAGCTGCTCCTCCAGAATGGCAAAAGTCCTTTTCTGAACAGGCTGTTCCTCACAGCTCACCCCGAACACTACAGGATCATGCTGTATTCCTAGAATTCTGGGACGCTCCAGCACGCTTCTCGAAACCATCCTCCAGGTACTTGGAGCAAATGGAGATAGATGCCATAACGGTCAGTATTTCTGTGTAACAAATGATTTAGTGCTCACAGTCGTGCAGAGTGGGGGAGCTTCTCTGCGATAGAATAGATAAATCCGATAGACACCATCTACAATTCATACCGCATCATCCCAAAAATTTATCTAAACTATTCTTTCCGAGTTTCCGCGAGCAAATGATTAATTCTCATGTGTGCCACAATTCCTAGTCCTTTTCTGCATATGCTAGGAGATATCTTTCGACCTCGGCCTCATCCATCACACGCCATTCACCACGAATCTTGGGGTCCTCGTCCTCAGCAGTCGACACGATCCCAATCTCTATCTCTCCGGCCTTGTAGTCCGTCGCATGAACCGTCGACATTGCTTCTATTGCAATCTAAACAATGCTCAGCTATCCACGTCATATTGTAATATAGTATTACTCACCTCAATAACCTCCGCTCGACTGAGCTTCTTGCCAGCAGCTGCAGCATCATCAGCTCCCTTACCCTTGTCTAGCTTCTTCCATTTCTTTTCTAAGTGGTTCATTGCTTCTTGTTGTTTCTGTCCAGCAGCAGTGGCGTGGAACCCAACAAAGTAGCCTGCAGGGTCCAATTTGAAACATTGCGGCCCGTATTCTGGATCGATGCCAATTAGGATCATAGCTATGAGCATATTTATTGTCGTTAGTTGCGAACGATGGTAACAAAAATAGGTGGCCTCACAGATGCCTAGGGGTCGCATGCCAGCCCGTTGCGTGTAGACTTGATTGATGTTTGCCAGCCGTCGTGCCAGGGCATCCGGAGTTATCTCGTATCCATACTTGTATCTCCACTGGACAGCCTCTTGCTGAGCACGTAAAACTTGGGCACGGGCATCAGCTGTAACCTACGTCAGCGCAAGTACAAGCTATTCCACGCCAGCATTTTTACTCACCGACAAGACCAGTCATGACACACCCAATAGTACGGGTGATGCTGTAGAGGTGCGTAACAGTCGATGCATCCAACAGCTTATCCTGATCTGAAGTAAATATCGTGATGACAGCAGTTTGGTAGTACAACATACTGGGATCTTCTTTTGGGTAATGACCACAGAGGTATCAGTCCCTCTGACAGAGACCGCTGTGTGGCCTGAACCAGAGATAGCTTTGAATGCATATTCTAAAGGGGAGTATATGAGCACGCGTCATTACGAGCATGTCCAATAATCATCAACGCACCGACTTGGTACAGTCGGCCCTCGGGCGAGAAAACGGTGAGATATCTGCGAAACAAATCATGAGCATGCAGACGGCGGAACCGGTGAATACTCGAACCTATCGTATGATGTTCTCGACATGGTTTGGATGCAGGATATGATTCAATCACAGACACGCGACGCGCAAGTCTCGTCACGGGGTCACGCAATTATGTCACAGTGTCACAAGAAAATTACGTCACACATTAATCAATTCTATGATATCTAAAACTTATAACGTCGAAGTCAGTTGTTGCACTAATATACCCGGACACTTTGCTCGTGCATTGCGCATGAGTGATAGGCGTCGCCGCAAAACCTAGCTTCTTGTACTAAAATTTTTACCATGAAGGAGACAGTACCTTCTGAGGCACCAAAAGTTATGTATGTCCAATCCCCCCCTCCAGTTTTCTCATATTGGTTGACGCGAGAGCCCATCAGAAAACAGCTACAGTTCAGCTTGCTCAATGCCCAAGATACGGTCAAGATCTCCGAGTTCCAGATCACTCATCGCGACTTGTATACGCCCACCGATCGACTTCCCGTCAAAGATGGCGTCTTAGATCGCCGGCTGGTGAGTTGCCCACACCATCCCATGCACAATGCGACTGATCACCATCTCAGGGAACAACAGAGAAGAACGCATTTTGCGAGACCTGCGGCCTCAATTCTGTCGATTGCGTTGGCCACTACGCATATATTAAACTGGTGGTCCCAGTATTCCACATCGGCTACTTCAAGCATACCATTGCCATCCTCCAGGCCATATGCAAAGTAAGCTGGTAGACTTTCATACTTTTCCTGCCTGATGACGCGATAAAAGACCTGCGCTCGCGTGCTACTGGAGGAACCCGACCGGCGGACATACCTCAAACGCTTCCGCAGAACAGGTCTTGAAAATATCCACCGGCAGGCGTTATGCAAACAGGTCAATACGATGGCACGAAAGGTCGTCTACTGTCCGTACTGCTCAGCAACGAATGGCGCTGTTAAAAAGGCAGGAGTACTGAAGATTATCCACGATAAATTCCGCGCGAAGAAGACAGCAGACGAGATGGAGAAATGGAAGCGTACATTTGCTCCAGCGGTAGAGGCGCAGAAGGAACTTGGGATGTACTTGAACAAGGCAATCCATGAAGATTTAAATCCACTAAAAACTCTCGATCTCTTTAAGAGAATATCCGATGAGGTCGCGTTTATGTCTACTTTCAAACGTTCGCGGGATTAACATCTACTTTCAGGACAGTGAATTACTTGGTCTACGACCCGAGTTTGGTCGTCCAGAAGAGTATATCTGGCAGTACATTTCCGTTCCACCGGTTTGCATCAGACCATCCGTTGCCCAGGATGGAGCTTCCAACGAAGATGACCTCACTGTCAAACTTACGGAGATCGTTTTCACCAATGCCCTCATAAAGCAAGGTCTGTCTAAAGGAGCGCCCACTGCACAATTCATGGTAAGTGAGGATTATTCACGTTGCTTGCCGTTACTCAACTTGCGCTCAGGAACACTGGGAGTTCCTTCAACTTTCTGTCGCCATGTACATCAACTCCGAACTTCCTGGGGTACCCTCACAAGCTGGTCAAAAGCCAATGAGGGGCTTTGTACAGCGCCTGAAGGGTAAACAGGGTCGATTCCGTGGTAATTTGTCTGGGAAACGTGTCGATTTCTCCGGTCGCACCGTGATCTCCCCTGACCCAAACTTGCGTATCGATGAAGTAGCGGTACCAGAGCGTGTCGCGAAGATATTGACATACCCGGAACGTGTGACTTCCCACAACATTGACGGTCTCAAACAAGCCGTTCGCAATGGGTGTGATGTGCACCCCGGCGCTAACTACGTAACAGCGGGCAGTAGTGGCTTCAAGAAATTCTTGAAGTTTGGCAATCGCAATGCGGTGGCTGACAGTCTGAGAATTGGAGACATTGTCGAGAGGCATATCATCGATGGTGATATCGCCTTGTTCAATCGGCAACCCAGTCTACACAAGGTCTTTCATTCTGCAAAAACTTCAAACCTTCATTGACTTGGTACCTTTTAGCTCTCGATCATGTGTCACAGGGTCAAGGTTCGTCCTTGGCGCTCCTTCCGTCTAAACGAATGTGTTTGCGGCCCTTACAATGCCGATTTTGATGGCGATGAAATGAATCTTCGTCAGTTTTTTTGTCATGCTGACTGACATTCGAACACTGATGATCTCTCGATTAGATATTCCTCAGACGGAGGAAGCAAGAACAGAAGCGCTCGAGCTCATGAGCGTGAAACATAATCTAGTCACTCCTCGGAACGGAGAGCCTGTGATCGCCGCCATTCAAGATTTTATCACGGCTTCCTACTTGATGACTCGTAAAGATACATTTTTCGACCGTCGCCAGTTCACGCAAATATGTTGCTACTTTGCCGATGCCAACTTACAGATTGACATACCCCCACCGACGATCTGGAAGCCTATACGACTATGGACAGGCAAACAGATTTTCAACGTTCTCATGCGTCCTAACAAGCAATCCAACGTATTTGTGAACGTTGAATGCAAGTGCAATAAACCGGAAAAGCTAAAACCTGAACATTACCCCTCCATCAAAGATCCTGCCCCAGATCTGTCTCCGAACGATGCTTGGCTTGTCATCGTCAACAGCGAAGTTATGTGTGGTGTCATGGATAAAGCCATCGTCGGCAGCGGGAAGAAGAAGTCGATATTCGGAATAATCATGAGGGACTACGGCCCACACGAGGCTGCCGCGGCCATGAACCGTGTAGCAAAACTGTGCGCTCGTTGGTTGGGTGCGTCTCATCGTCAATCAGACACATTTCACGTTTAAATTTCCTTTCAGCCAACTTCGGTTTCTCTCTCGGAATCAACGATGTCATTCCAGGGCCTATCCTTGCGTCGAAGAAAAACCAGATGGTTGAGGCTGCTTACGCTGAATGTACAAATCTCATCACGCAGGCAAAGAAGGGGAAGCTGGAGAATAAACCAGGATGCAACCAAGAACAAACACTTGAAGCTATGATATCTGGAATCCTTTCAAGAGTTCGGGACAAGGTCGGAGACATTTGTATGCAGGAGCTGAGTCGACATAACGCACCTCTAATCATGGCAACTTGTGGCTCTAAAGGTTTGTCCCTTGGATTCTTTTTTGTCAATGCCGCTTAGTGTTCCTAGGTTCCGTGATCAATGTTTCTCAGATGGTTGCCTGTGTCGGCCAGCAAATCATTGCGGGTCACCGTGTTCCAGATGGTTTTCAAGATCGTTCTCTACCACATTTCCCGAAGAAGTCGAAAGAACCTCCATCCAAAGGTTTCGTTAGAAACAGCTTTTTCAGCGGTCTGCTACCGACCGAGTTTCTGTTTCACGCTATCTCCGGTCGTGAGGGTTTGGTCGACACCGCGGTGAAGACCGCTGAGACCGGCTACATGCAACGACGTTTGATGAAGGCACTGGAGGATCTAACCACTCAATATGATCTATCAGTGCGCAACTCCACAGGCGGCGTTGTACAGTTCAGATATGGTGACGATGGCTTGGATCCTGCATGTCTTGAAGGTGACGCACAGCCAGTCGAGTTCGAGCGGGCATGGACGCATGCTTTGGTGTGTACCAATACGGCTGTCTATCTGATTCAAACGTCTCACCTTTTTGTAGGCAATAGGAAATCGTCGTGGTCGCGGTTTACTTCCCTTCGAGATCGTGGAACTCGTTGATCTAGAGCTCAAGAAACCAAAGTTCACCAGCGAGTGCACACCAGCATATCTTGATACTATACGAGACTTCGTCGTTCAGCATATCGCTCATCATCTCGCTGCGATGCGCAAAAGCCAGGGGATGTTTGAGGCTCTGGAGCGCTCAGATGAATGGGATTGCGATACCGACTTGTCTATGGGAGCTTCAGGTTTGCACAGAAAACATATCTGTGCTTTGCTTTCTGACACATTCCTTAGCTGCCTCCAAGGCTATCGTAGACAATAAGGCCAAAGTTACCGAGTCTCAACTCCAGCATTTTCTTGCCTTGTGTTGGAAAAAGTACGTCAAAGCCAGGATTGAGCCCGGTAAGCGGAGTCTATACGAGTTGCCCTCAGGGAGACTAAGTGCAGTTCAGGTTCCACTGTAGGTGCAGTTGGTGCTCAGTCCATTGGAGAACCAGGGACACAGATGACCCTCAAGACCTTCCATTTTGCCGGGGTTGCTTCGATGAACGTCACGCTTGGTGTTCCGCGAATCAAAGAAATCATCAACGCATCCAAGACCATTAGCACGCCCATTATTAGCTGCAAGCTCGTCACTCCCAACAGCGAGCCTTCTGCACGTATAGTTAAGGGCCGTCTTGAAAAAACTCACTTGGGCGATGTAAGATATTTTCAACCAATGAACCTCCGATGTCATTCTGAATTTTGTGCAGATTGCTGCTGTTTTTGAAGAGGCATGGGCGCCAGAGTACACTTATATCGGTGTAATTATAGATATGGATACCATCCAGAAGCTTCAGGTTAGTCCTTTAACATATTATTTAATGTGTGCTCACTTGTCACATCAGCTTGAACTCACTTTGGACGATATAAAGTGGGCGATCGTAGCCACGAGAAAGCTCAAGATTAAACAAGAGGTGAGATCTGTGTCATGTATATGTTGTCACAAAACTTACTGTAGATAGTCCATTACCGTCATTCCTCGCAGAAACCGCTTGCGCATCTATATTGACGGAACGGACAAATACTACAAGTTGCGAGAATTGAAGCGAGTTTTGCCGGATGTAGTAGTCAAGGTCAATCACTTAGTCTTGCCCGTGATCAGTCTTTGAATTGTTTCCACAGGGAGTGCCAACTATTCAGCGCGCCGTCATTAACATCAAAGAGAAGGACGACGCTAAGGGAAAAAAGGGAGACAAGGAACTACTTGTAGAAGGTTACGGACTACAGAAGGTCATGACCACGGAGGGTAGGCTTTTGTGTTCTTCAAACCAGTTGCGATTTGCTGACCTAGATGTAGGGATTGTTGGTGAGGCCACGACTTCTAATCATGTAATCGAGACAGCAAAGGTCTTGGGGATTGAGGCAGCAAGACGGACCATCATCGACGAAATCCAGTATACCATGCAGAGCCACGGAATGAGCATTGACCCTCGTCATGTCATGTTGCTTGGCGATGTCATGAGCTACAAAGTACGAGTGCGGGGCGATACCGATTTCTCTAGCTAATTGTTCGCTCAGGGAGAGGTTCTTGGTATCACTCGCTTTGGTGTCGCGAAAATGAAGGACAGCGTTCTTATGCTTGCTTCTTTCGAAAAGACGACAGACCATTTGTTTGATGCAGCGGCCTTCGGGAAGAACGATAGTATCGCTGGTGTATCAGAAAGCATTATTATGGGTAACGCAGCTGCAAATTGCGGAACTTCTATGTAAGTGTGATCTTAGTCCGCGACCCATTCAAACTTCTAACAGTATCTTTCCTAGGCCTGCCTTATATTCACCATCGCCCCACATAAGCAAACCACGAAGGTTATTATTCGAAGATGCGTTATAAAAGTTGTTTCTCCACCAAGCTACCTTATTTCTATATATCTCTACCAACGCTTGTCACAAGGAGAACCTGTACGGATTGTGTGCAAAGCTAAGCTGTGGCTTGTTAAAAGTCATAATGTCGAAATGCTTGCGAGGCTGCCTGGTCGAGCAAAGCAAGGATGAAAAAAATGAAGGACTGACCGAATTTACTTTTTCCTGCCTCTCAGATTCACTCAAGTAGCAAGACTCAAGTAGCAAGCAAGTGATTACACCAAAATTTGAACATCCAGGATAGAGCTAGGACCTTGATTCGTGGCCACACTTAGAAGAAAGACCGTTGAACGCAGCGCACATTTCTTTGGACTAATCCTATCAACTGCTCCTTCACATTTTTCTGTGGTCCCAGACAAAGTCCCTCACCTGTTCCTCAAACCACGCCTTGTCCTTGTGCGACAGATGTTGTCCGCCGTGCACATGAAGTACCGCAAGCGGACGCACGCCTTCGAATCCTATGCTATCTAGCTCTTCGTCGTCCTTCCCTACGTTTTCCTGTCCCGCAACCTCCCTCCGGCTGTTGATCATCGCCTTCAACGTTGTCAACGGTAACTCCATGACAAATTTGCCCTTGGCTACAAGCTTGAGTGTGGTGACACGGGGCCACAGGGAACAACGCTGGCGTTTAAAAGGTGCACCAAGGAAGTATAGGATGATCTTTATGCAGGAGCGACGGCTGTTCGTGATGGTCACTGTATTGCCGTCCCACGTGCAGATCCTAGGTATATCCTGCAGAGCTTTGCTGGCGCATCCATCCAATTCTAGCGAATTGAAGGAAGGTAACGATATGCGAGAAAGATGACGGACAAAATTGCATTGACGAAGAACGATTGTCTGGCAATCGTCATCGATCACGGCCAAAGCATCAATGCGTGTGCGAAGGATCACTTTCGCTGCCCCGATTTTGACGCCAGCTTGGCTAATATTCACTGGCAATAGTAGATTCTCGAGACTGAGGCAAGGTATTCGCCGTGGTGCCACCTTCAACGCCCGCGCAAGCATCGGGAATCCCGACCACCGATAGGTCGCCGTGGGGGGGCCGGATCCGAATGATATGCTCATGCGATCAACGTGCGTCAGGTTTTTCTTCAACCACTGGTGGTTGGTGTCGCAAACTGCATTCTTGTCGATATGGAGGATCCTAAGGGCAGGACAGTCCAGCTTCAAACACGGTTGTGTTTTGAAACAATTGACACGTCTCACATCTGTCAATCGCAAAAACTCGAGTTGAGGTGCATGTCCTGTTAGCATGTCGAGGTGATTATGGACGTATGCCTCATGGAACTCATGTATTCTAAGGCTCTTGAGTCGTTGAAGATGCGGTGCAATGAGGCGTAAAATGGGATAGATTCCGCATACGAGATCATGCTGGTGGGATTATGGTCAAGTGGACTGGATAACTGACGCTCTTCTGCAGTTGGGAGCTCATCCACTGAAGTTCTTCCTGGGGCAAGACGCAAAAGACCCGAGTCCACAATCCAGGTGCAGAAGACACGATGTCTCGCCAATGTCTGCACACCAACGCCATGGTGTGAGGGTACGGCAGGCCACCTGCCAGCACTCGGTGTTTGGCGTCAGGGGTTCTCATCAAATCATCTTCGACGATGTCATCCAGTAAAGTCTTGAGGATGATGTACACTGTCTCTGTGGGAAGCGAATGAATGAAGCACTGTGGCGTTTTTTGTGCCATTGGTCACTAGTAACGGTAAAACCCTACTTTAGATGAGGGCATACTAGATAATGAGAATCAACGGGTCTACCTCGTCTGAATCAACTGAAGTATTGCTCGGGGTTGTTGTCAATATTCGAGAGTGTTTGTAGTATATATAACAGACTAATAAATGGAGGAGTTGTCCACAAGCCGTGTATTAAACTTTGCTTACAGAGAGAACGAGTTGGTACGGTGCCAAGGCGTTTTAGGGGCCTTTGGTGGACACCACATGTGGTATATATCGTACTTATCCAATCTTTGAGGTTTGTTGTCCTGACTATGCAAACATGACGGTCCTGGTACCGATGCTTCCCCTACTCCTTCTGTGTATTTTTATGCATACTTTCAATAACACCCCGTCCCTGAATTTCGACTGTGCCAAAGATAGTTCGCATAACTATCAGCTCACCGCACTCCAGGTACAGGCACTACCACGCGCACCTCGATCCATGAACTTCAGCCATGTCATAATGTGTGCCCGAAGGGCAAGAGGACGGCGACTGGGGAACCTGCGGATCAGTTGCTTTCCAGCTACAGGAATCACTTCGGACTTGAAAGACGTATTGTGCAGACAACAATTGACTTTTTTTTCTTCAAATTCAAATTTATTGTCCTTTGGGTTCAAAGACCCTATGTTGGACAGTAGCAATTGACTTAACGGACTGCAAGGCAACTGCGAGATGAGGTTTATATCTGTAGTAAGTTTTCATCGTTCTCAAGTAGTCATCCAGATGGGTTTCAGATGTTGAATTCAGTGCGTAGCACAAAGTGGCGTGAGGGATACAACGCAAGATGTAGAGAGCGAACCCATATGGCGTATGCAGTGGATGAATAACATAATAAAGGAAAACTGCAGATTAGTCGAACAACCCGAAGCCCTGTGAACAAGCATCAGCAACCCGTATTGACTGGGAAAGGCGATTTTAGCGCGTACCATGTCGTCGTCTGACTCTTCTTTTGCTTCCTCCTTCTTCTCCTCTTCTTTTGGTGCTTCGGCAGCAGCAGCACCACCAGCGGCAGCGGCAACGGGTGCGCCGACGGCCGGTGCGCCTCCACCAGCACCGACGTTTGATAGCAGATCTTTCACATTCTTTCCCTCCAAAGCCTTAGCAAGGAGAGATGCCCAGATTGGCTCGAGCTCGACCGAGGCGGCTTCAGTCAAGGCGAGTATTTTGTCAGCCTGCATGTGCCTCTTGAGCTACAAGAAATATGGATGTGAAACCTGCAAGATACGCACGGTAATTTCAATACCGTCATCGACGAGGATAAGTGTGGCGTAAGTCGCGGCAAGTTCTAAGGAGGCCTGCGCATCACAAAGGGAGGAACACGTTAGCGGTTGTGATGATAGAGGTACCACATCCAAAGTACGGGTTGTCAATCCACCATTTGGACTCGGATTATTGAGATTTCAAAACGATCCTGCGGCGGATTCTGACTATAACATGGGAAAGACAATAACTTACCATTGGAAGGATGATTATGTCGTGAGCTTGGGGACGTCGAGGGCGATGTGGACACTAGTAATCTAGTGGATGAGGCTGCAAAATTCCGATCACGTGGACAGCACTGCCACCATTATTCTGTAAACTCCATGCAGCACACCGGCAACATACTTGTTCACTGATAACATGGCAGCAGCAACGTAGGTTTGGAGTTTCCAGGGTTCGGGCTGTCGAGTTTACAATTTTTCACAGCATGCCCAAAACTTCCTGGGCAGATGACGTTGACGAGCTTGGTGAATAGTCACCCTCGCGTCCACAATCACATCGCAATCTAACGTTCTCAAGTAGATCAACCAAAGATTGAGGATTATGTGGATGAGAATGGAATTCGTATCACTACCGAGTATTCTATAAATGATGAGGGAAAGAAGGTCAAGGTACGTCTGCCCACTGTCCAGCAGTCAGCATGCCATATCTCATCTGTGCCATCTGCCATGTCGGTGTTTTTTCATCCCCATATGCTGATCATTTTCTCCAAGATAACACGTAAAATAAAACGTACCCTTCAAAAATCCGTGGTCGAGCACACAGTTGCTGAACGCAAGAAATGGGCGAAGTTTGGCAAGGAACGAGGGAACAAGGAAGGGCCAGATCGGGCGACGACCACAGTAGGAGAGAATGTGGTTTTGAAAATTAGTGCAGGAAACAAGGTTTGTCTATAATGTTCATCGATTCTTGAATCAGACTGACAGTTATGAAAGTCCTCTGAGCCGGAGGTAACGCCCGAGCAAAACATCAAAACCGAACTTGCGAAGGCCGGTGCAGGAAAAGTTGTCTGTCGTCTTTGCAAAGGTGATCACTTCACCGCCAAGTGCCCATATAAGGACTCTCTCGCCGGTCTCGAAACTGCTGGTTCGTACTTTTCCGCATCATAGCATATTCACTTCATACTCGATCTTGTTGACACGGACACGGACAGACCTACCACCTACTGATGACGCGGCCGACGTGCCTGCTCCTGCAGCCAGTGGGGCGACCGGTGGCAAATACGTACCACCATCAATGCGTAGTGGCGCTTCTCGTCCTGGTGAATCCATGGGACGCCCAGGCGGCTCTCGCGAAGACCTTCCCACACTCCGTGTCACCAATATCTCTGAAGACACGCAAGAATCGGATCTCCGCGAGCTTTTCGGTACGTTCGGGCGTGTAGCGAGGGTTTACGTCGGCCGTGACCGAGAGACGGGTATTGGAAAAGGCTTCGCCTTTGTATCCTTTGATGAGCGCACTATTGCGCAGCGGGCAATGGAAAAACTAAACGGCAAAGGTTACGATAATCTAATTTTGAGCGTACAATGGTCACGTGAGTATTGATTTCTCAACGATGCATGACTTGAATTGACGTTTGTGATCATCAGAACCAAGACCGGACGGTCGCTGACGTGGGTTCCAACGAGAGTCGAGGTGACGGAGACGCATATGTAGCAATATATGTCGACAACAATAAGGCTCTGGATTTTAATCGATTCGTTTTGAAATCTTTATCAACACCGGCACTTTTCGAGACGGAAATGAGGTGCTTGGATGAGATTCTCGCTCAGTTTGTGCGCTTCGAGGTCTGTTTATTTTGAAAAATACATACATAGCTAATGCAAATACAACGAGTATCGTCGGGTAGGTTATGCGCCCGAGCTTCTTTCTGACAACAGACGAAGAAGAAAAGATGACAATTAACACGATTTTCGTCAAGCTGTAATTGGAACTGTACGAGTCATCGCAACATCCGAAGGCGAGCAGATTGCTTGTAATGCAATGATAAAATGATTCACTAGCATCTTCTAGTAATCAATGTCCCTTGCTCGAAAGATAACCCTGTGTATTATTGCGTTACATGTAATGCTTATCTTCGAAGAGATAACCGAACCGCGATATCAGCACAAAGCGTACGGGGTTGTAAGTAGACCGGCGACCATTCCGTATATGAGGGGTTTCAACTTCGAAGTTGCAACCGATTCAATAATGGGCCTGCAACATTTGCCTAAGCTCAATTGTCGGGTTGCAAACCAAGGGTGTTTAAGTAAACCAGCTGCCGCAGGACGTGTCACTGGCCCCCCAGCGCAGTCGCCCTGATTGTAACATCAATTTTGTCCCGTACACTTCGCCATTCTGCGTGGGACTCTATAATTAAGTTGCCTGAACGAATAATATATGTTGATGATGATGCCATCGTTAAGTACGGCGTGACCTTAACGTTAGAGTCTTTGAAAGGCTTCTGATTATAGTATGGCTTTCAGCGCTCTGGCCTACCTGAGCGAATAACCTGGTCATCCGAGTCGCGGACATCTTCTGTGAAGATTACAGAGGAGGATACTATTCCGTATATCTAAGTTACAATCAAATCATTATTCTACCCTTACCAGGAAGGCGGAGAGACGAGTCACTGGGCAACCCCAGGCATCTTTGACTTCACCGTCGGATACATCAACTCAGGGGCCCAGATAAAAGAAGGCGTTTCTGGGATCTGTTTAAGCTGCCACCGAAACGCTGACTTTTGAAAGGTTAGTTACAAGTTATAATACCAGAGAGTAACGAACCATGACCGAAATCCAGTGGCCTACTTAAGTGCACCAGGCAGTTCACGATATCCATTCATCCATAGATTGCCTACAGATCGCTTACTAAGCGATCCTACCTATCTTTCACCCTTTGCGATGGCTTCAGATGCGTCACCTATATCAGTCTTATTCGCGCGTGGCCTCCTAGCCCGCCTCGCGCTATGGCCAGCTCTTCGCATCGCAGTGCACCAAAACTGGGGAGGTCCACAAAGCGCACAAAAACAACGCTGGTTAGCGGGTGTCATCACAGATGAATTCGAAGCATCCATTCCACCACCATCTGCTTCATTGACGGCTTTCGATTCTCATCAATCAGCCCCAATGCATCCGTCATACGCGCTCCCTGAGCCTGATACCGAATACATAGAAACGATGCTGCTCCAGATCATGGATGACGAGTTTGAGGTCGCGCTCGAAGATGGAAGCGCGTTCGACGTTGCTAGAGATGTTGTGCGTTTGTGGGCCGATGCGAAGGAGGGCAAAGATGGATATGTCAAGGAATTGGAGATACAAGCGGATCGGATGAAAGGAAAAATGCCACAGTATGAAGTTGATGCAGGGAGTGCAAGTGATTGGGAAGATAGCGACGATGATAACGAGGATGAGAGTGGAAGCGACAGCGAAAATTTTGGGGAGGTTGTTCCACAGCTGCTCAACCGCGCAAAGGAAGTACCAGACATTGACGAGGATGGCTTTACTACCGTAAAGAGGAGGGGAGGCAGATAAAATACCAAGTTGTAATCTAATTAGACAAGACATGCAACATCTAGTCGCTATCTGAACTATCATCACCATGCTGCTCCTCATCGCTCGAACTCTCGTCCTCACTTTCCTCAGGTGCGACTGTGCGCTTCACAGCTCCTCCGCGCATCGCAGCCATCTGACCTGCCAACGAATCCTCTTCAGGATCAGAAATTTCATCCTCCGCCGTCTGTTCCTCTGCATTGAGTGCAGATATGTCATCGATTTTGAGCTACGTCCTACATCAGTCATCGTACCACTGCAGAGCCTAACGGAAACTCACCGAAATGCCCTGGCACGACTCCTCCCCTACGAGCGTGTCGCTTACCAGGTACACCTTCCAAGTGAACAAGCCCACGTTGGGGGGAGCCTGGAACTGTAACTTGTAGGAGCGATAATCACGTTCCTTCCCGGGGCTCGACGGTGGTACATCTGAGATCTTCATTGGGGGAACAACAATTCTATTCGACTTGTCATCAGCAAGGACAAGCCACCAGCCTGGCTTGCGCAGCTATGAATGTTCCAGTCAGACATGCAAAGATGGCACCAAAGAAAAAGATAGACCCCTGGCCAGTGAGGTGCATGAGCCCACACAGGTGTGGCCCCCTCCATATCCTCAGCATCTTTTCGGCTGTTCAAGAATTTGTCGTCTTTCTCCCTATCTTCCCGGATGGCCTTTGCAGATTTTTCAGAAACAGACGAGGGTGCGTCGCTTTGTAGTGGCTGGCGAAGACGCAGTTTAACAAGGAGGAAAACGATGGATGACGGTGTGACCAAGCGTTCACCAATAACTGAAATGAAATGAGTACCAAGTTGATGATCACGATTGAGAACAAACCCTTGAAAGACATGTCCACAACATCCAACCGACTCCAGCCCTCGACAGCCTTTCGTGCTTCCGTTATTCGAATATCTCCCTCGTCCTCTAGGCGCGATATAAACGAGGCGAGGTCTTTCCCTTCTGATGCATCAGCATCGCCATCGAAGCCAGGTAATTGAGCTTGTGGTGCAACAGTTTTTCCAGGGAGAAGAGCTTGTGTGACGTGGGCATGTAGACGCATCACCATCAAGGTGGGCGACAACCAACTGCGTGCAGCAGAAATTCCTAGCAGTGCGTTAAGCAGCATCGGGGCCTGTAACAACAACTTGGCTTGTTCTGGGCGCACAAATGATCAGAAAACGTCATCTCTTCCTGAAAGTCAAACCTACCCTGCTTAAGCGCCTCATTGCTGATATTTAACCTCAGGAAATGTGCATACAGCAATACCAAGGCCCGCTGCTCGGTCCCTTCACATTTTCCACTAGGAGCGACGAGATCCTTTACCTCCCTCCATTGGTCGCCCATCTTTTCAACGATCTGTTTCTCGAGCTCCTCTAAGCCCACTGCGGTGCCTGCCCATGTAGTCTCCCAGCGGTATGCCTGGCCCAGCGCACCGATGACCTCCTTCATGCCGCTGTTGTCCGTGAGCGCCTTGAAGAACGCTGCGGCGGTCTTCGCATTAATCCCATCTTTTGTTTTTTGGCGGTTTCCAAACCACCAGCGGCCCTATGCTGTGTAAGGACCAATCAAGGTGAGGTGGTGGCGGGGGACATACCACAAGCGTGGGGAGTGCGCCACCAAAGAGAATGCCATATACACCGAGGACCCAAATGTTGTTTTTGCCTTCAATAACCCACTTTGGCAAAGCAATGCCCATCGAGACTTCCTGTCGGCCATCGGGATGCCCGAAAAGTTCCCAGTTGCGGCGAATGGTCTCGTCTGTTAACCTTGAAATGGTGTTAGTGGGATCACACTCAGCTGCGAACTCGACATACGACGTACGACTTGTACGCTTTGGTAATGTCTACGAAACGATTGGCGATGTCCTCTATTGTTTCATTGATGGTTGGTTTGACTTTGTCGGGATGGCTGGGAATGGTGAGTTTGCATGCTCCATGCACAACACAAGAAATCAGACGCGTACAATAATCGTGATAGTTCTTTGAAACGCGACTTGATCTCCTTCTCCGTTGCTCCCTGCATGATATGAGAAACCGAAGAGAGTGAATACATTAAGTTAGACATACCGTGCTGATTTCAAGGATCTCGAATGGATTATAGACCTTGTTTTCTATTTCTGCATGTGCAGCTTTGAATGAGAGGAACGCAACAGCAGCCCAGCCCACGGTGATGAATAGTGCCCTTTTAGAGCGTGAGTAGCATTCAGAACCGCACGGATGATGTCTCACTTTCTGGTAAACTTTGGTGGGAGCAGGGAGCCACGCTGGTGTCTCCTGACGTCAGCTCGACGTTGTACACAGGGTGTGCATTGGCACCCGCTATCCAGTTCTGGGCGCTCTGGACAAATTTTAGTCAAATTTGCAAGAGCAGAGAAACATGCTCACTGGAAGACACGCTTGCAAGTGACGAGAATGTAAGAGGCAGCAGAATAATAACAAGGACAGAAATGACGAAGTAGGCGGCCATATTGCCTGCCTCATCATAGTGATAGTTCGCCATCGCCGTAGACTAGCGACAAACGATTGATTACCAGTCAGTGCAAAAAAAAACGGTAGAAAGAAACGAGTTTGGATGAAAGTCAACGTGGCTCGAGGAGAAGTCAATGCATAAAGTAAATACACCCGTGGGACATCTATACTAGGGACATCAACCGGTCATCTACGGGATCAATATTTAGTCTCATTGAAGAATAAGATGACTCGGATCTCATTGCGACTCCAAGTCCAATTCTCCAAGACAGTACCCACGACGAGTACACGAGCAAGAAACCCTCCTCTACTATCCTTACAACTCGCTCGGAATACACTTTATCGCTTTCTTCAATGGCCCCATGAAAAGATATCGAATATCGTTCTTAATGCGTATGCGATACTTGAGATCTTTTCATGGGCTCGGCAGCTGCAGACTTGAAGGCTTTGGGGGGAAGTCAGAAGGGGGAGGGCGGTTAAGAGCAAGAACGACGGAGATCAGATGAACGAACATAGCGCAGTCGAAAAAAATATCTCTGCAAATGGTGGCAAGTCTTAGGCCAAGATGACACTCAACATCCACTAGGCAATCACAAACGTGAACAGTCACCCGATTCAAGCCGAGCTACCCCATGCAGTCTCACATCTCGAAAAGCGACTGGAACACGATCATCAGATACTGGGCCCGTCAGTGCACGGAGTCGATTCAGACCCGGGCCTATTAGCCCTAGGCTTCATCCTTGGAGCTTGAAAATTTCCGCCTGATTTATTTTGCTCTTGCTTATAGTAGCACTTGTTTCATTTCTCGGTACGAACCTGTACGAACGTTCATGAATTAGGCACTGCGAGCAAAGCTGCAAAAAATAAACGTCAGGCATTGATCGTTCTAAAGAAATATCATGACTTTGCGGAGGTCCAACGTTGTTTGGCGTTTAAACTGCCGCTGCCATCATGCGTCTCAAAATCTCGACAGTTCATCCGTTGGGCCCGCTCAAAGCATGGTTTGCTCTAAACGATGAGGCCCACACAATCGCACAACTCAAATGCGCGCTATGTGCACGGCTGCCCATTGGTGTGCAAGCCGACAACATGACTCTCATGATGGACGAGTATGACCTTCTGGACGAAAGTCCTATATCGATTTTACGCGATGGAGACGCCGTTTGGTGAGCATAAAAGTGCGCCATTTAATTCAGTGAGCTTATGTCCTTGACAGCATTAAAGGCGCAGCAGTAACATCCCAACCTAGTTTGTCGAGCAACAGGGCGCCCTTGCTTGCTACTCAGAAGCGTAAACGCCGTGCATCTACTTCCTCAGAACCTTCGTCCAGCTTATCCTCGAGTTCGGCCCCTAGCTCATCTGACTCATCGGAGGACTCATCCAGCTCATCCAGTTCCTCAAACTCGGACTCTGATTCAGACACGGATGCCCCCAAACCCCCACAGCAGCCTTCCGAAAAGCGCGTGGACGCAACTACAAAACCAAAAACTCTGCAAGACAAGTACGAGAGTCATTAAACTATCTTCATCGCTCATGCACATCCACTAGCATTTCGTTTGTCCCTCCAGGTTACGGAAAGCCTTCCACCCGCAATCGCAATCTCCGCAGACGGCGAAAACGTGTGGCGGAGCACAATCAACACCCTGATGAACCTTTAGCACCCACATCCGGTGCTAATGCCGTCCTACCCCTTCCAAATCAGCAAAACTCATTAACCCGCACCTCCTCTGAAGCCTATGTTGCTGATGCAGAACCCGAGTCTGAGCCGAACGTGATGATGATATCCCTGCGGAACAAAAATAAGAAAAAGAATTTCCGCCAGCTTATGGATAAACCCCTCCCTCCAAAGATTGTGTTTGCAGAGCTTGAAAATGCCCCCGTACAAGCCGAACCTCCGGATAAGCTTGCACCTGCTGGAACTTCAAACTCAGAAAAGCTTACAGTGCCTCCCGTCAAGCAAGCAAGGCTGATTCCTCCTTCGGAACGGGATGACTTGCCGTCGAATATATTCGTAACGAGTGTAGATGTAGAGGAAGGTAAACGGCCGAAGAAGAAACAAAGATCGAAAGAGAATATTGTCACAGCATCCTACGACGATGAATCGTGCACCGCCAATTTCAGTCTCGATTACGGTTCAGCTGAGGTACCGATGATGAACCCAGACGAAGCCCTTCACCTTCGTGCGGAGCAGCAGTGGGACTTACTTCCAAAACTAACTGGCGCGTCACAAGTGAAAGTAGACAACATCGTTGCATACAAGGTGGGCTTCTCTGATCAGTAAAAGTACATAGGAATGCTCATCGTGGCGCACAGGCTCTTGACATCAACCCTACGACATGGACGCCCGAGATGCTGATAAAAGTTGCCCGCGTGATATCTCTATCTTCCACACATATCACTACGTCCCCTTTACAGCGGACTGTTCAAGTTTCATTCAGTGGACTGATAGATGCGACAGAAGCTGACGAAGAGGATGAGACATATACTTGGGCAGATGTTCTGTCCCAGGACTGGCGTATCGTACGATGAGGCCGAAGTATAGGTGAAATATCTAGTTGCCTGTTATCTGTACATGTCGATTGCTGTGCGATAGATACGGTGCTGTGGCACAGTGGCTTGCGTTTAAGCTCGGCATGATGTAGTCACGGCAGATCGCGGCGTACATTCAACCCGAGATCACCCGAGTAGCAATTTTTACTTTTATTGGATGGTTGCAAAATTGCAAATCCATTAGATTCACGTTCCCAAGTCAAGTGCTAACAACTCCTTTGCTCGTCGCCCTCGACGACCACCAAGCCTAAATTGTGCAACATTTAGCACGAGCTCGCAATCGCGACCATGCTCCCCAAGGTCGCTAATCACATCTTTCTGCACACTTCTCGTGCAGTAGCCGCCGTCCAAAATCAGACAGGTTACACCCTCCGTAACGTACTCCAACTTCAGTCATCCGCACCAAGCGCGCCTACAACATGGACTGGCGCCGGCAGCTCAAGCTGGGGCAGCAATGGTGCTGGCCCGGGCGGCGCAAAGTTTAATGCAGGTAGTCGGTTCTATAATGGGTATACGGTTAGTTTGCAGTGCGCCTTCATATCTGATATGATCCTGATATTTTACAGGGAGCCGGGCGTGCTGTGACACAAGCAAACGCGTCAACCTCACATGATGGCAACGCTGAACAGAGCGACGAGCGCGACGAGATCGTTCCCAAGCGCGTCGAGCCCCGCTCTTCCAAGCGTATCATTACCCGTCGGCACAGTCTCTCTCTTGGTACACTCAGTGAGCACGAGCATAGCCAAACAGAGTCTTTAGGTGTCTTGCACACCGTCCAATTGCACGTTCGCTCAAAACACACGTTCACTGCGTCCGGCGAAGCGCTCGACGAGACTCCCTCTGATTCTTCGCGGCCTCCCCTCACACGTCGTAACTCTACAGCTTCGCTGAGTGCATCCGGTTCCATTGATGATTTACCCCCGCCTCCGGTCCCTTCAGTATCTGGTAAATCCATGCCCACAGATCCCGCAGCCCCGCAGTCCGTGACAGACCCAGCTGCAGACGATGAGAGTGACAAAGTTTCCGAAATGTATCAGTCTCTTCGTCGGGCAGCGCGATCTGGTGATGGTGCTAGGGTTATCCACGAAGTTCTCATCCTCCGTACAACTCATAAGAACCCCATGGTGTCAGAGTTCAACATGGCATTAGCTGGTCTTCACGATACTCGTCGCCCCGGTGAACCCCTTACACTTTTGCTCGAGACATACAATGACATGATCCGACACTCCCTTACGCCGAATGTTCGCACCTATATCTCTCTTATTCTCGCTCTTACCGAGCGCGATTTCGAGGTCCAGAAGTCTATTGGAGCTCTTGATGGTCGCGTCAAGCGCCGCAAGCTTCTTGGTCGCCAGGAGGTCGCTATGGATGAAGCAGATGAGAAGCGCATCGAACAGCTCAAGGCAGAGAACAACTTTGCCTCTGCCATGTCTATGTTTGACGCAGCGATGAACATTGGCGCACGCAACAAGTTCCCCCTTGCGGTTTATACCAACCTTCTCCGCTCATGTGCATTCCAAGCTGACGTGGATGCTGCCATTCGCGTATTTGCGCAGCTGGAATCGCGCACCGACTTCCTCCCTGGCCCTCAAGTCTTCTTGAACCTGCTCTCTGTGTACGCCAATGCAAATGATCTGCAGGGCGCTAAGGAGGTCTTCCAGGAGTTCAGGGAAGCCAGCAAGGCAGGCCGCGTCAAGGGACTTGATTTTTCCGCCGCTCCTGAAGCAGCCGTAGCCAGCTCGATTACTCGGGGACAACTTCTTGTCTGGAACAAAATGATCGAAGCTTACTTCCGTGGTGGCCAGCCTGCAGGCGCTCTCCGCCTCCTGGAAACCATGATGGACAGCAACGCCAACCCCGCTCAACTCTCACCGGAAGTTCCTTTGCCCTCCTCGTCCACGTTCTCGTCCATCATTGCTGGTTTCTGCTACTCGGGAGATGTCACAAGTGCTCTGTCCTGGTTTGACCGCTTGCTACAGCAGGGTGAAGCAGCCCGTCATCCACACGAATCTTCCCTCGTTCCCCCTCGCCCTGACCAGCTTGCATGGGTTGTGATGCTTGACTTCCTCGCTCAGGAGGGCATGATCGCAGACCTCAACCGGCTCTATGACATTCTTGTTGAATGTGCCCCTCGCGACGGCCTCGAAGTGCGCCGTTTAGACCATACCCTTGTTCTCGAAGCCAATATCAACTACCTCCAATCTGGGACTATCAACAAATCCGGAGCCAAGAAGAATATACCGGCTTTCAAGGATGTGCTCAGGCTTATCAGACTGGCGAACAATGTAAATGTCCCTCTGAGCAAAGAGTTAACAGCCCTTTACCTACACACCTACATGTCGACTTGCAACCGCGGTGACATGTCGCAATATGGTATCGGCCTCCGTGAACATGAAACACTCCTGTCCAGTGCCCTCGCCAACCTTACAGCAGAGACCGATATGGAGCAGATCATCCCAATCAAAAACAATGCATACAAGGGCCTCATCCCGCTTCTCATTGCGCTTTCAAAGCAAAACTTCCAGTTTTCTAAATTGAAAGCAAGCCTCATCTCCAATCTTTCGGATGCGCTATATGCTGGCTACTCGAAGGAGCAGCGGGATGAATTCTTTGGGAAGGTGTCAGCCGACTTCCGTATCGCACTCGATAAGCCCAGCGAGTCGCGCAACTTGTCGCCTAACCCTGTGATGCAGATGTATCCTCCTATTAGGGACGTCGTTGTCGATGGTGCCCTCAGCCGCTCCGTCGATGACTGGTTCCCATCGCACCCAACTGTGACAATCCATGAAGCCTATCGCCGCCTCCAAAACGGAATTACCAATAGCAAGTACGTTCACCCCTCTACCCTCGGGCGGCTCATCAATGGCTTCGGACGTGTCGGTGATCTCGATAAGGTGCACAGCTTGTATGATATCGCGCAAATCGTATTATCCTCGATCGATAATAAGCAGTGGCAGTCTCAGGCGTGGTTCCAAATTGAAGACCAGATGATCATCGCATGCGCACATGCCGGAGACATGGAAGCTGCATTCCAGCACCGAGATCGTATTACGTCCAATGGCGGAATTCCTTCTCCTGACGCGTATGGCTCGCTCATAGAGTGTGTCAAGGATACCACAGATGACACCTCGAACGCCATGGCTCTCTTCAGCGAGGCACAAATGCTTGGATGCACACCAAATGTCTACCTATACAACACGATCATCTCCAAGCTGGCTAAGGCGCGCAAGGCTGACTTCGCTCTCGAGCTGTTCCAGCAGATGAAGGCTACGCCTGGTGTCCGTCCATCCTCGATCACATACGGCGCCGTTATTGCCGCTTGCGCACGTGTCGGCGATGCTCAGTCTGCCGAGCAGTTGTTCTTGGAGATGTCTTCGCAGCCTAACTTCAAGCCTCGCATCCCACCCTACAATATGATGATGCAACTGTACGCGCACACAAAGCCTGATCGTGAGAGAGTACTCCATTATTACAATCAGCTTCTTCTCGCCGGTGTCAAGCCTTCTGCCCACACGTACAAGGTATGTTATCTGATTGTATTATCTGCTCATCTTTAATGTGCGTTTCAGTTGCTCATCGATGCATATGGAACTATTGAGCCCGTCGACGTTGACGCTATGGAAGACGTGTTCGAGCTTCTCCGAAACAACAGGTCGGTGGTGCTTCAAGGCAGCCATTGGGCCGCCCTTATCAACGCATATGGTTGTGTGAAGAAGGACTTGGCGAAGGCGATTAGTACATTCGACTCTATCCCAGCACCTGATGCTGTCACCTATGAATCTCTCATCAACGTCCTCGTCACCAACAAGCAGATGGCTCTTGCACCCACTTACATGGAGAAGTTGAAGTCGTCTGGCGTACATATGACGGCGTACATCGCCAACCTCTTGATCAAGGGCTATGCTGCCGCCGGGGACATTGAAGAAGCTCGAAGAATATTTGAGAACTTGGTGGATCCCCCTAGCGGCGTTGCAGCCTCAGGTAACCATGTTCGTCATGAAGGCTCCAATCAGCGTATGTCGCCATCGCCATCGCTGTCGTACCGCGAGGTGAGCATTACAGCAAATACACATGGATGAAAATTCACCCTGCTTTTCAGCCATCTACGTGGGAAGCTATGTTCCGCGCAGAGCTAGGCAATGGCTATCGCGACAGAGCGATAGCACTGCTGGCACGGCTACAGGAAAGGTACATCCATATCCCCTAGTTCGTATTGTTGAAACTGACTTTTGTCAAGACAATTCCCCGCCGCAGTATGCAATCGGATACGAGGGATCATGATCGATGATCCTGTCTCACCATGAGCAGCATCTCCTTGATCACACTACTGTGAAGATGTACCCATTGCTTGATTATAACACGGACACGGCAACACTGGCTAACCAGGAGAAGGCGCAATATTTTTCTAGCCGCCATGATTGGAATACTAAAAGTATCTGCTCACTAATCATTCATTCATTGCGACACTACCATCATGCATAACACTTGTGTACACTATTGTTTATATACATCTGTATCATACCCTCGAGACAGTTGCGATGAATTCTTTTCAAGTCGCCCTGAACGCGACGGTTGATGGATTTATGCATCAACACTGGTCACTTTTCACATGCGTGCACAATGCTCGTCAAGCGTTCTCCGAAGGGCATACAAAAGAGAAGTCGAATTCAGAAACAACAGGTTGTTGCCTAATACTCAAATCACACGTGTACAAAGAGAGCGAAACGTGTCCGCAAGTCAAAAGAAACGAGCAGTCCAATGTTTGCAAAATCATACACTAACATGCCGTCTGATATCACTTTCATATTAAAGAGGGGGAACATCGATGGCACGCCAGTTTTACAATACACATGATTAAGATTAGTGCTATTCAAATTCCAGTTTGGAGAACCGCTATTAGCAATACACACCTTGTTAGTACCTCACTCAAACCTGACTGGATGGCCAGCCATCCAGATAACTATAGCAAGTTCAACTCTGTTCACAACTATATGACGAATGGTTCACGTACAGCAATACAGGGAGCTGAGCTGCAGTCTGTGGCGAATGCAACTTCTGTCGTATGTGCGCCACACATCCTTCGTCTCTCTTGTCCTAGGCCTCAACACCTACTATACGCGACTCGGAGCACTTTGCAGCACCGCCGATTGCGAGTGTAGGGTCCTTTTGGGCACTCTCTGGGTCAGATTTCGATTCATTCCCCTCTTCAGCACAACACGTGAAAGCTTTGGTGCAGCGATCGAACAGAACACTGCGCGGGATAGGAAGTTCTTTAGTGAACTCAGATGGAGGCCACCCAAATGCTAATTGCAAGGCCGTCCGTGGGCTGAAAAGCGACCTCCTCCTAGCGCCCTCGATCGTGGTAATTATTGTCATCACAGGGAGTGTACTGTTGCCCTGTAAAGCCTGCCTGCCCTGGATGATCCGCATCCAATTTGTATCTTGGAATTGCCCAATACATTGCCAAAGGGGCTGTATGCGATGTTTGACGGGGAGCACGGTCATGTCCAGCTCGAGCACCAAGGAGTGAACATCTGCTGGATTCTCTTTTTGCACGGCGGCCAATTTGTGTTGCAGCGCACGTTGTCCTGGCCACTTGTCGTCATCAAATTCGGCTGCCTCAATTAATGCAATAAACGGCAGACTTGATCGAAGGTGCCTATCAGCCTTGGCCATTCCTGCCATAACCGTCAGCAAGGGTATACATATATATCGGTTCACATACCGATACCAGCCTTTAGGATGCTGCAGTGTTTACGGTGGACAGTCGACCATGCTGCTCGCTGGCAAGATTTTGAGCAGTATTTCGTGGTCTGGCATCCAGCGCACTGCTGAAGTCTGATGCTCGCACTGGTGCACTATGACCGGTATCAGCATGGAGCAAACTTAACATGGAGAGGTTCATACTCCGGGACCTCCACAGGTTCGTTCGTACTCTGGGCGTGTACACGGCGTTAATGTAGAGAGAATCCTCCAACGTTGCGAAAGGGTCTCTTTGAAGGTCAACAACGAGCCCCACAATGTTGGATCGTGCATGGCATGAACATAAAGGCGCCGAGAATCGATATACTGCATGGATATCGAGGCAATACGAACGACCCTCTCATAGATTAGCGTCCCTCCCAACTGTTCAAAAATCCTGATGTCGTAATCCGACCACCTGGACTTGTGCAAGCGATTTTCCGAGGGGAATACACAGTTCCGTAGGAGGACCTCCAGAAGACGACAACGAAGGGCATGGCAAGCAGTTTCAATGGGATTATTAGAACACGCCAGCACGAAGGAGATGTACTGATGGCCAATAGCCATGGCAGCCCGCTTTGTCGCAATCTTTTGACAGAAGCTCTCATTGGTAGGATCTAAGTTAGGCTCTGTACCTGGACGTGTTCCTATTCCGGCCAGCGTGTTGAGAACTGTGCGTATCGAGGAATGTGTGAGAAAGAGTTCGCGAATGACAGGGTCCGCCTGGCTTGTAGCAAACATGAAGATAAGCGTTTGCTTGCACGTCAACGAGAGAGTATTCAAGGGACTAAGGTCGAGGTCATGCTTGACCACGTCGCGATCTCTCTGAGCCGCTCCCTTTCCTGCAAAACGTAGGCATTTGAGAGCAGCCAAAACCATAGGGGTCCTTCCTCCAGCGGCTTCGATGAGCGATGTCAAAGGCGGGAGAGGAGTGCTAGGAGGCTCATAGTACACGCACGAGGTGACTACATGGGCCATGAATGCGCGAAGCATATTGAAGTCCTGACGCCAGTGGCGAAGATATGGATCAACAATGCAATCTTCGCGTTTGATGTCCGCTACCAAGTACCAGAGTTCCATGATGATTCGCTCGATCTCTGGCGTTGTCCGATAGAGATGTGCGACAACACCAGGAAGTACGCTAGCCACATAGATGAACCGTATTGAGGTGCTGGCAGCTTCCTGCGAGGTTACACTGTAGATCCTGTGTAGGCGTGCGACTGGGTCATCCCGCGGGACAAGGAAATTATGGTAGAAAAATTGAACCCATGCAGATACCCCGCTCCAATGTAAGTGTATAGCGTCGGACAGCTTCTGACGAAATTGGGGTGCACCGCGTAGTTCCCCTTGATTCTCTCCGCACAGGCAACTAATGCCCATGATGGACACCTTAGCGAGCATAACTGAATGGGCAGAATCTGAAGTGATCTCATGGGGGACGAGCCTTGGATCAAGATGAACAAAAAATAGAGGAATGAGAGTTTGAAAATAAGGACGCAGGTGATCAGAGAATCCTTTAGAAGAGATTGAGCGATTGAGCGATTTGAGCGACACAAGCGACGATAATGATCCTCGTTCGATTTGTTTGACTTGATTCTGGGGCCACGATAAGTACATCAATAGTCACCAAGTAGACGACCAATTTACTCACTTGTAGCCATGTTGGTAATGATTCCCACTGTGACATGATAGGAGAGTTGGGGATAGGTGCTGACGCAGAGCCTTGAGGCTCTGGTGTACTTAAGAGGAGGAATCAAGACGTGATGATTGCCTCGAGGCTCCTGCGTGTTCCGCCTTGAGACGAAGATTGGGTGTCCAACTGCACTGCAGCCATGCCTGAACCATCCGTGATGCGCGCATAAGTGGGCAGCCGTGGCACATGTCGTCGGCTGCTTTATTTGGTGCTGTGCAATTTAGATCAACTTCGTGTGTACTCGGGCACACTGGGCAAGGTGGTCAATAGGAAGGTCGCAGAACTCTCGTTTGCAGTGAGCCTTGTTCATATGAATAGGATTGGACCCTCACTTTAAATTCTTCTACAATTCCCGGAATCCGAATCGTGTTTGCACCCGCATTGTTATGTGGTTTTGCATGCTGGCAGCAAGCTGGCGATGATTGGTTTTTATGAATTTCTACCAATTTGTGTACACCAGACCTCGCGGTAAATGAGAATGTACAAGCGAAAAAGTAACTTTCAGACTGACAAGTAAGACAGCTATTGGTGATACAACATTTCAAGAGGTTCGGTGCTGCATGAGCTAAAACCTTAGAATACCCTTCAAGCGAATACAAGAACTGCATAGTTCTCGAATTTCTGTTCACCACTGTTAGTTGCGATATAAGCTGCAAGAGAGGGCAATTAAAACCAGGTTCCACGTTCCAGAAGCGCCGAGTACCCACTGACCATAGTCATTCCACTTGACTTTACCACAATTAAGGCCACTGTCCATAGACACTTGAGCGATTAAGAATCTTGTTCCATCCGCTTCCCATCCTCCCCTGCATGTTCAGATACGATGGGAAGATTATACTGCTGTTGCAGGTAAACCTACTCCACGAAGTTGTCCCACCTTTTCGACGGTGCATGGGCCGCTGACAGCAACCCAGTGAAAAGAATTCCCATTTGCTATGAGGCATTCATAATCAACATTGCCCTGATAACAAATTTATGATATAGCGCAGGTCAAGATGCCGGAGTAAACACACCGTGATTGATCTGCCGCCACAGCCAAAACACACACATCCCCCATTCTGTGAAAATGCCCCGCTGGGATCTTGTTTGACAACAGGGTGAATGCTTTGGCAAAAACGATAGTATCAGAACTCACAAACACCACCCTAGACAGTTGTCTACCATATGACAGACTGCTCAAACCAAGAGGATTTATTTAGCTCACCGCATACGAAGCACGTATAATATAAAGGTCCATGCCATCTCTACGGCCACCTATAAGGGCTCCAGACGGTATTGCGCCCTCATGACAGTACCCAGACTTGCGTGTTGTGTCTTGTCAGCCATAGGCTGGGGGAAAGAAAAATGTCTCTCACCCAGCAAAACGGAATGGTAGTGCTTCCACCAATCTGTGGAGCCGGAAATATGAGGAAGTATAAGCGAACAACTCTGCAGGACGTACCAGTTTCTGCCACCCATTTCCCCCCCAATTCGCAGATCGAACGTGTGTAGTCTTGGTCGTGGTCGAGGTCGAAGTCGAGGTCGGAGTCGTGGTAACAGTCGTAGTGGTCCGTGTGGTGGATACGAACTTCTGTGTGTAGGAACTCTGCCGCGGCATGTGCGTTAATGGGCTGGGTGTAACTGAGTTCAGTATCGTGGACAGTATTTATGTAGCTTATCGGAACCCTAATAGTAAGCCAGCCTCCTATCAGACTTTTTTTATCCCCTATCCGACCTGCTTCCACGCCATTAGACGAGCGAAGAGGTGATGTGGTGCAGCTACTGCAGCGCCTTTTGTTTTTGCCCACCATCGCAGTTTTCTCTCGTCCTAAGTATAACACGAAGGGCCGCTCGCGGCAGAGCCAAGCTATGGTGTCATATTTATGCGTAACCGTTGGTTCTGATGACGAGTCGATCTTGTCTGCATAGACTAGCATCAAGAGTCAAAGCCTTCTCAACGGACTTTGCTAAAGTCGTACCATGATAAAAGTGAGCTGAGTGATTGAAATTTCAATGTTGCGGAGGTACAAATTCGACATAGCAACGAAGTCAGCGTTAGTGACAGTTCGAGTAGAAAGGATGATTGACTCGGATTTACAAGTGGTGAGGAACAAAAACCAGACGAATCATATTACGAAAGCGCGAGACGTTTTGTTTTTGGGGATCGCGAGTACAGTCCTTCGGAACATGTTTCAGGGACGTCAGCAGACCACGGGCCTGAATGGACAATGAGAGATGGGGGCGGGTAGACAAAAGCGCTGACAATCGGGGATGCCGCACGGAGCAAAAGATAACAAACACAGCTCTAATGTGCTTCAGGTCATGGGCCGAGCCAGGCCTGACCGAGCCCTCGAGCCACGGCTTTCAGTATATGAAGCATGGTGTGCGCACTGCGCACCGGGTAGGTAGTGAACATTTGCACTAAATAAATTTCACTCCGTTCCATATCGTCACTTCCGTAAATGGTAATTATTTTGGAGAGCGCAGACATCCACCGTATACCCTTTTGGGACCTCAGTGAGTGACATGAAGACGCAGTTTAGACTTGCAAAGCTTTTGTTACTTCGCGCACTACACAAATGCACATGCAAGCAGCAGATGTGGCAAATGTAAATGTTGCGGAATCCATGCAGTTGCGAAATGAGTGCAAGGGATGCAGAATTCTGCACAAAGTGCATGCGTTTGCATGCGCTGCGCTCACAAGAAAATACTCATCATTTGCTATCGTTAACTGGATCTACATGATCTGGCACTTTGCATAATATTCTCGCACGTTCCGTGACAGGCCCCTGCAATGTCCGATGTTCACTGGGCCTCATGAGATCTGAGAGTCAGCCAGAACCATGTTTATGTGTGATTCGAGTGTTTGCCATGTTAAGAACAGGCCAGAATTGAAATTGAGACATATATAGAGCGGCATTGCTTCCGAGTCTGCTTTCGCACTGCTCAAGCCGCAGCTTCCCCTTTCAAACCCTTTCGATATGCACCCAGAAAGCGCCACGAGCGGTTGATGAAACGATGCAACACATCTAGCGGGCAAGCATCGAGAATTGTATAGCTGCCTGTTTAGCCTCAGCGAAGTTGTTTTTTGGTCCTTGTCGATACCGGTATTCGCACCAGCCTGATTATAACTCAGCATTTGAATTTCACACATTTATGTAAAGGGGTAAAAGTATTGGCATAAGTCTTGGGTCTTGCTATTGGAAAGGTAAGCCAGGTATTCGATTGTAATTAGTAGCTCGCTCACTAATCTTTGACTTCGCGCGAATTTCAGCCTTCTTTCGAAGATGTTCTGGGACTTAGTCTGGGTCTTGGAGCATGTCCGCCATTACATCGCAGTCAACGACTGTTCATCATCCCAGTCACCCTCCAAGTCATCTACATTTGATTCTGTCTCTGAGTCTGATGTGTAGAGCTTAGAAAAATTGGGTTTCAAACTGTCGAAAAATAGGTGCAGAGGGGGACAGATTCTTCAGGACTTGGTGCACGGAATCTGGACTTCAAGGCATTGACTTCATTTTCGGAATTGTCATGGTCTGATGACGCTGAGTGCTTCGCCTGGGTCTTAAGTTCGAACGTGCCATGAGCAGGTGAGTTATTAATTTTTTTCGGGGTCGAACTTCATATCTTTCTCATTTTTAATACCAGAATTGCATACTCAAGGTTGTAAAAGGACTCGATTGCGTTATTTTTCATGATTTTAGGCGCTATTTCAATGACCAGCCGAATTTTGGGGTTCGAGTGACCACAAAGACTGTTATCGGCAGCCCAAATGAAGCTTTGTTCGTCTTCAAATAGTCTAATCATGCTCAAGGCGTCGTTACTGAGGTCTTTCAGAAGGTTGTGGGGAATCTAACCATAGTTGTCGATTTTGCGTGTCCGCAACTGTCCCTGAAAATGTTCAAGCACGCATGTATGTAATGCCGTAATTTATGGATGGACGAAGGGATAACCAAACTGGGGTGTTTGGGTACTTCGATCTCTGGCCTTGCGATCAGGCTTACCGACAATCACGCCGACTCTCTCCTGGTAAATTCACATTTGAGTTTAAGAAAAGTGTCCATAAATCAATCTAGACGACCACCCTTGATGTACCTATGCTCAGACTGCAGATCTGTATCGTCATCCAAAAGTTTCTTGATCGCCATAACGACCGCTGCCAAAAATCCAAGAATCAGCAGGACGGCCATATATGGATGGGCGATGATGAAACCCTCGGTGTTTGTGAGACTTGAGTTGAAGGCCTTTGTGTATGGAGTTGTAAGCAAGGGAATTGATAATAAATTAGTAGTGACGCATACCCGAAGAAGGCGCTCCATGATATTCTCTGAGTGCTTGGAACGTATTTTGTTGCTGTAAACACCTTCAATAGCAGAGAATATGCTGACGGCATTTAGCTGAATAGGCTGCCCAGTAGTATCCCTATCCCAGTAGACCAGGCGCTATCCAATTATTAGCTATTATGATTGAAAAGAACAGGAATTACAATTTACTTACACTGTGATCAGCAACCACCACCTTCGGCTGGTCCTTGACCTTCACACCGTACATACTCTTCATCCATTTTCCCCATTGATCAGCATCCATCCACGTGAATACAACGTCTTGTCTGCCAACATAGCTCTTGCGCAGGCGCCACTTCTTTGCGATATCGTTCAACTTCGATGATACATCATTTTGGACGCCGTTGGGCGTTGCAGCGATCACAACGAGTGGGTTATGTGGAGCATTCATTACGTGTTGAAATATATCACGTGAGAGCTCGAGGGAGGTTGGGAGGCGATTGGCAAAGAGCCAAGTACTAAGTGTATCAGAAATGGAGGAGTTAAAAATCGAGGTGGGTTCCTTCGGGTCATTGTCTTTGAATGCCAGGATGACCCAGGATTCTGTCGTGGGGATGTCATAGCGAGTAAAGAGTTCCTTGGAGGATGATACAAATACCGGGGGTGACCCCAGGAGCAATTGAGAATCTTTAGCGACCTCACTCTGAAACATCGTCAGTACCAAACAATGCACATAATGCGGTCCACGTACGACAATATGTTCATCTGATGAAGAATGTAGGAGGACATATGCAACAGGATGTTCATGGACAACCTTGTCGAGATCATGAGCACTTATTGGTTGCATGGTTCTGTAGCAGACATCAAAAACTGCCCTATGACTCGGAAGAGTTTCCTTACGGAGATGCTGCCTTGTCAGCGAAAGCCACAAGTGGCTCGTATTTTCTACTTCCTGAGTATTCTGTCTTTGCGCCGTGAGAGTAGTAGAACAGCATAGGATAACCTGTGACCCCTTGCTTCGTGCAGAGCGACTTGAAATCATCACAATTGACTTCCGCGATATTGAGCTTATGCTGCATGCGACGAGCGACCTGTAGCCACACGGGAGCAAGTTTCTTGCAGTGTCCGCACCTAATGAACGATTGTTAAAGCAAATTTTGGTCTATAATCGATGCGTACCACGGCGCAAAGAACTTGACAAATGTAGGCGCCTGGGCCACAAAGTCGTCGAATGTCTCACTAGTTAACGATATCACCTCTCCCAAAGGATTGGATTCCGCCTGCGACACCTGAACTACCGAATTCTCGCCTACAGGAACGATCTCGGCCGCCATTTCCTCCTGCTCAACCGCAGTTGGGGATGACAAGGAAATTGCGGTAGGTTCAGCGTGCGGAAGAAGGAAGTCTACAAGGATATCGAAGTCGCGATCGTTAGTGAAGGTCTCTACAAACTGGCCGTTCCGGTAGAGGTTCATTTGAGGGTATCCTGTAACACCATTCTCGGTGCACAAGTCTTCCACGATTAAGAAGGTCTGTCAGTGGCCCGGAAAACTAAGAGGACTCGCGTACCTCCATTCAATGCGCAATTCACCTGCGCCAGATGTATCCCTAGATCAGGTTGTTTCTCAAATTTGTCCACTACACGGTTCCATGTTGGTTCAAAGTTACGACAATGCCGACAATATGGGGAAAAATGTTCGATGAACCTACTCTCCTTGTTGAAAAAACAATAAAGTGCTTTTACGAAAAGGACGCACCAAACACCATCTGCGATTGTTTGCTTGAAATCTTGAGGGGTCAGGACTTGTGAGCCTGCCGCCGGAGCGGCAGCGGCCTGAAGCACGAACCATGTTGTGAAAAGCGACAATGGCGAAGGTAACATAGTGAGTTTCATGCCAGCATGAACTCCAGACTACTAATAGTAGTCCCAAGTCAAGAACTTAGAATACTTACGACTTGATGATGGTAGTTGAAAGCGAAGTCGTGGTGGGCTCTAAGCGCTCATGGCAATGCAAGATAAGTATGTATTATTTGGTTCTTGCTCACTGCCATGATCAATGGAGACATACTACTACTCTCAGTTCAATCATGCAGTCGTTCATGTCGCTTTATTCGATGATGTGACAAACGCTGCTGCTATCAGGTCTCGTATTGTTCAGGCCGCTAGAAATCTCAGTGTGGATGGGAACACTGAACGTGAAGCTGTCAACTTTGCCTTCATTGATGCACGGCTGGTAGAATGTCGACTTCACTCCTGGTGAATTATTACTGACTACGTGTCTCAGATATCAAGCTCACTTCACCTTCAGACAGCAATTTACCAGGCGCTTTTGTCAGAGGCGCAGGGCCAACTTCGGACTAAAACTGTCCACTCAGAGATACTATGGGCACTGAACCCCACCAATAATGTACGCGTAACTATCTCCTCGATAATTTGTTGATTTTCATTAAAAATGTCTTCAGATCACTGAAGCCATCCGACGATATGGGGTATCGGATGAGTCGACCACACTCATTGTTGTCCGCGTGGATGTCTCAAATACCCCTGATCTACAGCGGCGCATGTGCGACATTATCCAAGGGTGTATGGTTCCTTTTCAAGTGCTGAGTCAAATGACAGATTGGTCAATTATCAAAAAAGTATGTAGCAACAGATCGATGCGATATCAATAATCTCATCTCCTCTCCAGCATTATAAATTGGACTCAGAGTCAGCTTTGAAAGAGGTGCAAGGGAACCTGGATCGAGAGCGTTCCATCATCGACAATATTGTTGTCAGTTCGGTAGCAATGAAGAGTGTCATGACATGAATTCGATTATATGGTGACATCCAGCAAGTCATCCATATCACCCATATACGCGATGATGCCAGGTCGTGATATCGTTGTTTTGACACGCCATGACGAAGTATGTGTATGACGGCTGACATGGCTAACGATGCAATGATGGCTGACACTGGTGGTCGACGTGTCAGCCTCCGAATTCTGGTTAATTTATATGCGCCTCTGCATCTTTTGAACGCCCAGTGTACTGCTTTCATCTTTCCATCATCTTACTGCTTTACCATGGCCCCCACATCTACTCTCATGTTGCTTTCCGCAGTGCATTCAACCACCGCCCTCTCGGGGCCTTTCGTCACTCCTTCGACCATATCGCCCACCAGCACGACCGTCGTTACCTATGATCTTTGGAAAGGTGGTCTCGTGTGCTTCGCAGTCGCTATCTTTTCCGTGGTGGGATATTTCTACCGTCGTCGTCGCAAAGACACTATGTCCAAGCCCAAGCTGCCTGGCCTTGTACTACCAGTCATTTTGCCCCGCGATGACTCAGTGCTTTGCTCACCGTCCGACACGCCATATGATATATCTCTGACCTGCGATCGTTCAGTACTCCAGTTGGGAAGTAATCAAATGGTCAAGCATGATGCCTCCACATGCAACGTTGACGTGGCATACGTATGCGGCTGATCTCTTGTCGTCACGGCTCCAAATGAGGCTGACATTGTATGCTTCCAGATTCCCATGGTCCAAACTGGTACTGCGGTGATCGGCCAATTAAGTGAGGATCAACTGCGTGGTGGCCAGTTTGGGGAGGTAGACGTTACGGAGGCGGACTACGATTGTGGAGTTAAGGTATGTAATATAAGCTCGTATCATCACCATCATTGACCGTTTTTATTTTACCCATAGCTTTCGGTCCCTACTATCGCTGTAGCTGTCGCCGACGAGGATTTCGTCGATTCCTTGGTGCGTAACCCGGCCTCTTTTCGACATTGGTGGCTGACCGCGGTACTTATATAGTCTTTACAGCGTGCTTTGGGTCTGTTCGACAAGGAGGAAGACGGACCACAGCACGAAGAATCCGATGACGATATCTCAATTTACTCTTCAGAATCGGCAGAGGCCACTCTTCATAGTTCCCTGCTGTCAGAGACCGCCGAACCACACGTAGACGTCCCCCAAATCACTTGCGAGTATTACATGACTGTCGTTGCGTGCGAGTGGTCTGCCCGATCGTACAACTTTGACATTTCAGTTGTCGGTACAACGCTTCGGGGCGGTGCCTTCCTTACTTTACCGGGTTCTCTACCCTCTCCTTCGACCCTTCCTGCTGGACTACGTTCCCCTGATGACCGCCGACATGGTCTTGTCGAAATGTCCGACTTGGCTAGTGCACTCGCGAGTAAGCTCGATCCTCCCTCGGATATCGTTCTTCAAGCATTCGACATGTCTCCCGTCGCGCCCATTGCCCGTCGCCATGGCCAAGTGGATTTCAGCAAGTACGCGGATGCTCTTAACGCGGAAAGCGGTATCCCTTCGCGATGTTACCGTTCTCTTGCTGAAACGCATATCTTCGGAGAAGAGCAGGAGGACTATCAAGATATCAATTCCTGCCTGATGGACGATCTTTTGCAGTCTATCGATGCGGAAGTCGAATTTTACAATAGCTTCAGCTGTGACGAAGAATGCGACGACACTCATCCAGCGAGGAAACACACTTCTCCAACATGGGATTACTTGGATTTCTTCGAGGACGAGACATGTTCTTTTGCCGCCCAGGAGGATGTCGACTTGTGTCTGGAGCTAAATGGCTGCAACGAGCAACTTTTTCCGTCGCCCGACTGTTCATGCTCCCTCGAAAAGGACATATTTCAAGGTTTTTTCGAGGACCGCGTGCTAAGCTCCATTTCCAAACAGGGTGAGTACGGTGCCGACAACAATCTTACATCGGACCTTCACCAGCTCTCCACGGACGAATCGGAAACATCTCTAAACCACGTCTCTGGTGGTACCTCAGAGACCGCAGTTCTCGACCTTATCCGACTTCTCGACGAACAGATTGATAACCACCGACAGCCTGTCCACGATTCAGTCCCAGAAGTCAACGATGGCTTCGACCTCCTTCGGTTTGTCAATGAGGACTTGCGACTTTCCGCGGATGACAAGTATCCAATTGTCGACTTCGACTACGACGACGATTGCGACGATAAGAATTGCCCCAGGTTTCTGGCGACCGCGTCCGACTCGAAGTCATCGTTGTCGGAAACTGAAGATGGATCTGTTGACGATTACGGCTCGACTCCCTCACTGGCGTCCGTCTCGGATATAGACTCAGACGATGAGGTAGTCATCATCGCTCCGATGACAGATTCCACCAGCCCCTTTCTGCTTTGTTCTAACCACCGTCGCTCACCTGCCGGATGCTTCTTTGTCACCCTCGCCACCCCGACTCAATCCGGCTACCTGATTGACGCACACTCGTGTATCGATGTCACTATCGGTGAGCCACGAACGCAGGGTTTTATTGAGGGCTGTGTTCCGTTCACCGACGAACATTGGTTTGGGATCCTGACTAATGCCAATCTCGCGTCTAAGGAATTCTCGCAGCTCGACTTCGATCTTCGATTCAATAGCAATGCCAAGTAGAATCTTGTATCGAGGACGAGGAGTCCTTTCGGAACTGGATCGACAGGGCGATGCGTCAAGAGCACATCTCGATCGCTGGACTTCCACACGTTCACTGTCGACCTTCACCTGCCAGTTTCAATCCTGACGCGACATTATTTCCAACACAGATTCTATTCCATCATCTTTCCAGCAGCAGATTTTCTCAAACTTGCATCGTATCGGTTTCTATTTCCACCTCGGTCTCGATATCATACAGAAAACGACAAAACCCCATACTCTCGTTCTTTCTATTTCTTGGTCTTCCTCTTTGGTTTTGTCCTGTTTTTTTCTCTCTTCATTTGATCTTGTCTGTCATTTTGCAGCATCACAAGGTCCCTCTGTCCCTAATTCTTGTAAGATTTCTAACTCCCGTCTTGTTTCCACTTCGCTCACCGTCTCTCCGATTGTTCGCAGTATTCTACCACATTCCCCGCGCACTTGCGTCATCACCTTTGTAAGGCTTTCTGAATTCTTGCTTTTTTCCACCATGCTTACCACCCTTTCGCACTCTGGTTCGTGGTAGTTTATTCTTGCAGTCGTCAGTTCATTTTGCAGCACTCCAACGTATCCGAAAACGTCCTCGCGTCATCATCTTCGTAAAGTTTCCTCGTTATCACGCCTTCTATGACTTACCCGTGGTTTCTTGCGCAGCTCCAATCATTTGCAGTTGACAATTTCGTTTTGCAGCACGATCCAAACGCCATAACTTGCATCTTCGCGATGTACCTGATTCCTCGCATTCTCTGCCCTGGTTATCCAAGGCCACCTTTGCAGCCTGCGCAAAACATAACAGGCTTCCTTAATGACGACAACATCGTGCGTGATGTTTCCGCGGCCTTGCGATAATCTCTCACAAGGCTCCAGTAATTTCTGGTCATTGTTGCAGGCTCGTCTCAATTCGCAGTTCAGCACCCCATGATATCTCAGCCTACCCTTGCCTTCCTTCTGTCGTCCTTGCGTGGATTAAAATGCTTGGGGCTCTTTACGGGCTTGCCACATTCACTTAAACCACTTCGGTTGGTCGTGGATATTTTCTTCCTTTTCGCATCGCAGTTAAGCACCGCATGATATGTCAGCCCATCCTTGCCTTCCGTCATCTTGCATTGCAAACGCTCGTGGCTCTTTACGAACTTACCACACTTCTTGCATCACTTCGGCTGGTCGTGGATATCATCCTCTTCTTCTGCGCCGCAGTTCAGCACCGCATGATATACTAGCTCACCCTTGCCTTCCGTCGCCCTTGCATAGTTTCAAACGCCCGTAGCCCCTACGAGCTCATGACACTTTCTTGTGCACTCCTGCTGGTCGCGGATATCATCATTCTCTCCCCCCGTTGCGCAGGTCGCCATCGCACGATATCTTATTCCACGCTCGCATCACCGTCCACCCTTTGCTGCCTGTGTGCAGCACCTGGTCAGTTGCAATATTCTTCGTAACCATGCATGGTGGCTCTTATTTCCGGGCGTTCATGTTCCACCCGGATAACAGTGGCCCACTTTGACTTGCGACATACACTATCACTGTCATTCCTCGACAATGGCTTCCCATGACATGGCGTGCTACTACCCTCGTAGTGACTTGCAGATTAACAAGGTGCGCACGGCTGGCCGCCACGACACTTCACATTCTGTGAAAACCTTTGACTGCTTGTTCCGACCCACCGAGACCTTCACGACCTTTATGACTTTTATGACTTTTATGACTTTCACGACTTTCACGACTTTCACGACTTTCATGACTTTTTACGACTTTAACGACTTTAACGACCTTTTACGACCTTTTACGACTTCTCACGACACTTCACGACCTCATCAAGGTTCTTAACCAACTCTCCTGGCCTTTGCGACTTGTCAACATCCATATCACCCCGCATGTCGTGCGCCCTGCGTGGCGATCCACGGAGATCCGCCCCAACGCGTTCTTCTTACGGCGGCCTTTTTGTAACGAGTCGCACAGCCGCATGACATGCAAGCGTTTCATGGACCGCTGACTTCACGACCCTCGCAACCTCTCATGCCTCGCCAGATCGTCCATAGCCTACTTCGCGCCTTCGACCCACTATGGCCTGCTGCAAACACTGGTATGTGAATGACTACTATACTATACAATCTGCTTTGATACGCCACCTACAGTTCGGCGAATTGCACCCTTCACTTCAACTCCATCATTACCTCGAGGCCATTCATGGCTGATTTTGACCCTTCTATCCACTTCGGACTGCTGCAAACATTGGTACGTGAACAGCTACTATCTTACACGATCTCCTTCTGATTCATCGCCCGCAGTTCGGCGACTTGCACCCTTTAATTTATTTCAACTTCAACTTCACTTTTCTAGCTTCTTTCGGCGACTTGTGCCCCTTTACCAAGCCTTCAACTTCACTTCAACATATCTTGTTCTATCTTTTTTTCTACTGTTATGCAGCACCTTTTTAATTTTGCAAATATGATTATCCTGCTGCCAAGTCATGGCGTGAGTGAGTTTGTTGGTTTTAACATTCGGCGAGGGACTCGTGCTGCCACAGTCCGATTCTGAACCTCGGTTCGAACCTGAAATTTTCTGAGTCGGACTCATGGTCTAGTCCGGCGTGGCTCCAGGACCGAACCTCCAAACAGGTTCGGGGTGGGTTGGAGTGCGCCTAGAGTGTCGATTCTAGGAGGGACACAAGTGTAGAACCCGCTGGGAGAGCGCGCCTGGCACACCGTGGATTCCGGAGGGTGCCGTCGAGTACCATGACGAAGTTCAAATTTAATTTGGGTATGCGTGTACAACAGTGACACTGGATTATGTGACTGAACCATGTGAAATACATGAAGGAGGGAGGGAGGGTACAGTAAAGTACAATTAGACACTGTAAGCTAATAGTAGGGATAGTGGTTGAGTATGGTAGGCGTCAGCCTCATTGGTGCTCGATGTCGAGAGAAGAAAATTGATGTGGTTGTGCAACCGCTCATTGGGAGGGCAAAAATTGAGTTGTTTGCTTGCAGAGATGCGATTTTTAGTTCGGAATCTATATATAAACCGCCGGCATGTTGTCCAACACGTCATGCTGTGTTGTCTCTTTTTCACGGCTTTTTCCGTTTGCCGCAAGGAAGACTTATTTTGGAACTGCAAGGCACCGCGTCTTATATAACGTTTAACAGTAAAAATAAAGAAATTCTTTCACAAAGCTGACAGGGCCTCGGCCTGCAGATGCCCATAAGCCTGGGTAGCCTTCCAACTACTGCCACAGGCTGTGCACATGTCATGCCAGGCCTTACAATTATAATTCTGCGTTTAATGTCCCTGAAACATATTTAGAATAAGCTTATTTCTGTTTCTGGTTCGTCCCCACTTTGTTTTATACGCGGAGTTTCAATTATTTCTCTAACTGTTTCTTCCACGACGCGCCATACATGCATACATGAACATTTGAACGTTCCCAGCGCTCAGAAAACGCCAGTGACTAGTAGTTACCAGTTCTGCTGCCACATCACTGCTATGTCAAGTACTGGTATGCGGCAAACGTTAAAGTAGATGCAGCGGCGTGGGCCATGAGCCATCGCTCACTTCCTCAGTTATAGTTATTTCAAGCGACTTCCAAAATTAGTAACAACTTAACTGCCTGCATGTCTGCGGTCGTTATGCAGTCAGCGTCACTGCCATAACCTGGCAGCCGTGAGCGGATTCTCATTGCTGACGAGTCCTTTGTGGTCACTGCAGCCGGCCTGGCACAACCTTCAGGCCTCAGCCATTCCGAGCGCGTCGCAACAATCATCCGCTGAGCGTTTGTTGCGCAGTCGGCCGCCGCCAAGGTCCCGATGGGCACCTAACGCGGCAACCATCCCCCAATCCTATCTTGTTTACACCTCCTTAACCGACCCGACATTCACTTGTTGGAGCTGTTGGCGATGCTGACTTCCCATCGTGAGTCCATTAAGGCAAAACCATTTCCATTTGGAATCATTGCATGGGTATTCAATATATCATCGACGAAGAGTCTCCCCTCTGAATACCGCCGTAGCAATGCCTTGTTTGCTTCAGATGACATAGCACGGTACAATAATGTTGCTAGTCCCTTTCGCAATGGAAGGCGCAACATCGACTTGACGTCCCACTCCGTGAGGGTGTGGCGGTCCCGGAATTGTCGTCCCGACCATTTTTTCCCTTCAGGTCTCTGTCAAGGGTTTTCGGTTGCGTACTAATCTGACTCGTGCAATTTAGTCTCCAATGCCAGTGTGTGCAATCTTGTAATGGCCACACAAGAAATGACCGTCGTCAGTATCTCAGATTTGCAGCAAGCTGATGTGTGCGTCTAAACAGGTAGTATCGGCACGAAGTCTGACTTCAGCATCGATGTTACCCAAGCCCATCCGTAATACGGCAAGCTCTTGATCATGACAGAAAGGAAATGGAGCCTCAGAGTAGGCACAGCATGCTCTATTCTGGCATTATCTCCGATCACTGCCTGGTCCGGTGGTCCCGCGCTCTGATAAAATATGCCACTCACTTTTTCCTTCTGCATCACAGCGACAGTATCGGTTAGATACCGGAATAAAACATCCGCGATTTTGCCGGTTCCGTTTTTCAACCTGATGCTTAACACAGATGCTCATCGATATCTACTTTTATCGCTCTCAAGGCACATGAACAGGTCAGCACTCAGCTTTCATGCAGCGTGTGATCGTTCCTTCCAAACACTCTAATCCGATTCTCTCCCACAGTACGCTTGACGAGGGGTCACTACCAACCATCTGCATCCTTCTTTCCTGTGCCTGGAGAATCGCGTCGGAGTGCTCTCACAACCTAGCACGAGCACTGCTATAGGTCAGTTGACTGTTCTGGCCGCCTGAGTTATCTCATGTTGTGTCTGAGTCATGTTTTCGTGGCACGCCAAAATTCTTCGACGCGTTGGTCGACAGCTGCTAACTCTTGGGTACGCTGTTGATATTCAGATGTACAGGGCGATGCAGTCATTGAGCAACTATTTTCCGCGTGATCACACGCCGGTAATCATCGCTAGAGAAAACACTCACTCAAGGCTATCTGCCGTGCAGGATAAAAGCTGTAAAGAGAGATGTGTCCTCTCATCATCTTCATCATCTTCATTTTCTCCATTCTACTGCTCTCCTGGCGAGAGCACTTTCTATCATGATGTTTACTCCAATTCTAATTGCTTCTTTTATTTCATCCATTAATGCCGCGGCTATAATATCTCGTTCACAATCCTACCCATTATCTCAGCGCAGTGCGCTCGGCCCCCAAACCACACTTACCATAGGCAATAATGACATCGCTCCCGATGGCTACTCACGCTCGTCAGTCTGTTGTCATGATTTCGAAACTCACTGCTAATTTTTAACAGAGCGACTCTTGTTAATGGCGAATTCCCTGGACCCTTGATTTCAGCGCAGAAGGTGACCGTCTGTCGATCACCTCGTCGCACACTAGCGCTGACCGCATAATAGGGAGATAACTTTTCCATTTTGGTGGCCAACAACCTCACGGATACCTCCATGTACACGGTTACCAGCGTCGTAAGCAGCGCCAAATCGTCAACATTGATGTCAATTAACTTTTTAACCTTGTTTGCCACAGCATTGGCACGGCATCTACCAGAATGGGACGAGCTACGCCGACGGGACGAGCACCGTCACGCAATGCCCCATTGCGCAGAATCAATCTTATTTGCAGTCTTTCTCCGCCCAGAATCAGGCAGGCACTTACTGGTATCATAGTCATTATTCTGTTCAATACGCAAGTATCACTCCAATCTTGCATACGCATCAGAGGACTGACCTGTGGAACAGTGCGATGGTCTCAGGGGAGCCCTGGTAATTTACGATCCTGACGACCCTTATGCATCCATGTACGATGTCGACGATGGTGAGCCAGAAATTTGTTTATATTAATCCTCTGACCATCATGCGTTGTCAGAGAGCACCGTGATCACGCTTTCCGACTGGTGAGTTTTATGAACGCTGGTGATCTGCCCGACTAAAGTAGCATCGCTAGGTATCACGCAGAGGCCACCGTCTTGCGCTACATCATAGGCAATGTCGCCGACTCCACGCTCATCAATGGACTCGGTCGATATGCTGGCGGACCCGCGTCTGATCTAGCTGTGATCAACGTCGAGCAGGGAAAACGGTATCGCATGCGTCTGGTTTCAATGTCGTGCGATCCCAACTTCCTGTTCTCCATCGATGGCCATAACATGACCGTCATCGAAGCGGATGGACAGCTGACCGACCCTCTCGAGGTGGATCAGCTCCAGATTTTTGCGGGTCAACGTTACTCTGTGGTTTTGGTCGCCGATCAACCGACAGACAACTACTGGATACGCAGCCTTCCTGATACAGCCAATGCATCCTTTGTTGGAGGAACAAACTCTGCTATCCTACGCTACCAAGGCGCCCCGCAGGTCGAGCCGACTACGGTCAATACTACATCCACGAACCCATTGGTGGAGACCAATTTGCATGCTCTGATCAATCCCTCTGCTCCTGGCGTTCCAGAATATGGAGCGGCTGATATCAACCTCAACCTCGCAGTTTCCATCGACGACAACGGAATCTTCTACGTTAACAACGTCTCATTCGCAGCCCCCACCGTTCCTGTCCTACTCCAGATTCTCAGCGGAGCTCAAGATGCTTCTGATCTGATGCCAAATGGAAGCGTCATCATTCTCGAGGCCAACAAAGTGGTAGAATTGACATTGTCGACCACTGGTGTGGGTGGACCCGTACGTATATTCCATCGTTTTGACGCTTACTTATCTGACATACATTGTACCAGCATCCCATCCATATGCACGGGGTAAGTTCTCCTTGACTTCGATGGCATGGTCTGGCTGGTACTGATGCGAGCATTAGCATTCCTTCAGCGTCGTACAGAGCGCGGGCAACAGCAGCTTCAATTACGTGAACCCTGTTCGTCGCGATGTCGTAAGCGCTGGCAGTCTAGGGCAACAAATGGTGATACGATGGGTGACCGACAATTCTGGCCCCTGGTTCTTGCATTGGTATGCCATCGTCTCTATCGAGCTGTCAATAAGGACACTGACTCTGAACCCATAGTCACATTGACTGGCATCTCGACGTGTATGTGTGCGAAAGTCCTCGCGAGAGAATTTGCTAATCCTTTATTTACATCCAGTGGTTTTGCTGTTGTAATGGCTGAAAGTCCCTCAGAAACCCGCGCAAATATGCAAACAGCGCCAGGTATGTTATCTGTGAAGAAACTGAATTTCTATGGCTGAACTGCTTTTCAGACGCATGGGATCAGTTGTGTCCGACCTTTAACGCTCTCTCACCCTCGCAGTTGGGGGGTACGAGTATGGATCTTTACGAAGCAGCTACCAATATGTCCGATAGCCTTTACCCACCACCAGCGCCCCTCCCTTCATCTGCATAGTAGTAGATGCGCCACTCATTTTGATTTATCAGGGTTTGCAGGACAACCCTTACCCTACTTAGATTCTCCTCTATTATAAGTAATGAACCCTCTACTTCATCATAGATTATGATACGGTACTGGCTGGTGCTTTTCTCCAGTATCTACTTGACCTAATACAGGATATGACAGTTATAGCCTTATACTTGATGTAGCGCCCGCCGAATTTATATTTCTTTGATGCTTGAAGTTCATACCTTCCGTTCCATCGACGTCGAAAAGACAGAGCATACAGGAATCCAGTGCTCAGTATCGGGCCTATCTTTTTGAGCATGAGGTTAGTGACAACCTAACGTACGACTGTACGTAGTCAAGTAAGTTCAAGTGATTGTTTTTCTTGGTGGCTTCTTTGTCTTGACTCGACACTGTATAAATGGCCTACATTGTCATCTTACAAATATCTGCAAATCATATTTTTTCTCGTGTCTTCTTGCAGAGTCAGGGATTGACGCTCGCGCTGCTAAGTTGGTAGTAATTACAGTAACATAACATGTGTCTAGACTTAGTAAGTATTGAGATTGAACTAGCTCAATGAATCTACGAAGAACATACATCTACTTCGGTATTACGATGCCATGATCCAATCGAAGGGTGCAGAAAGCCAGAGACACGCTCGGCGCTGGTCTGCACCGTGCCGTCTGGTATCAGAATCGACGATGGCGACGGCATGATGCCTGGAATGCAGATCGTGTGTGGATTCGGGAAGGTGACCCAGAGGGTGTGTCTAGGGTGTTGGAACTTGTAGGTGCTTGGAGGCTCGATGAAGGGAGTGCGGCATGTGCATTGTGTCGAGAGCGTTTCTGGATGATGTTAGTATGGTACTTACACAACGTATAGGGCATTTATCTCCTTGTATTCACTCTACAAATATGTTGCCGTCATGGGGCGCTGTATAGCGAAGTCGGCACGCTGAAATGAAGATTACAACTTCAAGTTCACGATTCATGAGTACCGTGACAGCGTGACAGTTGGGTTAAATCAGGAAATCACACTATCGGCTTGGTCGAGTCTCCGCTTTGTTGCATTCGACAGAATCGGTTGGAACTCATTGGCTTGGAGCGCTGTCGGACTTTGGATACCACCGTGTCTTGGCCGAGGCGCCGCGTGTGACATAGCGCGACGAAATTGTGCATTTCTATTGTGGTTTCAACGTATCGAGATCTCAACTTCCGCTGCTGCCGCTGTAGCAAGCTCACAACAGAATTAAAAAAAACTTGTCGGGCCCAATGCGCAGAGACATAAAGTATACACTAAAGTAGATCCGATATATAAATATGTGTTGTTGTTTTGACGCTATTCAGCAATAAGTGAAAATTGTGCATTTCCCGTCTAGCACTTGATGGAAGATACAAAATTGCCGCGGGCCGGGACGTTCCGCCAGGTTAATGTGAAACACCGATCATCCTGGACTCTTTATATTGTTTGTTGTTATTTGTCTCTTCAGTGATCTCTTGGCAGCATGAAGACCGCGGACCGGATTTCATTTTGATCCCCGGTTCTGTTCACTTTGTGGAGCTCGGTTAGGTTTTTACGATATGGGCGTGAAATACCCTAAATTTAATGGCTGCTAGCGCTCATCCAACTTTATTCCTGACATCTCTCCTCCGTACTGGTAGAAAGTTTGCAGACAACATTAATTATAAACGTTTAAACCACCAAGGTGTGAATGGATATTTGGTGCTTTTGGGTAGCTGCTTGACCTTGAACACGATCCAGGTCACCGTGACTGCGTCTCGCCGCGACGATTCCGACCTCTTGGAAAATATCGGGTCATGGACAGCTTGGATTCAATCCCTGTCTAAATAAGTTCACTATCTGCCTATCTGCGGTCGTGCATCCGGTACTTGCGGCCGCTGCCATAGCCTGCCAGCCAAGATCTGATCCTCCATTGGTGACGAGTCCTAGATGGCATCTTCAGCCCAACTTCCACGGTCCCGGGCCAATAGTGGCACGACCTTAGATCATCGCCATTATTATCAAGGTCGCCGGCCGTCTCCTTTCAAAATTCTGTGCATAGACACTAAGCACCTAGCACATAGTCGGCATCGCAAAGGTCCTGACATGCCACAAGCACATAGTGCTACTACTAATAGCGTGTGACCGTTTCTGTCTGACAATCGCTAGTCCGATGCTCTCGCACAGCCACCGTACTTGACGGAGGGGCACCACCAGTGACTTTTCCTGTGCATGAAGAGTTGATTCAAGCTGTAGTGACATCCTAGCACTAACACCTGTGGTCGGTTGGCCGTTTCGCGTCTGAGTTATTTTGAATCGTGTCCGAGTCATGGTCTCATGGTACGTCATCATTCTTGAACGCATCAATAGATCGTTGCCAACTCCCGCAGCCGTACACCGTTGAGACCGGGGCGCTGAGCATCTGTTCGCGGTGCAATCACACGCCGATAAGTCGAACTGCTTTGAACGGCCCGGCGTACACTTCATGGCTGTCTACTGCTGCAAGATAAAAGCTGCAAGAGCATTGTAATATTTTTTCTACTTCTACTACTCTCGTGAACAACAGCATCATTACCTATCGTGAATAATCGCGATGATTATTCATTTTCTAATCGTTTCTCTCATCTCATCGATTAATGCTGCATCCATAGTATCTCACTCACAGTCTTACCCACTATCTCAGCCCGTTGTACATGGCCCCAAAGCTAGAATAACCATTGGTAATGGAGTCATCGCTCCCGATGGCTTCAAACGCCCGTGAGTCTAATGCAACGGCACTCATATCTCAGTCCTGATCTTTGACAGAGCAACTCTTGTTGATGGCACATTTCCTGGACCTTTAATTACAGCACAGAAGGTGAATTTTGTTGATCTCCTTACCGGGCGCCAGTGCTGACCTTACGATAGGGAGATCACTTTGATATTGAGGTAGTCAACAAACTCAAAGATGACTCGATGTTCGAGCTTACCAGTGTCGTAAGTAATGTCAAATCATCAGTGTTGTTAAAATTGACCTTGTTCACGGCAGCACTGGCATGGTATCTCTCAGAATGGAACTAACTATGCCGATGGGACGTCCTTCGTCACACAATGCCCCATCACACCGAACCACTCTTTTTTACATTCTTTCTCCGCCCAGAACCAGGCAGGCACTTTCTGGTATCACAGTCATTATTCTGTTCAATATGCAAGTATCACTCGAACCTTGCACGCGCATTAGAGGACTGACCTATGGAACAGTGCGATGGTCTCAGGGGAGCCCTGGTAATCTATGATCCTCAAGATCCTTTGGCATACATGTACGATGTCGACGATGGTGAGCGAGAGATTGGTTCATATGAACCATCTGACCATGATGTGTTTCCAGCAAGTACTGTGATTACGCTTGCCGACTGGTGAGTTTTACAAGCATAGATAATCTGCCCAATTAAATCACGATCACTAGGTATCATACTGTCGCCCCCGAATTGCGCCATACGATACCTGTTGCCCAGTCTATGCTCATCAATGGACTCGGTCGCTATGCTGGCGGACCGGAGTCTGAGCTCGCTGTCATTAATGTCAGGCCGGGAAGGCGATACCGCTTGCGCCTGGTTCAAATGTCATGCGACTCCAACGTCCTGTTCTCCATCGATGGCCACAACTTAACCGTTATCGAAGCGGATGGATTGCTGACAGAACCTCTGGTGGTAGATCAGCTCCAGATTTTTGCGGCTCAGCGCTACTCTGTGGTTCTAGTAGCTGATCAGCCAGTAGATAACTACTGGGTGCGCAGTCTTCCTGATACAGCGAATGCGACCTACGACAAAGGAATGAACTCTGCTATCCTACGCTACAGAGGCGCCCCAAAGGCCGACCCGACTACGGTTAATACTACATCTACAAACCCATTGCAAGAGACAAACTTGCATGCTCTAATCAATCCCGGTGCTCCTGGTATTCCAGAGTATGGGAAGGCAGATATCAACCTCAACCTCGAGGTTTCCGTCACTGGCCTAACATTCTACGTCAATAATGTCACATTCCAATCCCCCACCATTCCTGTTCTACTCCAAATTCTTAGTGGAGCTCTAGACGCTTCTCAGCTGCTCCCAAAGGGGAGTGTGTACGTTCTCGAGGCCAACAAAGTGGTAGAGTTGACGATGGCAATAACCGGTCCAGGTGGACCTGTACGTCTTTTCCATTCATTCGATATTTTCGCGACTGATATATATTATACCAGCATCCCATACACCTTCACGGGGTAAGCTCGCCGTAACTTCGATGGCATGTTTGGCTGGTACTCATTATTATTAGCATACATTTGATGTCGTACAGAGCGCGGGCAGCAGTACTTTCAATTACGCGAACCCCGTTCGCCGCGATGTGGTCAGCGCTGGGAGCGCTGGGCAACGCATGGTGATCCGATGGGTGACCGACAATTCTGGCCCCTGGTTCTTGCATTGGTATGATATCATATTTATCGAGTTGTTAAGAAGGGTTCTGACTTTGAACTAACAGTCACATTGACTGGCATCTTGATGAGTACGTGTGTAAATCTTCCCGTGAACGAAATGGCTAACTCTTCACATCCAGCGGTTTTGCCGTGGTAATGGCGGAAAGTCCCTCAGATACTGGCGCACATTTGGGCCTTGTGCCATGTAGGTCACATATAAAGAATCCGTACTTCTATTGCTGAGCTGTGTTACAGATGAATGGGATCGCTTATGTCCAATCTATGACCATCACCAGGGAATGCCTCCCACGGTAGCTGAGGGAGGTTTAGATTTTAATTGAACAATAGACTAATAGTATTATTAAATAGACCTGTTATAATTCTGGAAACCTTGCAAGCAAGGCCATAATCGATTCGGAAAGACAATATTAGTGGACCTGAAGATTTCGACCCTACAAACCCAGTTTCCCAGCATGTGCAACCGGTTTGTCAAATGTCCAGTCAGATCCTTTGAAGCCAGCAGTTGGAGGTTCAAGAACACTCGTTTGATTGTTGAGAAAACATCTACTGTAGATATTCGAACAGTAAACGATAAACGATTTTCACTGGCTGACTACGCTAACTGAAGTTCTAACGATGTAGTACAGCCTGTACAGGTGGGAAGCCTATCATACATACTACATAGAGCCTGTTCACTGTTAACTTCAGCAACCGATGTGTGAACAAGATTTTGTCAAACCAAACACGATTTGGTCGGCACGAGCATGACGGAGATCCTGAGTCTGAAAGTAGTCAGTGAATGATAACATGATATGATATAATGATAATCCCAATATCTACACATCGGGGACCTGCAAATCCACTCTTTGGCAGATAGACCGGGTTTCATTTTGATACCCTTCTGTTTACTTGTGGGGCTCGATAAAGATATTTGCGCTCATCCGACGCTGCGCCTTCCAGGTTTTTGGTGCTGCGCACCGTTAGGGTTAGTTCGAAGTCCGCTGGTGGCTGATCTTTGTTTACTCATATTATCTTCCAGCTGAGGTTGGCTGGGTTTGAATTTTGCTGATGCACGTGATATTCTACTTAGTATGTCGTCTCATGTAAATGTCATTCGCAGTCCCTCCACACTCGAACCAGCGGTTGGGAAGGAGCCTGGGGATAGTGAACCCTCGATGTACTAGTGGGCAAAACTATTTTTGTCAACTGTCACGAGGCCAATTCATTTTTGCCCCCTGTACTAACTACATCGAGAAATCCGTCCTGTACGCAACTTCGAAGGTCATTAGTACCGTGATCTTTTCCGTTAAACAATCCTGGTCACAAACTGCCTAGCCTCACACTCAATACTTTGGGGGCAATCATCCAGGATGTGGTCTGCGAGCAGTTTCTCACTTGCAATATTAATGTCAGAACACGACCGTTTTCCTTGTCAGACTGCCACTGTGACATTTTTATGACACCCTTGTCTGATTTTGCGTATTTGACGCTCTCAACCACGCCTATATGAGGGCCATTTTGGAGCGCAGCCGGGGGCCTCATGCACCGCTACGATTTTGTATCGGAACCGCAGTCACACTGAGTCTATAAAGTTGGCTACACCTTTCAGACCAAATGCACACCATATAACGATGGAATTGCCACCTGGGATCGTCTACCTCATCAGTTGCTTACCACAGCTCCTATTACCACCCGCGATAGTTTATGGTCTAAACCGCATCTGCGACTTTGCATTTGGCATATCCCTGCCAGGATGGTCACAGATTCCTGCATATGTGTTGTCTTTTCCTGCTCTCTTCACTTGCAGCTTGCTCGCAGCAAATTATCGCGATAGGCGCCAAGCTGCTATGCGTGGTGCTGTTCTCCCACCCAGGTATCCAAGTAGATTGCCTGGCGGTCTGGATATCCTCGTAGCCTTGGTACAAGATTTCAAGATTGGATACATGGGTATGCTACCAACTGACTTCACTTTCCCCTATCGATGCTTACGATCATAGGGGGATTAATGGGAGAGAAGTGTAACACTCTTGGACATACGTTTAACATGCGAGTGCTCTTTGAAAATAGGGCATGTACATTCTTTCACACCCTAAGTTTCATTGTTGATCTGTCGCGATCAACAGATCTTCACCGCCGAACCAGAATACATAAAGGTAAGCAGCTCATCAGAGCGTTATGAATCTATACATTCATGCATAACAGGCAATTCTAGTATCACAGTTCACCTCGTTTGCGAACGGTCGGCGATTTCATGTGTTATTGTCTCGATTTGATGGAATGACGTTTTCAACCAATAGGGCCTATGTTTCGGGACCAAGCCAACTCCCTCCTTGGCACTGGAGTGTTCAATTCCGATGGTGAGCGTGTTTCCTGTATTCCATCGTGACAATATAGTTTACTGTCTATTTCAGGGGATGTCTGGAAGTATGTCTTATCTATTTCCGTTCATTGTTCAGACTTAATCTAGTGACTACAGATTCCACCGCTCGATGACGCGCCCGTTCTTCAACAAAGACCGGATTAGTCATTTCGATATATTTGACAAGCACGCGGAAGACGCGATTAGCCAGTTGAAGATTAGACTCAGAGATGGCTATCCCGTGGATTTCCAGGTAAACTTATGATGACTATCTTATGCTTATTCTTGCTGACATTGCTTCAGGACATGGTCTCTCGTTTCACCTTAGATTCTGCGACGGAATTCCTCTTCGGAAGAAACGTCTGTTCTCTCTCCGCCGGCCTGATCTACCCACCATCATCGCCCCGCTCTAAAGACGTCGCGTTTGAGAACCACCCAGCCGACAAGTTTGCGCGTGCATTTAGCGATGCTCAGATTGCTACCTCCTATCGCGGCCGGTTTGGCTCAGCGTGGCGCCTGTCTGAATTCTGGACTGACCGTGTTAAGAAGCACATGGATACTTGTTACAAGTTCATCGACCCCATCCTCAAGGAGGCGTTAGAAAAGAAAAAAATGCTCAAGGAAAATCTCAACGAGAAGGCCGACGCAAAGGATAGGGACGTCAAAGAAGGCGAAACGCTGCTCGATCACTTGGTAAATTACACAGAAGGTATGCAACGCAAGCGTCGACGCGTCATTCCAAATGACATGAATTTGCTTCCTTCTAGACCCCATCGTCATCAGGGACGAAATTCTTAACATCATGATTGCTGGACGTGATACTGTATGCACCTCTTTCGGACGGTCATTCTCAGGATGCTAAGACCACTCTTTCCAGACTGCAGCTACCCTGACTTTTGTCATCTATATGCTCACACAGCATCCCGATGTTCTCCGCCGTCTTCGTGAGGAGATCCTTAGCAAAGTGGGTAGCTCAAGGAGACCAACCTACGATGATATGCGCGATATGAAATATCTGAGAGCAGTCATCAATGGTGAGTCCTACTCAAAAGCCACTTTCTCTTGAGGTGACACGGGAATTTCAGAAACGCTTCGACTCTACTCGCCTGTGTGAGTATCGGGTTCGGTCTCTTTAAATTTGTTGTACTTGATCTCATTGAATTTCTCTAATTTTATCAGGCCATTCAATGGCAGGTAAATACTGCTCCGCCCATGCGTGCGTCTCTGTACTCATTATGGATTAGGACCAGTACAGAACCAACGGTCTTGCCGGGAATCGATGGGGGGAAACCGATCTACGTCCCTCAAAATACTAGGTGATTACATCAAGAAACGGGTTGTTTGTTCAACTGACGATGGATATCTCAGGACATTTTACTCTGTATTCCTGATGCACCGACGAACAGACTTATGGGGACCAGATGGTGAGCAGGATAATCGACTGACCACAGCATTGGAACGAATATTTACTCGCATTTTTCTCCACAAGCTGAAGAATTTGACCCTGATCGGTTCCTCGACGACCGCCTCCAGAAATATTGTACCTCTAACCCATTCATCTTCATGCCTTTCAATGCAGGCCCCAGAATTTGTGTTGGGCAACAGGTATGTCGACTGCTCCCTCAAAGTATTCATGCTGACATCTATGTTTATCCAGTTCGCCTACAACGAGGTTTCCTTCTTCCTCGTCCGACTTCTCCAACAGTTCTCTTCGGTCTCCTTGGCCACCGATGTCCAGACTCTTCCGCCTGCGGAGTGGGCGAAGTGTTCTGGCCGCAAGGCCATCGAAAAGGTCGTCTTCAAAAGCCACCTTACCATCTATGCGCATGTATGTCCTCAATCTTGATTCTTTGTTTAGTGGCTCATGTCATTATAGGACGGGCTATGGGTTAGGATGGATGAGGCTAGCCCTGTTGAAGTTGAGGTTGTGTAAATATAAGGGACAGAGCATTACGAGGAAACACTATCTATATTATCTGTACTATTCTGTGCGTCGATGCGAAGGAAATATGTACCTGCTGCACTCTGCATTTGTGTGGCCGTCACGCCGCGAGGTTCAGATAATATTTGGGGACTGGACGCGGGTCAGGATTTAATGCCAGTCATATGTTAGTACCCAACCCGTTTATTTTCCTTCCTTTCAATGCTGGTCCTAGAGTATGCCCAGATCAATAGGTAATCCCCTTTGCGCACAATTTTCCCTATGGGTCCCCCCATGATTCGAACTTCTAACTATGTACTTCAGTGGCTGCCTCTACTGAACTTTCATCGTCGTAGGAACAAGTACTTTCTTCAACATTGCTGGAAGAAAACAGGTCGCAGTGCCGATGCAATAAATGCCAGAGTGAATAACTGTACCAGAGTACCAAGACTTACTGGTACAGACGTCGTCAGACGATCGTTGACCAGTCAGTGGTTGAACCTACCGGAACCCACACGGTTCACATGCCCACACTATCAACTCCCCTAGCCAGCCCAGGCTTCCAAAGAAGAGGGAAAGTCGTAGACTGCTTGACTGGGTTGGATCCAAGCACGGCAAGCACATCTACAACGTGAAATCTAGCATAAGTACACTTGACGTATCCAAAAATTGACTCTAAAGTACAAACGTAAACAAATCCCGAAGGGCTTCGATGTCATGAAAACTGCTGAAACTCGAACAACTTCAAAGATACTTAAAGGTTTGTACCGATCATGCCTAGGCGCTGGAGTACCGCAAACCAGTTACCCTTTGGGATGGTGGGACCAAATATCCAACGTTGCAGCCATGCAGCAATTCCACCTAAAACGTCACAATGATGTTCTGCTCAGCACCGCAACAATACACAAAAATGTACCTTTGATTGGTCCTTGCGGTCCAAATCCAATCATGCGGAGAAGTGGGCGAAGAAGCCATCCCTCAAGTAATGCACCCATCTCAATCTGAGGTAACAATAAGGGTGACAACTCCGCAATCGCAATGAGCAGGAGGGCATTGGCGATCTCGGGATGCTGTTCAGCAAGGTCCCCTACATTATGTAATATAATGTTGTCAATGTTCTGGAACGGTTAGATGCTCTTGACGTACCTATGGTTACGGCAACATGTTGAACAACGAACTTGAGAGAACTAGAGTGAATTTTCAATAGTTCTTCGCTGACTCCGAGCTTGGTGGCGACCTGTAAAAAACCTTCCTCGAAGCGGTCAAGGACTGCATTGATCATGATTGTACGGTTGTCGTGACCGGGAGCCTCCCCGGGTGGTGGGAACATCTCCATAAGCTCTTCGAATAGGACAACGAAGATATCTCTGTGTTCTTCTATTACGGAGTGGAGGGAAACACCACTGTCCTCTGCGGTTTCGCCGCAAACTTCGCGCAAAACAGCAGCAGTGGCAGAGACATTGACCATGGACTCCCTGAACTCTGTGAGCTTCTCGGATGGATACAACTCCACGGCGTGATGAAAGAATTCATCGGTATACTCCTTGATAATTCTGGCAACCTTGCAAGGAAGGCTATAATCGATTCAAACAATTAAGGAAAGACAGAATATTGGCGGACCTGAAGATTTCGACCCTACAAAGTTAGCACACACAAACCCCGATCGGTAAAAACTTAAGTCATGTAAATTCAAGCTTGCTTCTACTCCACTTCCATAATTTATAAGTAGGCAGCAGGCCGATTAGAATGTCGCTTTTGTTGTCATCGACGACAGTCCTTGGGAAACGCAAAGCCAGTGGCACTAGATATGTTTTACACATTTCTGCGAGTCCACAACCCGAGCCATCGACTTCAACTGCGAATCTTGCTGTCCGCGATACCCCAGAGCCTTCCTCAAACAAAGCCCGTCATCCTTGCACGTATTCTGTATGCACAAAGTCCTACTCCAAAGCTTGTAGGTTAGCAGAGCACATAAGGTCCCATACAGGAGTGGTCACGTGGCGATTTTTTTTACGCCTACTGTGTGCTAAATCAACTCAAACAGCGTCCCTACGTCTGCACGACTTGTCAAAAGTCTTATCTGCGCGAATCCCATCTACAAGCACATGCAAAAGCCATCTTCCTGAGTCGTCTGGACCCTCCAGCACCTCCATGTGCACGAGAATACGCACAGTGGGGTTAAATTGTATGCTGTATGTGCTATCACCACCCGTCCAAGCCATCCGCGCTGATTTTGTCTTCTCAGTGCACGGTAGAGGGGTGCGACGAGGTGTTTGCCAAGCACCATCAGCTGCGATCTCATACCTGCCAAGCACACTCACCCCCAGGTACGAAATCTTACATGTGCACACACCCAGGGTGCACTAAATCGTTCGATACGAACCAGAAGCTTAAAGGTCACGTCAAGACTCATGACGGTTCGTGTGCTTTCACATCCATGTGTATGATGATTTATCATTCTTTCAGATAAACGTTACACGTGTGCACACCCAAATTGCCTACCTTCATCCAACGCTGACCCGACATATTACCCGACATGGACGTCCCTCCAGGCTCATATACGCGAGACCCACCCTCCAACGTGCATGCATCCCTCGTGCAACAGACGAACCTTCGCTTCCCAACACAATCTACGCGTTCATCAGAAACTACACGAACAACAAGAGCTAGAAGCCGTACTAGCAGACGTAGAACCATGAAGCAACAGACTTGCCTCGCAAACGTAGACGCGGTGGAGAAGTGGGCAGAGACTGGAATTGCGACAAATGTGGGAAAGAATTCAAATCTGTACGATCATCAACGGATGTTTGTTTTCGATCAATTCTAACGTCATGCACAGATGAAGGCCCTCACGACGCACAACAATGTGATTCATCTGGGCCACAGAAATCATGTTTGCCCACATCAACATTGCTCCAGTGCCTTTGGCTACAAAAAACTCCTCGAAAGGCATCTAGCCAAGATCCATAGCACAAAGAGCGATCAATCTGTCACAGATCTGTCTGAGTCAGACGGCGCCACAACTACCGACAGTGATACTGACTGTTCCGACAACGAACCGGCAGACTCAGCTGCGCACTTGAGTATCGATCGCATCACCGGACATACTTACTCCCTCCGCACTCGCATGCCAACGTCAAAAACCATACGGTGTCCATACCCAAACGTCGAGGACCTACTACTATTGCCTCCGGAAACACCGTTTTCCGGCTCTTCAGTGCACTGCGATCACATCTTAACTCGCGCATATGATCTTCGTCGACATTTGAAGGCCGAACATGGACTCGTTGGGGACAAGAGCAAGGTGGACTCTTGGGTAAGATCGCATAGAGGCAACGCTCAGAGATCTTGATATCTGTCTGTTATGGGAGATGTCCTGTCCAGTGTTGTTCAGCTTTTCGATGTTTCCATTTCATACCCTTCTTGATGTGGGAAGCTGATGTTTGTTTTCTCTCGAGTCTGGGTAATAGAAGGGAATGGAGGGTAGGGATGGTGTAAATGCACGCAAATATAGTGTTTGCGATGCGTCCATACCATTCCCGTCCTAGCATCGACCATATGCATTTCGTAGATCTCTCTCAAGTATCTGTCTTATCGATTTTGTACTCATCAGTATTATTGTCGCCCAGTTTTGATCCACCTGAGCGTTGGCTGAAAGCGTTCAGAGCGCGAGATGAGGAGACTACCAGACCCGGGTTTCTTTCGATAGCATTCAATGATTTCATGGCGTATTGTCACCACGAGATGAAGGGCATACAGGAAGTGAGTCCTGAGTCCTGTCTCAAGTCCTGTTTAGCTTTACCACTTCGCCGAACATCATTCTGGAGTGTCGTTCGAGAGATAAGATGACGCCTCAAGAATTGACCTACGAACGAAGTTGGATTCAGAAGGCTAGAGACCATTCTTCTCGTCGTGTAGGAGATCGCGAACCTGTTGCTGTGGCCGGGTGAGTTCCCTTATTACTTTCTGGTGTCACTCCTGACGACATCCCTCTTAGTCACGCTCCTAAACACTGCTTGCCAGTGGAGGGTATGATCTATCTTTGCCCCCATAATATGCGCTAATCATCGCATATACTGTAAGCACCTCCAGCAAGCTAACCAGGGTCGCTATATCTGGAATACAATATATGAATCTTTTATTTCATCCACCTGGTCCTTTTCCTGAACAAACTGCGCTTCATCTTGGGAAATTCGTTGACCCACTAGAAGCGAACTGGGCACTGTCATCCCAAGTGATGGTAAAGCCACTCGACATGACTACGTCACGGGACCGATCACCTCTACTATCACTGGCACTCCCCTCTTCATGGATCACTTGTTTATCATTTGTCGCGAACATTCGAGGGGTGCGAATCTGTGCGTCAAGAATTTAATATGTCTTGTGGTGATGAAGAGGCCGTGCTTTCTGCAAGGATAGCGTTTTTGACAGCTATATTGACAACCACAAAATGATGTCCTCTTGAACGGCTGTTGAAAGCAAATGAGGTCGGTTTCGAAGTCGGATCGAAAACGGAACAGCTTAGTTCACTTGTATCTGTAACACTCGCCTCCATCTCGCGGCTCGTGCTGTTATTCGCATCGATGATGCGAGTCTTGATTTAAATGTATCGTTGTCTTTTCTGCATGATTGCAATGTCCCGCGTTCTGTCGTCAATCATCATGGGGTCGCAGTGGAATCCGCCTTTGGGCCAGTGCGCGTTCCTACTGTCGATGGTTGGTACAATTCCCGACAGACATTTCGACCCGTCTATCTGAGCGGGTGTGACGTCGAGCTTGGCCGTGATTGGCTTGCATTTGTGAATGCAAAGTCTGATGGTATACGATTCCTTCGACCTTCGGATATAGACGTTGCCCGGCTTCCTGATGATCATAGTTGGAATTTTCAGCCCGGAGGTACGTATATTTATACAGATTATTTTCATACAGTTGATAGTTGTTTCTAGAGAATCTTTCCTCCTCTTCATTTGTTATTACTGATAGAGAAAAAGATTTAAGCACTCAATCGAAATCGTATTTAGCTACCCAAGCGGGTTCTTCTACTGTTACCCAAGCAGGTTCATCTCACTCATCTCATTCGCGTTCGTCTATACTGCCGCGAAATGAACTTGTGGTGGATAATTTTTTTTGGCGGTTATGAAAGCTTATCGAGACCAACTCTGAGTGAATTGGCAGTCGCTCATGGCCTTAGGGTGTCCCTGCACACATAATATATATAGCATGATATTTGACGACCTTTTGTTTTCACAAAATAGTATGCCCTGGCTAACATGCCACGAGAGGAACTGTAAAATTGTATAATATACAGACTCCAAATATGTTTTCGCTCCCCCATCGGTTTTTCAACTTGCAGGAGATGGCAAAAGTAAACCCCTTTATTTCGCCTGTCTGAAGTCACCTCTAAACATACTAGTACGATCTGCTGGAGATAGAGGAAAATATAAATACGTCGTATGGACTTGGTAGTGAGAAATCTATGCGTGGGATAACAAGACCTAGAGTGACTTGGACGTGTGGCATAAAACCGGCAGCTTCAGAACAATTACTGATATGACCCAGAAGCTCGGAGGAGATGTTCCTATAAGCACAGGTTAGATTGCGAGTCTAGGAAACCATTGGGAACACGAGCACCTTTGCAAGTTTCTCGCCGTTGGACAAAATAGTGAGGCAAGACGGCAAATCCTTCAAGCACCACTGCCTTTCAAGCCAGGAGACAAGATTGCGATTCCAGAAAGACTGGAACATATGGGCGAGCCTCTCATCCCACGGTTTCGGAGCTAGTGACAGATGAAAGGCCCAGTTTTGACATGCGTAGTTGAGGGCGCCCGAAGCCGATTGACTTTGTTTCTGTGCTTCGTCTGCGAATCTCAAAAGGGCTTTCATAGCGTGGATGATCTCCATGTCTGGTGATGCTGTGGTAGAATGATACTGGTTCCTTAACACCAGAAACACCAAGAACATCGAGAAATCTGGCAGCGCCTTGAACTGCTGGATTGCTTGAAAAGCTGGATGCAAAGAAAATACTGGGGAGATTTTGCAGTCTCTGATTGCCTCGAAAGTACTCGAGAATTCTTCCATGGTCACCCAGATGTTGGTCAACCGCCATGCTTTACCGCGGGGTGTCTGCAACCAGTCTCGCCCATCCTGGTGTTGCAGCCAGTCTCGCCCGCCCTGGGTCCGCAGCCAGTCTTGCCCGTTCTCGGTCTGCAACCAGTCTCGCCCATATGGGGTCCGTAACCAGGATCTTATACTCCCAGTGTGCAACCAGTCTTGCCCATATGGGGTCTGCAGCCAATTTTGCGCGTCCTCTGTCTGCAACCAGGCTTGCCCTTCCAAGGTTTGCAAGTATCTCGCGCCATACATCTGCATCGCTGAAGATTCACCCCAGGTCTGCACCTCTGTCTGCAGCCAGTTTTTCCCGGACCTTGTCTGCAGCCACTCTTGCCCACTGTTAGTCTTGAGCCAGTCTTTCCCATTGCGAGTCTGCAGCCAGTCTTTCCCATTGCGACTCTGCAGCCAGTCTTTCCCGCTGCCAGTCTGAAGCCACTCTTGCCTGCCATTAGCCTCTAACCAATCTTCCCCATCGTGAGTCCGCAGCCAATTTTGCCCGCCCTGGGTCCCCAACCACCATTTCTGCCCATCGGTCAACAGCCAGTCTTGCCCAGCCTCTGCCTTCAGCCAGTCTCGTCCGGTATCTGTCTGCAACCAATCTTCCCCGCTCTGGGTCCGCAACCACAATTTCTGCCCATCGGTATGTCGCCAGTTTTTCCCAGCCTCTGTCTCCAGCCAATCTCGCCCGCCTTGGGTCCACAACCACTCATTCTCCCCATCAGTCAGCAGCCAGTCTCGTCCAGCATCTGTCAGCAGCCAATCCTGCCCGCCCTGGGTCTGCAGCCACAATTTCTGCCCATCGGTGTGCCGCCAGTTTTTCCCAGTCTCTGTCTCCAGCCAATCTTGTCCGCCCTGGGACTGCAACCACCAACAACTCCTATCAGCCAACAGCCAATCTCGTCCAGCCTCTGTCTCCAGCCAGTCTCGTCCAGCCTTTGCATCCAGCCAGTCCTGCCCGTCCTGGGTCCACAACCACAATTCCTGCCTATCGGTATGCCGCCAGTCTCGTCCGGCCCGGGCATCTGCCTGCAGCCAATCCTGCCCATCGGTATGCCACCAGTTTTTCCCAGCCTCCGTCTCAAGCCAATCTCGCCCGCCCGAGGTCTGCAACCACTCATACATCCCGTCGGTCAGCAGCCAGCCTCGCCCAGCCTCTGTCAGCAGCCAGTCTCGTCCAGTATCCGTCTCCAGCCAATCCTCCCCGCCCTGAGTCGTCAACCAAAATGCCTGCCCATCGGTATGCCGCCAGTTTTTCCTGGCCTCTGTCTCCAGCCAGTCTCGTCCAGCCCCTGCATCCAGCCAGTCTTGTCCGGCAACTGTCACCAGCCAATCTTGCCCGCCCTGGGTCCGCAACCACTCAATCCCCCCGTCGGTCAACAGCCAGTCTCGTCCGACATCTGTCTGCAGCCAATCCCGCCCGCCCTGGGTCTGCAACCACCATTCCTGCCCATCGGTATGCTGCCAGTTTTTCCCGGCCTCTGTCTCCAGCCAATCTCGTCCGCCCTGGGTCCGCAACCACCATTTCTCCCCATTGGTCAGCAGCCAGTCTCGCCCAGTCTCCATCCCCAGCCAGTCTCGTCCAGCATCTGTCTCCAGCCAATCCTGTCCACCCTGGGTCTGTAACCACAATTTCTGCCCATCGGTATGCCGCCAGTTTTTCCCGGCTTGTGTCTCCAGCCAATCTCGTCCACCCCGGGTCCGCAACCACCAACAACTCCCATCAGTCAGCAGCCAATCTCGTCCAGCCTCTGTCTGTAGCCAGTCTCGCCCAACCTCTGTCTGCAGCCAGTCTCGCCCGCCTTGTGTCCCCAACCACCATTTCTGCCCATCGATCAGCAGCCAGTCTCGCCCAGCCTCTGTCAGCAGCCAGTCTCGTCCAGTATCTGTCTCCAGCCACTCTTGCCCGCCCTGAGTCATCAACCACAATTTCTGCCCATCGGTATGCCGCCAGTTTTTCCCGGCCTCTGTCTCCAGCCAATCTCGTCCGCCCTGGGTCTGCGACCGCCAATAACTCCCATCGGTCAGCAGCCAGTATCGTCCAACTTCTGTCAGCAGCCAGTCTCGTCCGGCATTTGTCTCCAGCCAATCTCTCGCGCCCCAGATCTGCAACCACTCATTCCCCCCGTCAGTCAGTAGCCAATCTTGCCCAGCCTCTGTCAGCAACCAGTCTTGTCCGGCATCTGTCTGCAGCCAATCCTGCCCGCCCTGGGTCCGCAACCACAATTCCTGCCCATCGGTATGCCGCCAGTTTTTCCCGGCCTCTGTCTCCAGCCAATCTCTCGCGCCGTGGGTCAGCAACCACTCTTTCCCCCCGTCAGTCAGCAGCCAGTCCATCCCCCCCTGGGTCTGCAGCCAGTCATTCACTCCTTCAGTCTGCAGCCAGGCACACCCGTCCGGGGTATCTAGCCAGAACTGTAAT